CCCTCTGGTCCTGCTTTCTGTGACTCAGCTACAGTGTGACATCTGCAGTTTTAGGTTTGTTCTTGTACAATGAGTTTATTAGTTTATATTTCTGCAGTTCCCTGAAGTGAAAAGGTCTGTATGTGTTCTTGGTGTCTTAAGCTTTGACATTGGCAGGCAGTTCACGAAGGAGCCGGGCTGTGTTTGAAGAGTTCATTTTCTTGGGGGCTGTAGGTTGTGCTGTACGTGACTGATAAAAGATCTTTCCCAGCATTAAAGCCGGTCACAGCCCCAATAAATCTGGAACAAATTCTGAGAAAGCATGTCATGTTATGACTGGCATATCTGTGAGCTCTGCTTGAGAATTAGACTCAAAGTTTGCAAAGTGCTAGTGCTGATGTCATTCCCTTGGAATGGAAAGGCTGTTGAAACAGTAAATAATTTCTGTGGCCAGAAGCTAAGTCTTTAGCTGGACCTTTTCCTCTCTTCGAAGGAAAGAATGCAGAACAAACCTAAAATTTGTATTTGCAATGGGAAAATCCTAATTAGTTTAGTGCTTTTAGCTATTTCAAACCATTTACACACACAGCTGCTGTTCATGCAAACATGTAAACTATTGATGGAAACTTCAAACTTACCTTGAAATGACATATTTTTTTCCCTGTTTTTTAAATCTGTGCTTGATGTTCAAAGTATGGTTGGAAAGGTCTAAAAATTATATTTGTACTGTACGTGCAGAAAGGAACATAGACACAGGCTAACAGAAGCATATAATAAAAAGCTTTAGTTCAGCAAGACTTAACATTGAAACCCTATTAGCATCAAACAGCTGCTGGGAAAGTGTTTAATTTTTAGGGACATTTACTCCTGATTGTATCTGTAGAGTTTTGTTTATGATTCAAAACTCTGAAAAAAGGAGAGATGACCAAAATACAAGCTTAGACATGGTCCAGGTCTTTCAGCTGGCTTCTCTGCTTTGAAAGGCTAGTCTGAAACATTGGATCCAAATGACCCACAGCCTGGGAATTAGAACCTAATACTGTAGCTTGGGACTGCTAAAGTACCTCCTAGACACTGAGATCTACAGAGTAACTCGGATTTCGTACTGTTCCTCAGAGGACCCCACTGAGCATTCACAAGGAATTCATCCCCACCCCCAGCTTCCTCCTAGGAGGAAGAGTTTTGCCATGACAGATGTGGGGAACAGATGTTGAGAGGAAAAGTTATAATGGGACAATGACCTGAAGTGTTAGTCGGACTCTTCCTTGACGTGACTGAGCTTCTGTTCCCTATGGCAATGGGAGAGAGCACGTGTCTGCTGCTTGTCTCTGCAAGCCCCAGCGTTTGGGGAGGTTGACATACAGAGCTTTTATGTCTTTGTGTCAGATACTCAGGGCTCAGACAGCTGAGAGAGAGGAAGGAACAAAGATGGAAGAGCAAATCGACTGTCTGTTGTTCAGGGACAGTTAGTACTAGGTAGGTGAATCATCTCAGCCACCCGCCATCTTTCCCAAGCAGTTGTAGGTAATTTTTCTGAATCTTAATCTCCTGTTTTACATCAAGGCTTCCTCTTTCCTTGCTGTTGTTCTTCCCAACCTTTCCACCACTGCATCTGTGATGTCTGGGAGATGCTCCTTCTCCTCATCCCTGAATGGAGCTAATCTAGTAGTATAGTCCACAGTGGCTGCTTAGTGACAATAACAGAGCCAGGAGAAAAGGTCTTCCACCAACTCTATATTATCAGCATAGGGCATGTAAAATGGATTTTTTTCTTCTCTGTCATCTCTTTCAGCAGGATTTCTGCTCTTTGTTGGCTTAGAAGAAAGATGTTGAGCTCGATACTTAATGTGTTTTGAGAGAGGTTGGCAGGTCAGAGCAACTTCCCTACTGAGGGAGGGATTCGGGACAGGTCTCATTCTCCTTAGCTTAGTCTAGCTCAGGAGACTGAGTAATTATGTTTATTACTGAAAGAAGATCAGCCATCCATGGAAGCCTGGGATTTTTTTACAGCTCTTGAAATGGGAAACTAAGTATTTTAAATACTGTAAATACTGTAATACTTGATGACTTCTCCTGAGGTCCCCTTCCAACCTGAGCTGTTTTCTGCTGCTATTACAGACATCACTTCTGCATATTTATTGGTTTTTGCCTTTAATTTTACATTACCTGTTATTCACTGCTGGTTTTTGTTTGAATTCAGTGCAGGGCTCCAAGGCACACACTCTCCATCCGGTGCAGTGATTTCAAAGCTTGTGCCGAACGGGCGCTTCTCACTGCGAGCTTTTCTTTCTCTGCATTTGTTCTTGTAAAATGATTCATGGCCTTGGCAAATCAGTGACATGGATGCATCAGCTCTGTAGTTCTGTGTGTATGAAGTGGTTGGGGGGTGTGTGTGGGATCACTGTCACCTGCCCAGTCTCAGGTGTGACCACTCAGGAGGTTTAGCATGGGGGATACCTGACATAATTGGTCACCATATGTGCATCATCTGATATTTCTTATTCTTTAGAAAATGTGATGCAATACACATTCATATATGTATTATTCATCAACTTTAAATTCGGGTCTTTGGTGGTTTGGTTTTTTTGGGGTTTTTTGGGGGTTTTTTGGGGGGTTTTTTTTTTTTTTTTTTTTTTTTTTTTCACTTACTGTCACTTTAAGTCTTTGAGAGTCCCTCTCTCTCCAAAGTCTTTGAAGATTTCTCTTTTTCCAACTCCAGCTTACCTTTATAAACTATTGTGACATAAATGTCCATACTGACCACATAAATCTCCACAATAACCCAAGACTTCAACGTATCTGGTATCCAGAGACATCTTCTTGTGAACAAGCTACGTGTTTTTAATATAAAAAACTCCCTGAGTAGGACTGTTCTTTGAGAAGTCCTTTAATTATTATTTCTTTGCTGGGCATACCAACTCTGTTAGGTCTTGGAGTTAGTTCCTGTACCTTGAGCAGTTTGAACTCTCAGCCCTGACCCTGCAAGTGTTGGAGGACTTGGTTACTGTACAAGGCTATTGATTTTCACAGGAGAGGGAAGTGAGATTTCTTTGGGCTTCAGGATTTGTTTTCCTCTTCTGCTCAGTGTGACAGAGATAGCATCCTTGCTAGAAAGCAGAGAGGGGAAAGAAAATTCACTCCACATGTTTGGGATTTAAGGTTGAGAGTGATTCACGCTCAGCTTCTGGGGGTTGTAATTAGGGGTGACATAATAACCATAAACTTTCAATAAAATAGTAGCAGCATTTTTGTTACACTCTGTAGCTGCAGAAGCTGCTTCTGATTAGCATCCCTTCAAGATAAGCCTGCAGGATCTCTACTCTTTCCAGATCTGTGTCCAGGCTTTTGTGTCCTGCTTCTTTACCAATGCTGAAAGAACCCTGAATTCAGAAACACCCCAAACTTCAACATTTTCACTTGGATCAGTATCTCAGCCTTAGTCCTTTTAGTCCATCTGTGTAGTTTTGAAGTCAGTATTATCTTATGCTCTCTCAATCCTGCCAGTTTATACTCTTTATAATACACTCTAGGGTTATATAGAAAAAAACAATCTTGCTATCCTCCACTCCTCCTGAAATATTACTACTCCTTTCTTTTCCAAGTGGCTGAGACTAAAAGGAATCCAGGAATGTGTGCAGCAGGAGATCTGTCATTCCCACTCCACACCAAGGTGCATTCTTGTAGAGAGAGATGGGCATTTACACTGGAATTCGGCCATCAGCATTCAGCCAATTCCATTTTTTGGCAGTCAAGCACTTAATGGAATTTTTAAAAAGAAGATCTACATTTTAAAGCAGGTCACAGACAAAAATAAAGACACATTCTTGGGCTACGAGAAGTAGGTCAGGTTTTGGGGGAATCATTAGTGAAAGCTGTTGATCTGATCTTACCTGTTTATTGATATTTTTTGCTTCTTATGTCAAATATGTCTGGCTCATTTTGCTTTAGGTGAGTTGTATTCTCCTGCTGTGGTGAGCAAACTTTTTACATTAACATTTTAAAAAATAAAAAGAAAAAAAAACACAGGAAAAATATGTTCCTAGTTTTCCATTAGAGAATACTGTAGTGGAAAGTGAGGCCTCTCGTGCTGCCGTCCAAAAGGAATAAAGCTGCTTTGTGTCACCTCATTACTCTAAACTGATGCTTTACCTCAAGATTGTTTTGGGGGGAGGGTGGGGGAAAGGCTGATTCTGCTGCTCAGATGATGCCTCTGCAGCACCTTCTGCACTATTAATCCCTCCAGTTTAGGGGAAGCATTTCACAGCCTGTTGGTGATAACACTGTGTAGCCCCTGCAAGAGCCACTGTAGCAGTGAGGAGAGATTACTGCTGGTCAGGGAGGATGGATTACTGCTGGTCAGGGATTGGAATTTGCCTGACATTGCTTTATTGTCTCCATAGTTGGCAGGTGGCTGTTAAAGAGCTTTAAGCTTTACATGGTTTAAGGACAGGTAATTTAGGGTGGGTGCTGGGGCTTAGGGCAGGCACCCTCTGTGGCTCATCAGGGCTTCTTGCACACAGGGCAAGGATGCTCATCCTCCAGTGCCCTGGAGAGCAGGTGGATAGCCCAGCTCTGCAGCTGTTGGGTTGAGGGTGGTCTTGGTTATCAAACCAGGATTAGGTTCCGTGGTAATTGAGCTGTAGAAACTCCTGGGCTTCTTCTGCAGCTGACCTTTGGAAACAGGATGGTTTTGCCCTGTGAAAGCAAATCCCAATTGATACCTTTGTTTGTGGAGGACACATCTACAAGTAGTCCCACCTATCTGAATATTTGTAATTACTGGAATTTTTTTTCCCATCTTTTGTTCTTACAATGTTTTGTAATATTAATCCATGTAACTGCATACCTTGAATTCACAAGAGCAAAACAACTGATGCTCACGTGCAGGTAATGTCTGTCTCTCTCATTCCCCTGTTTACAAATTCCAGAAGAATTATTGACATAACTTGACATTTTTGTTCAATTTTGGTAATTTTATTTTTCTTCCTATTTTGGTAATCTCCACATTCTCTATTTTGCAGAATTTGATTCAGAAACAAAAAGAGTTCAAGACATTCTTTCTGGAATGGAGAAACCACAGGTATGTGATCCCAAATTGCCACACACATCTATAATAGCAACTTTGATAGGTAGATAGTGTCACAACATACTAGTGATTTCGCAGGGGAGCACCTCTGAATTTTTTCCTTGATAGGTTGTTGCCACTGTATATCTATATATATAGGTATCTGTATATCTGTCTAACTCATTTTGCTGTGATATAAATCTAAAGAATCTTTTGGGCTATTTGGGGGCTCTGCCTACTGCAGGAATTGTACCAGTTACCTCTTTCCAGAGGACAACTCCCAGTATTGATACTGTGGTGGGGAACTCTGTGCACTGGATGAGTGGCATAGCTCTTACCCCCTGTCCCCTGTGTTTAATTTTATTTGTCATGAGCAATATATGTCTTTAATCATGATTAAATTAAGCTAATTCTATTATTCAATGGCAAATTACTATAGTCTGTGTTTGTCTGAGCCATAAAAGCCTGTGAATTAGAATGGAATTGAATGACCATGTAAATAACCCTAATGTTGAGTGTGACCACAGTCAGGTGAGGGTATTAATAAGTCTGGTTGTAACCCCTTTGAATGTCATGTTTTTCTAGTTTGGTGTGTCAAATAAAAACCAGAAGAGTACTGTGGATCTAAAGGAATGGTCCAAACCAGCACTGGAAGAAGCAATCACAAAGCAGACTCCTTTGCTCTCTCAGAGTTCAGGCCTTTCTCTGTCCAGCTGGAAAGATAGTAAAAAAATAAGCAAATAAATAAAAAGTAGTGATTGGAAAGCTCATCTAAAGACTGGATTTGACAGTAGCTGCTGGAGGCTGATACAAAGAAATTCTGCAGTGGGAGCCTTGGCTGCAGAAGTGGCAGAGCTCGGGAGAGGCAAGCAGGAGCACAGGCTGAGTTTTATTTTTGGACTCTTGGATGCTTTTTGTTCTCAATACATACAAAAGGTGTTTGGTCTTAAATTGCTCAATCAGTAGGTGTTGGATCCTGGTGTCATGGCATCGACAGGAGCCAGAATCTAAACCAGACCTGCAGAGATGATAAATACCAGCCTGAGTTCTGTTCACAAGAAGGAAAGTCACCTCATTTCATTTAGAAACAAGTGACCATAGTAAGCTGAAGACTGAGAAAAGAGTTTCAGGGTGATCAGAAGGGGAGAAAGTGCACTTAGCACAAAATTAGGTTTGTTTATTGTACAGAGAAAGTCAATATTTTTGTACCAAGGACCCCCCGAATGTTACTCATCTGGTCAATAGCCACAGCCAGGTGCTTTTACAAAGATCCAGAAAGCTGACAAGAAAAATGGCTTATTTCATACTTTCATCTTTAGAGGTGGGAAGAGAAGCTATTTGAGCAATTTGCAGGATTCTGAGATCTGTACAGTTAGATTTATGGTAACCAGAGCCTCTAAAGCAGAAAGGAACAAGAAACTAAAAGTAGACAAAAATTATTTTCCTTTAATCATAACAACTAGGATTTTTTTTTTTAAAGAAAATCTAAAGCATGACAAATGGTGGTTCAATAATAATGACATTTAGTGAGGTGATGCTAGGGATTATCTATTATTCTCCCTGTAACTTTGACATTTGTGAGTAATTAAACTCACAGGACTCTCACAAACCATTAATTGCTATGAATGATTATGTGCGTGTGTGTAGTCAGTATTACACTTGATAGGAATATATCACATCATGGCCCATATTGCTTGGCAAGCCGTATGCATATACGAATGAAAAATGAAACAATGTATAGAAAAACAATAGTGAAGAAAGAAATGATGCAAAACAAAAGAGCACAGAGCGGTAAGTGAGTGGCAAGTGGAGTGATGCTGTGTCTGCAGCACATGGCTTTGATGTGTCCAAGTGAGCAACTCCCTCCATCATCAATGGTATGGAAGCCATCCAGAGGGATTAGGCTTGTAAGCAACTCCTGAGGAGACTCCACAGCCATGGTATCAGTAGGAGGTGTCTGGCTTGCACAGGTACCTCTCAGAATACAAAATATACACACTTTTAAAATTATTACTCTATAAAAAAATCTACTTTTGGTAATAGATACTGTTACCTGTTTGAGAGACGTGCAGCCAAACTGTAAATTTAATTATAGCTTTGTCCCTTTAACAGCAAAAATGTTTAAAAACTCCTTTGGCTTTTATTCCCCCCCAGTTTTATTTAAACTGAAATATATTTTCAATTCACATTATCGCAGACAAAGTAAGCATTCTCTAAAACAAATAACTTCAGTGAGGGAAGGGAAACTTGATTCTGGGTGGGGGGGGGCAGCATTGCTGTGTTGTGGCTGCCGAGGGGCATCACCCCCCATGGGGAATCACCACAGGTCTGTCCAGCCAGAGCTCAAACATCAGTTTGACTTTCCGAAGGCAGCCTGCTCCCGCTGACTTGCTCTGCAGCGAAACTCATATTTAAACATTGGGATTTTTGCCTAAAATTGCAGGATTAGAGCCATAGTTTATAAGCAGAATCTCGACCCAGTAATAACCATGAATTCATTTGACCCCCAAGTCTTTCAAACCCTGCCCTCGAGGGAGTAAATGAATGTTGCTTGCAGTGTAGTTCTCACACACATACAATGAGCCCCTGAACCACACGATGCCTGTGAATGCTAACCCGGAATTTGAAAGATAATGAAAGTTGTACAGAAACATTTTTCATTACCTGAAAGACGGGAAGGGCCGATATTCATCAGTCTTGTAACCTTATTGAAGTGGTGCAGGAGCTGGATTCTTTCCCAGGGGCTTTTATGGAATAATTATTTACACCACCGAGTTTTGATAGCACAGAAAGGAGGCATTTACTGTGTAAACTGAGAAGTTTTCAGAAACTAATTAACTGTGCTTTTCACCAGACACACAAAACTCCTTGTGGGAAAATCTTTTGTTAGGTCTCGGCTAAAAGGCCGAGCCAGCCCTTGTCAAAGCCAGCACAGCAATTTTGGGGACAGATGAGACAGGCTGCAGTAACTAGAAGGAGCAGAAAGGTTTACCTGCACAGCCTAGGAAGAGGTGCTCTGGCTGCTTGTATTTTGGGTGGATGGAGTTAGGGCACCATTAATGAACAATAAACTGGTTTTTATTGACAGTGAAGTATTTATGTCTGCAAGTTCAGAAGGGACGTTAAGCCCACCATTGTGATGGTAGCTGGGCTGTTCCTTAGGCATGGAAAGGGCTGGTCCAGGTCTGTTCAACTGCTCCATATCTTTTGAAAGGTGTTTGTATAAGTAAGAAAAGTTGGAGATAAAGCTACCAAGCTGTTTTGCAAGTGCCTGCTTGTTATTCTCAGCATATCATAACCCCATTTATTTAACTTACCCTTTTTCCCAGCAAAGCTAGTGCTTCCTGCTCCAGGTAGGAGTTCCTTGGTAAACTAAGTGGTGGCTTTGGCCATGAAATGAGATATTGAAGAGATATGCCTTTGGCAGGTAAACGTGATATGGTATCAGCCTGTTGGTGGGGGAGCAGCACACGGGTTTATCTCCAGCCACACAAACAAATCCGTTCCCAGCGCTCGTGCTGACGTGCACAGCCCTGTTGTGCTTCTGTACCCAGGGAGGGTATAGATTTGCCTTCTCTGACTTTTATCGCACAGACAGTGACCTCTCACTTGCTTTCCTGCACTTGCTGTGTGTACTCAGTGCAGCTAAGAATTGTATTTAATGATTTCTGGTGTTTATTTTTAAGCCTCACCAGCAGTTGCTGTGCACCCACCACCACTGAGGCAGCCAGCAGCCACTCTCTCTATTAGTAAGAAATTAATGGTGTAACTGGAGCAGCTTAGCAACTGCGTTTGGACTTTCATCCTCTGCATGGAAATGTCTGCACACAGACTTCAGAATCACAGTCTAACAGTTTCTAGCAGTTAGTCCATAAGATACTTTCTCTTATTTTAAGAAACTTAAGACCTAACTTTTTACAGATTGCTGAAGTTCATGAAGGGCCAGAGTTTTGCTGTACGTGGAATATATACGTGTGTCCTTGGGAGTAGTCATAGAGAAAAACATTTCAATAGAACATTGGCAGGATATCGTCCCTCCAGCTCCAAGTCTGCCTGAATTTATGAAAAACAATTATGCAAGCGTATTTCCATAATAAAAGAAACTGCATGTTGATGGGCTGAGCTGGCATAGTAGTAATGTCTGTTAAAAAAAATAAAAATCTATTTGGATCTTACTATTCAGTTTTCTGATCAAAATATTATTTAAAATATGGACTTTTAGCTCCAAATATCCTTGCCACGTTTTCATTCGCATGTGTGTATATATATATATCTCTCAAAAATTTAACTTATCTCACTTGAACCATTCAAGTGTCTTATAAGCTATCTAATCCAGTATTGGTGTCCTCTGGTCCAAGTTCTTGAAGTAAACATTGATTTCATAGAATCAGAAAAATATGGCAAGAAAATGTCGTGAAAACAAGAAATGCCATGAAAATTCTTACAAGAATTTGCATGTCCATGTTTTTTACTAAGAAAGCTTGATGCTACTTAAACTTTCTTGCCTTAAAACTTATTTTTCACATTAGGTTGAACAAAGGTTTTCTTTTTTGGCAAGACTTGACTGTGCTGCTATAAATTAAAATCTTTAACTTTTGAGATCACGGTGTTTAAGATATGTTTCATGGTGTCACCTACTTGTCAGTCTGTTAAAAATGGATTTATGACTTGCTCAGAAAGAATCTGCTTGATATTATGGGTATCAGACACAACAGTTGCAGTGCTCATCAGCTGGAAGCAATGTGTTTTCACGTGAGAGTTAAATATTCTCCATTCTGTAAAGATATCCAGGAGCCAGATTTGTAAACAGGGAGTCCTTTAAAGCTGATTGCTGAAACTTCATTACCAAATAATTTACAGGTAAGGGGTTTCACTTGTCTCAACAAAACTTAGGAAATGTATAACTGAGCACCTGCATCCATCTTATGCCTTCCAAAATAACAACATCTTGCTCTGTGTGTTGGAAAAATCTGTTAAAATGAGAGAACCAGTGAAATTTGATGCATAGGAGAAATCAAGAATATAAAACCTCAGTCTTTGATTCCTCTTCATGGAGCGTAACTAAAAGAATATTCTTCATATATTCACTACAGTTAAGAAGGAAGAACATAATTTTCATGATGAAAAGTGGAGAGTTTGTGGCAGAGCACTTGAGGCTCTGGAGGCTTTGAGGCTTCCCTGTGCTATTTCAGCAGGCATGTATAAAAATGTGCTGCTTTTCCCAGATAGCCAGTGCAACTATTGCTTCTTATTTCTTTTTCTTCTGGGACAGTGGCAGGGAGATTTTTTTTCCTTCTTTCTTAGCCTGATAACAGAAGGCTGTTCTCTGGGAAGCTGCTGTCGGGTACATGCAGCTGATATGCCAACAGCTGTCCTGGTGAGCAAGGTGATGCCAGTTCTCTAAGCTTGGTCAGTCTGGAGTTAGGTGAACCTGGGTCTCCAGAAGAATACAGCTGCACTGTTGGGGTGATAAAATTGGTTTAGTGCCCGGGTTTCAGGTATTTCTTCTGTGTTTTATTGATAGAGAATCTTGCCCATCTGCTGTGGAGGTGTCACACCCAGGGGCCACTGCAGATCACACAGTCAGTCTTTATCTGGGCACAAAGTGATTGATTTGCAGTGTAATTTTTAATTGACAAGTTGGACTTCTGTTGTGATTTTCACTTAGGCTTTTGAGTCAGTGTAAATTTGCAGATTAAATTGGTTTTTTTAACTTATTTGCAGTTGAATTATTACAGTTTCAAATGATAAGGAGAAATAGGATGACTGAAAAAACCATCAGAGTTTTTTTAGAGAAGTCTCCCTAAAAAGACTTTGGAGAAATTATTGTGTGTAAAACAATCTATAGGATAAAGTCTTTGTTCCACTTAGTTCTAACTCCCTTCTGGTAATAGCCATGGCAGCAGGTAGCTCCAGAGTGGTGTGAGGCATCCTTTGTTGGATGCTCAGACAGTGACGAGTCAGTTCACTGCAGGGAGAAATCTCTCCATATTGCTCATCTGTTAGAAATTACTTTATGCCATAAATCTGTATTTTTGTTTGTGCTGTTGACCATTTCTGACCCTTTTCTTTTCAAGTCTAGCTCTGAAATTTCCATTTTACAAGAAATGGGTTGTGAAGATGCAAGCAGAAAACAAAAACTTAGAGGATAGTGGTTTTTTTTTAGCTCAGAATTCAGAGTAACTGATGTTTCTTCTACAGGTTACAAATATTCAAGCAAGAACAGTTTTACTTTCCTGGTCACCTCCCACTGGCCTTCTAAATGCAGATAGACACAACAACGGTTTGCCTTACACCTGTACCTACGAGGTTGCCTTATCGGATAAAGGGAGGGATGGAAAATACAAGATAATTTACAGGTAACAGCGCCATTTTTTACACTTGTGTTTTCGTTGGGAATAAATTCTCTGAGCTTTTCAGAGCTGGCATGCCCATCAGTCACAGAAGAAAGGCACATTTGAGCACCTTCTGGTTGTTCCCTCAGCTGTCCCGTCGACCCCCTCGCTGGAGGAGCTTGAAGGGAGCTGAGTGCACGTCACAAGGTCCCTAATTCCCATCCCATCCCACCTCCCTGGCACGTGGCAGCTCCTGCAGCCTGTGCTGCCTCTCCCGTTGCCAGTGAAAAGGTTAATTTCTCTCCTATGCTAAATGTCAGAACCTTCTGTGTACACCACACCTGCCTTCCTAATGGGCTGGTTTTGTGTGGACTTGTAGAATTTAGCACAGTAAAGCTTGTTATTTCAGCTAACAAGCAAAATTTGAGGGCTTTGCTGCCTTGTAGTGTCTTAGATGAGCAGAGGAGGGAGTACAGCCATCAGTAGTTATAGAGGCTCCCCAGAAAAACCCGAATACTTGGCTCCCAGCAGCCCTCAGTAAAAATTCAGAGGGATTTCTCTGTGTCTCCTTGCAGTGATCCTCTTGAGCTCATTCTGTGATCAAGTACATATGGTGTTATGCTTTTCTTTTTCCCTGCTAATGACATCTAGGAAGGAAAATTTGGAGATGTGACCTTGACTATTGTGAAATACCTAATCCTTCCCAAATCTCATTAAATAAAGTCCAGGTGATAGAGCATTTATGGAATTACCTCTTGAGACCAAGCCATCTCCTTTCTTAAGGGTATTCCTCTTGGTATGCTGAAGGCAGGTTTTGGGTAATGCAAAAAGAAGGTATTAACCAGAGAAAGGCTGCCTGATTTTTTTTAATTTTTTTTTTTTCTGGCGTTTACACTGGCTATTTGTGAGCCAGTGTGAGCATCTCCATAGTTCAGTATGTGCTGCTGAGCTTCTAAAATGGGAAGGACACCTTCTAGTACTTCTTGTGCTTGCTGGTGAGAGGGCTGCACATTTTCTCCTGGTTAGGAAACGTTGTGCATCTGTTTTAAAGCTGCTGGTGGTGATGTGTCTCCTGCTGCTGGCCAGAGTGCAACCATTAGCTTGATGTGGTACATTCCATCAGGAGCAGCAGTAACAGTTATTACTATAGGCAAAAGAAACTCAGCAATATGTCAAATACATTGTCTTTGCAAGGAGGTGAACTCATTTCAGAGGGGGGGGAAAAAAGAATTTGCAGAGCATTGAATTATATGAAAACAAAGATTTTTTGTTTTTTTGGTGTATTTTTGACATGTGCAGGCATGTGCTTTCTGGTGAATTTTGTTCTCTTGATTTTGAGACGTCTCCCTGTATTTGTCCAGCTAGCTATGAAATATTCCTTTATGCTAAATTGAGAGCTTTCTTGTTTCCCATATTTTAATAAAATCACGAATAAGCCAGGCTCTTACATGAGATGGCTATTACTTATTAAGCACTGACCCGTACCTTAATCTTCACAGAACTGGCAACACATGACTGAGCCCAGTGTTCATTTACCAGCAAACAAGCCAGAAGGAAAAAGAATAGCCCTAACTATGTTGGCTACATTTGAAATAAATAGATTATTTGCTGGGTTTTTTCCTAAAATGTCTGAAACTCTGTGCTTTTACTTCTCTTAGCATTAAAGGAGAGCTGGATCCAGCTGTTCAGGCATTAATTAAAGTCTCCTTGCCATGATCCTCACAGGGAGCATCATTCTGGAGGAGAAAGCAAATAAGTGGAACAGTTGTGCAAGAAACTATGCTTCTTCCTCTGAAGTTCAATGACTCACTTTTTATAAAGTATTTTGAAATAAGGAATGTGCCGAAAGTACAGAAATAATGTTTGGATTCCATTCTTTTTTTCAGCTCAGGGAGAGTAGAAAACCACAGTGTGCTTTATGCAAATATCAACAAAATCCAAGCATTGAAATAAACCCATATAGCTGGTTTACTGTATAAATTGGGATGATAAATTTGTTTCTTCTGTGTATATGGAGCTTTATAAAGTTTTCAAGAAACATGAAGTGTGTTGACAAATTGTTGGTATATTGTTTGCTACTTTGTTTTTATTGTTATATATTGATAATTTTTTGTCGTTTTATTGTTATATTGTTTTTCTTTGGTGGGATTATCTCTTTTCTTTCAAATTATATCACTAGAAAATCACTAGCTGTGCTAAGTGTGATACTACTTTTCATAATTTACTAATTTGTTGAGTTTGGTGTTCTTTCTTGCAGTGGAGAAGAATTAGAATATAACCTGAAGGACCTTAGGCCAGCAACAGATTATCATGTCAGGTGAGTTAGTGTGGATGTGAATGTCACTTAAATATAAACTCTTCCATTATATAAGAATAAATGTGAAAGTTTTTTAACTAAATATACAGTGTAGTTAGTTCAAGGATTTAATGGTCACCTCTGTAGGTGTATTTTCAATGATTTCTACATATTTTGCAGTAGATTTTTTTCTTGGACTTTAAATTATGAGCATGCTTCTCAAACAATGTTTTCTGTTGTGTTGTCATTGCTGTAGAAAGAGGGAAAAAGAAGTCTACATGTCTGTATTTCTGTGTTTGAAAGTGAGATACCTGAAGCTGCTTAAAAACTTGACTCAAGCAACTGGTGTTTCTTCAGCTACTGTAGCTCTGAAAGTTCTCCAGCCCGCTTTGTTCATAAATAGTCTGTGCTTTGGGAAGTAAATCTGCTGATTACAGATCCATCTGACTGTAGTAATTTCAGCATTTGTTACAAGAAAAAAAGAGTGATTCGCACTGATCTGTGCTGATATTTTCAGGGCATATTTCTCTTTGATTCTGAAAATGTGTTTTACACATTTATTAACTATTAACACATTCTAGTTTTGCTCCCTGATGTTTTTAACATGGTCTGCATTACCTGTTCATGTTGCTTTTTTTTTAAAGACTTGTTTATGTACTAAGGCTTCAAATTCACATCCTGTTCAGTTACCCTCCATATCCTTTAAAAAAAAAAAATCCTTTCATTCCTATCTATTGTTCCCTTCTGTTTTTCCAAACAAGGGCTAAGCATGGTGTGCTGTTTCATGTCCAGGCTGTTCCTGTTTGCAAAACTTTAAAGGACACCTTGCTTCTGAGCTCTAAAAAAGATCCAACACCTAAGTGTGTCCATCTTGTTCTGATACTGTAGGTTCTTTTCAGTTTTAAGGGTAGTTTCTAGTGGAGCCCTAAAATAAAATTTTCAAGTAGAAGGAGAAGACCAGAAGTAATTCATCATAAATAAGGAAAAGATGCAGCTCCTGGGCTGGGCAGGAGTTCCGGCCACATCAGGGATGGTAGCAAGGAGAAGAAGGTTGTAAAACACTGTTGAGCTTCCTGCTGTAAGCACTGAGCATCTCTTTTGAAGCCAACTTCAAACACCAGAGTGGTCACCATGTGCAGTTGAGTGGAGGTCTTGGTCATTTTTAGCGGTATTTGTCCCATGTCCTGGCTGAGTTCTTCCTCCCTTACCTACAGCTCCCTCCACCTTCCTGCAGTTTATCAAATTATAATTCATTTGTGAACAATTAGCAGTAACTTCTGTTCAAAAATAAGTAACTGCTAAATATAAAAGTCAGCCTTGCAAAACAGCAGCCCGTGTTTTCAGTAGAGCGAGTCGACACCGAACGAGCTTCCTATTTGCTTGGCATGACAGGTTTTTTTTTTCTTCACTGTAACTCCATTATGTATTAACATCTGTGAAGAAATAAATCTGTTCAGTAAAGAAATTTAAGGGCCAGCTTTGGGTCTCCTTAACCTTGGCAGCATCTCTCGGGGCTTTGTCTCTACCAGACAAGGTGCTTGTTCTTGCTGCTGCCCTGTGGGGCACCTGGGGCAACCTGGTTCACTCTGAACCCACTGCTTGCTTTTCTTCAGGTGTATTGTTGTGGTACCTTCAGGGCTGACTGTGCTGTGTTTCAGTGACATGCAGAGGATGCCCCCTAAGTTCGTTTTCTCATGGTTTTATTCCCTTATGGTTTGTGTTGGATGCTTGGCTGTGCTCATTTCCAGCAGATGTACACAAATTGCATTTGTTTTCACTCCTGACTGCTAATAGGTGATGGGTAAAGCAGCACTACAGCAGTTCTTGTCAGCCTCCCCCAAAAGGTTTGATTCTAGGTAGGTGGCCATTGTACATAAATTACTCTTATCTACTGAAAACAAATTTAGAAATTGCCCTTTCTTTAGCTCTGCATTCAAGTACACAATAGCTACAGCCAACTCAGGTCATCGTCTGGTCATGATTTGAACTTTTTTTTTGAGTAGAAGACTTCCAATTTGCACTTTCTTTTGCTGCATGGAAAATGTGAAGGGAAAAAATAACACCATTAATTTTTCAGAGAAAGGCACCTCTTGAGGAAGTGCTCAACTATATCCTATTTGCTTTCCCACATGGTTTTGTATTTTATATCCCCCCTCTATGGTGATATATAGAAGATTTGCCTGAAATCAAATTTGCTTTGAAGATTTTTATTTTATCGGAATAATATTGCTGAGCTATGTTAGTTCTAATCCATGGAGGTCCACTAAGTGTTGACACCTGAGCTATGTAGGATGAGCTTGTACCCGTGGAAGGAGACCAGCAGTTACCACCACTCAACATGGTACATGTGAATCAAGTGTAAAGCAGGTGTTAAAGTTGACACCTTTTTCTCATGAGCTCATACTTTCCCTTGTGTTGCAAAGAGAATTTTAGCACAGTGTGTGGAAGTCTGGCAATTACAAGGAAGTGGTGGAAAGAAAAGATGATGATGAAGATAACTCAGTGGTCTCTGGGAGTATTTGCACAAATTACTGTAGTGTTTGCCTTCTGCTGTGTGGGTTTTTGGGGTTTTTTTTGCCTACTTGTATGAAGTGAGGTAAAATAAGGACAGGCACTGGTCTGTGATAAATCTGTCATTAGTGAATGGTATCATGGATGCTTTGGTAGTCAAATACTGCGGCTGAGACAGTGCCAGTGTAACTGTCAGCAAATTTATAACCCACTTGATTACTCTTTCCAGGGTATATGCAATGTACAACTCAGTAAAGGGATCCTGCTCAGAGCCAGTAAGCTTCACCACTCACAGCTCAGCACCAGAGTGTCCCTTCCCACCCAAACCCTCGCACAGGACCAAAAGCTCCTTAACCTTACAGTGGAAGGTAGGTAACGCTGGGATCGGGCAAGAAAGCAGGGAAAAATGGAGTTCACTGACAGTGAGCATAAATACTGAAAATAATTGAAAGCTGAGACAGTAATTTTTCAGTAAGAGACTTGAACTTGCTCTACTCTGACAAATCCCTTCCCGTGCACTGACTTGACTTTTAAAATGTATGTGTTTCATTATCATTAAGAGGTTGCCAAGCCACGTGCAAAGCACTTGAAACTGTAGTCATTTGCCTGGGGGGTGGTGAAGTAGTTTTCTTCTATTCCCCAAGTCACCTTTTGTTTATTTTTGTTTGTAGGCACCCATTGATAATGGTTCAAAAATCACCAGCTACCTTCTGGAGTGGGATGAGGTAAGTTGTAACTAGTCGAAATAAATACACAAATAAATGGTACTCAGACTTTACAAGGATTTGCTGAGTAAAGAAAAATAATTAAATACAGGAGAAAATAGAAGGAGGAAAATGAAATCCTGATGACATTAGGTAAAGAGTTGGAAAGGTGAAAGGGGCAGCGAGGGGAAAACTTTCCATTTAGTTTATTTTATGCAGAGATAATGTTCCGTACTCATGAAATCTTTTATCTCTCATTTGGTGTATATTATTTGTTAATTGGCATTGCTTACTATTTCATTACTTGTAATGTATCTTGGAGTTCTGTTCATGATCTCTTTCTTCTGTTTACTGACTGAGTGCAGAATAAACACTGTTCCTGCCTCAGAGGAGGCAAGCTATGATCTTGCAGCCCTTTCTACAGAGAATGTACTCAGGGTCAAAATAAGTGTCCTTTACATAGTGACAATTAGTCTCCTTCCAAGCACAAAAGGAATTAAGTTCTCTCCTAAGTGGTTAGTGAGCAATGGGCTGTTGGGGAGGGTGCCCTGACAACATGGTGTGGATGATTTTTTGGAGGTGGGTTCTTGTGAATCCTCCTTCTGTCCCCTGATTCCTTTCTGCCTCCTTTCTTTTGTGCAAGCCATATTTCTGCAGAAAGCATGAGTCAGGGAGTATCATCTTTGAAGGAAAAAATACATAATGGGTGACAGAAAGGGCTTGGGCAACATGTAAAGAAAAAAAGAGTCATGAGTCAGGAAATGAAGCGTATGAAAGGGTGTCCGGTTGTGCAGTCTGAGAAACATCTCTTGAGGTCTTTTGTAGTCTAAAAATATTCTGAAGGGAGTATTCTGTTATGAATAGTTTTCCATTATTGCACTAATAACACATTCCCAGATCATTCTGGCACATGTTGGGTGTTTGGAACCACTCACTGTGCAAACATTTATTGTATGCACTGTCACAGCAAGTGGGGTCTGCATGATGAGAAACCCTCTGAACTGAAAACAATAACTTCAGAATGACTTGCTGTCCCTCTCTGCATAATGGAAGGGGAAAGGTCGTCAGTGAAGAGGGAAAAAAGCGGAGTGTGAGGTCTGGGAAAAGGGATTAAAGAGATATTTCTCCAAAAGGATTGGCCAGGATGATCCCGTTACGCCTTCTGTGACACCTTGACTGTGCACTTGTGATCTCTTCCAAGGCTTCCAGTAATTTGGAGCCATGGGAACATAACAGCACCAAGCAGTGAAGCAGTGGAAATGTGGATTATTTTAGCCTGCAAAGGGAAGGAAAGCAGCAGAAGGTCTTGTCAGAAGACCTTGTCAGCAGACCATTAATACAATGCAAATACTTTGGATATTCATTTTGTCTGCATGGAACCTAGACATAATTTTATATATATATATATATATATATATATGTATATGTATATATATGTATGGCAATTCTAAAATTCTTTCATCCTTTATACCCTTTAATACTGATTATATACCTAGAGTTTTGTCTTCAGAAAGAATGGTTATGATATCTCTTTTTCTCAGGGGAAAAGCAGTTTGGTTTTGGGTAGCTCAGGTACCAATGGGGAAAAATTGAGGCATCCTGATTCCATTAGTCTATCTATTTTAATTACCTTGTTTTCTCAGTAACAGCCATGAAATCTGAGATCACAATGGAGAACTAGCCAGCACAAATGAAAGAAGAATGGCCTTGCACAAATTAATTTGGTACATCTCCAATGATTTGACAGGACTCCTGGATGAAATGTAGTTGTCAGGTTCTGAGACAGTTAATACCACAGGTGTAGCTTCTCTAAAAATTCTTCTCCTCTGATATGAGACAGAAATGCCATTTTGAGACGCTAAATTAAAACCTGCTGTTTAGGCTTGTTAAAGAAAAAGTCTGAAGATGCAGGCTGGCTGTGCCTGGATCTGAAGGAACCTCATCTCATGCAATGGTGAGCTCGGCAGGATGTTCCACTCACTTTTTCAGGTGCTATGGCAAGTTGTGCCTCTGACATGAAGTGCATTCAGCTACTGGAGTTGCACCTCCCAAGTACAAAAGAGAATTCACTTGCAGTGCTCTGTACCCTCGCACTTGGTTGTATAAACTCCACGTAAGCAAAAACACTGACTTTTCCACAATGCCACACTGTGTCCTGGTGAAATCAAGAAATAAATACATCAGAGCAGAGGAGAACGCTTGCCAGGCAACAGCAAACACGCTGCCAGATCTCAGCTAGAGCAGCATTCATTAACTACAGGGCACAGGATAAAATATAAACACGGGAAAATCAGCGATAGAAGGAAATTAAATCGTGGCTGCAATGCAGGGAGGGCTTTGCAAGAGCGGAGAACGAGAAATGTATCCAATTATAAAGTTGGAAAAGCACCCTAAAATGGCAGCCTGCCTGGGAAGTTGGTCCCTTCCTGGGGAAGGATGGTGTGAATGAACTGTGGAAAGCCCTTGCCCCTCTCACCGTAGGCAGATCCTTGAAAGCTGTTGTGCAAAGGCTGCAGCCTCAGACTGTGTAAACAAAACTGGCATCAGGCACGGAGGTGTGAGGAGAGGTGGAGGTGTTCAGACAGGCACCTCCAACTGTATCCCAGTGTGTTCCCCCAGCTTGAGCTGTGTTACAGAGAGGGCTCCAGCAGCCCCTCTATGCTCCCTCATGGTGGGTCATGGGTTATCTGTCTCTGAGATCTCTGGATCTTGGAGCATGTCAGATGCTCAGCAGTATGTCACCCTCATTCCTCTTGTTTTTACAGGGCGGAGGCACAGTTTGTAGCATGTAAAATGCAGCCAGGGGCATAGGTGGCATCACTTGTATATGCAGAAAGTGAATTGTTGCTGTAAAGCGACAGCAGGAGTACCATGTTTTACAGCCCTAGGGTTAGGTGAGGTGGGAAATTCTGCTTAATAAGTCACTGTGCCAGTCCTACCCAGCTACTGCCTCAGTGTAGTTCTGGGTTTTGGTGTTTTTCCTGACCTGTAGACTCAGTAAAATCCTTGATCGACAAAGCTATTCCTACTGTTCCATCTTTTTCCCTCCCAATTTGGATTAAAGAGTTAGGATCAGCCCCTCATCTCCGTTAGTTTGAAATCCAGTGGGATATCAACAAGCCTGCACCTCAGGTGCTGTGACTGACAATAGTCATCTGGCAATAAAATCAATTAAAATTAATAATTAAGGAAAACTTCACCTTCTGACTCTGCTATGAACTTTGAACTTACAAACCTGAACTAATCAATTGATGACTTGGTGCCAGGATTGTTTATTCAGGGTCAGCAAAGGCTAATCAGAAAAAAAATAGCATTAGTTGTATACCAAAAAGGAAATGTGACTGTAAAGGAGGTGATGCTTTCTCCTGATGCCAGTGTTCATCAAAATCAGTAAACTGTAACTGCATTGAAAAATGCTGCTGGCACTGCTGTAAGAATCAGGCCTTTGTTACTAATTAGATGTGAAATGCTGGTTCTGTGATTAAGTGGTAGTAAGTAAATGTTTCTCTTGTGCATATGGGCAGCGAGAGTATCCTATTCATTCTCTATGGGAAAAGGGAGGAATGTTCCTGAGTCAGAAACAAGGACATCCCTCTCACACAGTGTGTGTCTCTGTTTTATGTACAACTCAAAGCAGCTTTAATTCTCATCCAGTAAGCAGCTCATTTTAATCCACTCGAGAGAGACTGATACAACACCACACTACTTAACGATTTGATGATGGATAGTTAATAATGAAGTTTATTATATAGGTAAATTGAGATCATTTTGTTCTGCCACAAAATTTTTAATTTCTCAAGGTAGCAGAGATGTGCTTGTTTTTTACCAGCTGATAATCTGAGCAAAGTATCTCAGTGAATGCTGAGTGTGTATCCAAATGGAATTTGGATACACAGGGCTCCATGTTTGTGCTCGTTCACTCACTTGCTCTCTGAGTCTGTTCTGTGGCTGTGCCACTCCTGTGAGACATGCAAGAGGAGAGCCTTGGATAAAATTGGGGTTTGTGTATATTCTAGGGATGTTTCATAGGTCTTTTGCTATCTTCTAAATGTTTGTATGTAGAGAAAATTATGTGTATAACTTCCAACTTATGTGTATAACTTGCACAATAAATGCTTTGCAGAGATCTTAAGGTGTGTTACACTAATTGTTGACAGTTTGCTCTGCAGCTCTGTGTCAGATTGAGTATCAGTCTGTTCCTTTTTATTGCCAATATGACCTGAACATAGCAGCTAATGCTGGCGTGGCCACAGATGTCCATCCTGCCTCCTGGTTGCAGATCTGATGCTGGCAGCTCTGCTGCAGATTTCTGTGGTGAAGGACTGTGCTCCATTCCTGCATCACTGTACCTACAGTGGCCACTTCCTCCTTTTGTGTTTATTTACTGCCTGTGCTGCAGGGAATGCAGTCAACAAAACCCGTTTAAATGCTCAAACCCCTTGTTCAATAAATACACTCGCCAAGAGACACTTTGGCACCCTGTGTTGAGTGTGTGGCTTGAAATATAGCTGAAATAGCAGGGAAAACTCTTAAAAACTGTGTGTAAACGCTCTGTTAGAGTGTTGTGCAAATTCTGAGGGATTTGTGGAGCTGAATTGTTCTTGTTTCCTGACAGGCGCTGATGATCATCACAGTATGGGTTGTCCTGGAGAAGAATAGGGAACACAGGCTGGAGAAAGCAGGCCTGGAGGAAAAGTCAGACAGCACTCCCTCTGAAATCTGGGGATTAGAAATATTTGCGGAAATGATACAGTGTATTTTAAGCAACTTACGAAACATTATTTAAAGGATTAAAAACTTGGATGCCGAGTGTACAAAGGATAGGAGAAGGATTCTGGGAAAGCTGTAAGACTCTTGGGTGGCAGCCAGTACCAGCCTGCCAGTTGTTCCTGTCTATAATTATGCCAGCATTAGTGCTTTCATAAATCTTGGGAGAGAAGGAGCGGAGAGGCTATTTCCAGGCTATTAATGCCAGGATAATTAGAAATATCGGCCAGCCTCTCCAATTAGTGCCAATAGAATCCAAAATACCAGCCAGTCTGAGTAATTTGAATACCAGTTGGTCTCTGAGTGAGTCTGGGGAATGTACAATACCAGTTCTACAAGAGAAATATATACAATATCAGAGTTTGTACTGTTATAAAGTTGAAGATAACTTAGATGTTTGACAATCTTGGCAAAGTTTTAACCCACCAGTTTGATAAATGAGAGTTTCCTTGGCCCGTTGCTCTCAGTTCAGGCATTGTGCTACAGGTGAGATTGTCCATGACTTTTCCTTTTTACCCAGCATTGCTTTATCAAACACACGCTTAGTATTTGGTCATTTTGTTCTCTTGGAAAAAAGCATAGGTAAATCACAAAAAAAACCTACATTCTTAAGCAGAAATCAAAAATAAATGTTTTCAATTGTTTATAAGTAGTAAAGTCATCAAAGAGTTGGAGGAAAATTAATTTAATGCAACTCAACCTATAAAAGAGAGTTTGCATAGGGAAGAAAAAAAATATATTCTTGATAGTTTTGCACTGATGAATGGATATTTTACTGAAACACGGGATTTCTAATGTGGTTTTGTGTAGTGTGGAGTTTACACACATTATTGCTGAGCTGGGATGTATGGTCACCTATCTTTTTCATCCTAAAGTAATTTTATCATAGAACTCTATAACTAGGGAATTTAGATCTGAAAAGGTTTTCTCATTTTACAAAATGATTCTCTTCTAATTCCATCTCTTGATTTGCTTGATCCATACAGTAATGTTACAGCTGGAGCAGGTGGGTGAAGTTGAAGGAGATTGTGTATAAAACCAAGTTCGAGAACAAGTGTAGGCTCACTGTGCATAAATAAAAGTTAGGGCTGTTTGCCAGTGTGATAAATGTCCCTTCAGTGCCTCCACATTGTTATTCCGTGCTGGAGATCTGCATGATTGTTTCTAGCTTGATAAACACGTTCTGGAGATAGACTACAAACATTTTAGGGAGTTTTGCCTTCTGTGTTGTAGTCTGAGGGAAAATAAGTAGAAATTGGTAGGAGCTGGAGAATGGCCAAGTGAAAAATGCATGTCCCACTCAGGCATTTTTGAGATCTTTAGTGGCAAAGTGATGTATTGAGCATGGAGTAAGAATGGGGTGTGGGAGGGCAGAGCAAGCCCAAGGAGGCAGCAGCAGGTGAAACTGTTGTCTGCAGTGAGGGACGCCCATATAGATAATAAAATAATAATTAAAAATTGTAGAGACAGGTGCCAAAGATAGTAAATGGCATAGCAGAGCTTTTCGGTCAGAAGAAGTTGCAGAGATAATTCTGTCTCCTGCACCTATCTGAGCCCATGGATGTCATTTGCCAAGCTTCTACTCTGCTGTGCTTAATAATGTAATTGTCCATTAATTTTGCATTCAGGTATTGAAATTAAAAGCCTTTAAACTGCTTCAGCTCTGTTAGATATTATTTATGAAGAGTTGAGCAGTCCATGCCCTTTCTCCAGAAAGATTTCAAATTGATCATTTCCTGCATGTGACATAGTATGAAACCAGATATTCCTTGTTGGTTTAGGCTCTCTGCCCTGCAAACAGCTCGGCTTAATTTTTACCCCAGGATGTACCAAGTTGGGGTGCGTTGAAAAGGTTTTTGTGTGGTTTTAAATGTGGTGGGGTGAAGGAGAGAACTTCTGAGTGCCCTTATCCTCAGCCATGCTGGTTTGTACCTGAGGAAGGATTTGGGAGCTGGAGAGGTGTCTTGATACCCTCTCTGGCTGCTGCCCCATCTTGGCTTTGTCAGGATGGATCACTGTTCCAGGTCATGCTGATGTGAGACTTCCATAAACCATCCCTCTGGTATCCAAGTTTCTTACCAAAGCTGCACACTTCCCAACAAATCCTCTTCACTCATTATGTGCTCCAAGCAGTGGGGTCGGTGCAGAACTGGCACGTTAAATATTCCTCTGTGATTAATAAATCTGTTTTGCCCTGGAGAGCAGAGGGGGGGGCTGGTTGTACCTGGGTTGTCCCGCTGGGTCTGGCCACAGCTCGACTGTGGGGAGCGAGAGCCCTCTTGTGGGATAGAGAATTCCTGAAGGACCAGGGAGGGATGGAGGTACGGAGGGTAGAGCTTGCAAGAAATGTTGGCTGCACCTTTCCTGTGCCTCTGTGACTGAGTGGATTGAGGGATGATTTTACCCTTAATTTGCCTGGTTTTTTGTTAATGAGTGGGATAAATCACGTTTCAAGCAGAATGCCAGGAGCTGTAGATACATCTCACAAATATAAAACTCTGAGAAGAGGAGGGATCTGTCAGCAGGCTGACTGTGCTGATCTGTGGGATTTCGGGAGCAAAGCAGCACTGTCAGTGCTTACACAGCCTCCTTTGCACAGTGCCTGTATGGAAACATCCAATTCTAATATTGTTTAACAACTTTTTAAAATAAGCACCGTGTGGTTTTTGTTTCATAGCGATCCAATTACAGATTTCTCTCTTTCTAGGGAAAGAGGAACAGTGGTTTCAGAGAATGTTACTTTGGGAGCCAGAAGCATTGCAAGCTGACTAAGCTTTGTCCAGCTTTGGGTTACACCTTCCGATTAGCGGCCCAGAACGACATCGGTACTAGGTAAGCTACCCAAGGTACACATTTATTTGAGGAAAAAGTGATAGCTGGAAAGTTTAACTATCAGTGACAGTAGAAAGAGGAATTTCTGAGGGGGATTTTTGTTTATTTTTTCTCTTCGTGGTTTTGAGTTAAAGCTGCACCTTCCCTGGTGGTATCCTTCAGGTCTCAGGGAATTGCCCTATACCATCAGCATGATGAGGTCAACCTAAGAAGATAGGCTCCTTTTGAGGTGTTAAATGGTGTTTTGTGATCTATTCCTAATACAAAAAGAATACATCTGTTATGTAAAATTCCCACTAGGGACCTCTGTGAACCAAGAAAAACAAGCAAGAGGAAGTTGAGTTACAGATTTTGAAAGGAATCTTGATATATTTATTTTTCTGGTTTAAAGCAAAGCCCTTCTGTCTCTTTTCAACAGTACAGTCCCTTCCTTCTTCCTCAGGACTGGCAGGGCTGGATGATGGGGTGGGAAAGAAGGGGGAGAGAGCCAGGACCGTGACAGGACAGACACACTCAGGGACACTGAAAGATGGGATTTAGCTTCTGCTTTTCCTTGCACATTAACAGATGCACTCAGATGAAGATGGTAAGAAATCAGACTTAGTTCAATCCTCTGGGAGCTGCCGGGGAGCACTGGGATAAAATGTTCTGCAGCTGAGGACCAGAGTGTGCCCAGAGACATCGTGTTGCAGGGGCTGTGTGTACTCTCCTGTGCTCAGGGAAGGAAAGTAGGCCAGGAAGAGTTTAGCTGTGAAGAAACCAAACATCCAGTGCTCTTGTGTACTCCTTTATTGTCCTTCTTGGCTAAACAGGATCTAATCATTATTACAAGAAGGACACAAAAAGAAACACTAGTGGTACATAACAGTGTGTTCGGTGGAGGGAGATTCCTGTATTGTTCTCTCTTCTAAAGCACAAACCTCTGAGTAACATAGCTTTAAAAAGCTGCTTTATTCATGGTCCTGTGTTTTCTCTGAGATGCACTGAGACCATTCATGTATGCACAGTCCCTTTTCCCAACTGCTTGCAAGATTACTTCCCTCCCAGTTGAAATAATACTTGATCTGGAAAGCGGGGGGGCTTGAGCTGCTGAGTGTAACTGGAAGGGATTTGGGATTGTGCAAAGTTCCCAGTTCTGGCATCTCTTTTCTTTGCCAGATTCCAGATTTTTAAAATACCTTAGGGTGTGTTTCAACATTCCCCCCCCCGCTTCCCCCTGCCCTTTTTTTTGTTTTCCCTATTTTTTTTATCTTCAAGACTATCAAGCAGGGAGTGAACTAAGAACTGTATTTACGGTCAGCTGCTCTGTGCTAATCTGTGAGATAAGCACCAGCAGCATAGGGCTTATTTTATAGGCAGCACTCAAAATTATGACATGATAATGTCATTTAACACTTCATGTCATAAGATGGTTTTGATTGGTTGTAATGCTTGTGGACTTACCATCTAAGATGATTTTTGTCTTGTTCAGGTGTTAGTTATATGTGGATTATTTAACTATAATAGTATTTCAACAAAAATGCTATTTTTGAGGAAGAAGACTTAAAAAGGAGATGTCCTTTTCTGTGTGTTAAATTTGAGGTATTACTTTAAGGCACAAAATAAGTTCGTACTTTGGAAACACAGATTTGAACATTGCAAGAACATTACCTTAACTTGAGAGTTTTTTGTTCTCTTCCCAAAATTCCACCAGAATCTGTCCATTTAAAACTCTGTTCTTGAATTTCCATTGTACATAATATATTCTGCATGGAAATTTGAGAGAACTGTTCCACACTTGCTCATCTCCTGCCTGTTGTTTTAAGGATACTGGGATTTGACAAAAGGAGAGCTTGCATCCCCTTGGCCACAGGTGTTCTCTCTGGTTGCAGCCTGAGCTGTGCAAAACTTTATGCTCAGCTTAAAATGCGAAGAAGTTTGGGCAGGGAAAATCAGGAAGGAGTAGAGCCAGCCTGGAGGGCTGGAAGGTGTCTGTGCCTGCACCAGGCAGCTCCTACGTGATGCTGAGCATGTATGGGCAGGACTGGATAAATTTTTCCTGCTTTCTTTGGAGGGGGATGTCTGAAGCAGTGGGACTAGATTTGCTGAAGAACTCACCTTTCAACAGTGTAGCTTAAATAGAAGTTGTGTTCTGAGTTTGTAGTAGTTGTAGTCTGAACATCTCAAGTTCAACATCCAAAAGTTAAATACTTTGGACTTTATTTCCTATATTTTAGTTCCCTTATGCTACATGACATTTTCCTCTACTTCACTGTTAATAGCAAGTTAATATTTTTAGGCAGTCAAATATTTTTTCCAGTATAATTGTGATGAGATCTGTAAAATGACTGTGAGGACACATAATCCTGCATTTTTTTTCTATTTTTAGTTCTGGCATTTCCTAACTGGGCGTTCATCTTTTCCACCTAGGCAATTTGAATGTTGTCCACATTTTTTGAAAATATTAAATAACCCCCTAAACTTCGATGTGTTTAGTTTTGTTTTGTTTGTGTGTTTTAATATTCCTCTCTCTCCTTCTGTGTCTCTGAGCAGTGGGTACAGCCAGGAGGTGGTTTGCTACACTGCAGGCAATATTCCTCAGACCCCTTCTGCACCAAGGCTTGTTCGAGCTGGTGTTACGTGGATCTCATTGCAGTGGAATAAAGTAGAAGGATGTACACCAGAGGAAGTGATTTCCTACACCCTGGAAATTCAGGAAGAAGATAATGTAAGTGCTGTGTTGCTGTAAAGTGCATGACTTAGACTGGGTTTTCATTTATCAATTGAAGATCACTGAGAAGAACGTGGAATGCTGCTTTGGAGGGCCTTCCAGGAGTACTGGGTATTTGGCAGGACGGAGCTGTGTGATTTGTTCTGCTCTGCAGCAGAATTAATTATGAATCCTTAGCTAAAAATCTGTACTGTCAGCCATGATTACTTACAAAGCTGCACAGGAGTCTGAGTGTAGGGCAGCTTGTCCTTAACCAGTTCAGTCTGCTCTGTCCTCACTGCTCTGTGGTGTGTGTTGTGTCATCTGTCACTTCCAGTTCTGTAACAGGTTAAACTGCCACAAGTGGTTTTGTGCTTATTTTGCAGCAAAATTATATTATTTAGGGCAGCTGCACTATGCCTCTAGAGGAAAATTATTGTGGTCTTGCAGCTTAAAAGTAATATTAATAATAAAAAAGCACTCAGCTATGAAGCTCCTTTGCTATAATGTGTTGTAGCTGTAATACAGGGAGCACTTTCTCAGACTCCACAGTTATGGGAATTTGTTTGGTTTTGTTTTTTGTGTTGTTTTTTTTTTTTTAGGATAGCGTGTTTCACCCGAAGTACACTGGAGAGGAGCAAGCCTGTACTGTGAAGAATCTCAGAAGAAGCACACAGTATAAATTCAGGGTAAAATCTCTTTCCTCTTGTCTTTGCATAGTGTGTTCTGTGTTGGGTTTTTTCCAGGCACTGTAGAAATCCTTTAATACTCCCTCCAAAACTGAGTCATCAAGTAGAAGTTTACTTTATACTGCAACCTAACAGATTAAACTGTTAGTTGTATTTTTACTTTTATCACAGGATATGCTGTTACTCAGCGTTTTTGGAACAAATGTAGTTCTCAGTACCATGTACTGTCAGGTAGGATGTTGTGAGAGTGTGGCTCAGGGCATGAGGTAATTTTAGTTGGCTGCATTGCTCCCAAAATGTTCTGTGGTCACAAATCCCATCTTAATTCTACAGAGTGGAGCAAATGCTGCAGGGCACCCAGTGAGCACAGCTCTCCTCCCCAGCCCAGGGCTTTTCTTCCCCTGGCAGCCAGAAATTGAAGCTTTTTTATCTCATATGTCCACGTGGCTGGTTTGGAGCTGTTTTTTAGCAAGTGTTGGTATCTCCTGCTCTGTGGGTTCTCCTAAACACAGACCCCCAAGACTGTCCACTGTAGTGGCTCCACAGGATGTGGCATCTGGAGCACAGTGTCCCTCTGGAGATGGGCAGAAGATGTCTGTGAAGCCAACGTCCTCTCTGCTCCCATCAGCAAACGGAGTCAGTATCTGGAAGCAGCTTCGTGTAATTTGTAAACAGCACAGGGAGAGGAGGATGCCACAGGCTTGTGTCGATTCAGAAACATTTGGCTTCTGTATGTCTTTGTATATTCAGAAGCAGGAAAAAGAAAACTTTACCCAAAGACTCATTTAAATCATAGAATGGTTTGGGTTGGAAGGGGTCTTAAAGATTATCTTATTCCAATCCCCGGCCATGGACAGGGACACCTTCCACTAGACCAGGTTGCTCAGAGCTCCATCCAGCCTGACCTTAAACAATTCCAGGGATGGGGCAGCCACAGCTTCTCTGGGCAACCTGTTCCAGTGTCTCACCATTCTTACAGGGAAGAGCTTTTTCCCTGCTCTGTGGGACAGAAGACCTTGTGAAGTTGCGTAAAGAACTACCCAAAGAATTGGGAGGTTGTTTCAGTGTCACTCACAGATGATGCCTTTTAGTTTAGTATTGTAAAAGCTGCCATGGCTGGCTGAGGAAAGAGGACACTTTGTGCTTCTCTACAGCCTTGATTCCACATTAAATACGGATTTTAGGAAACTGTGTTGACATCAGAGCAAATTTGTAGCCTGGTGACATTGGCTACAGACACAACTTTGATCTGACTTTTAATTGTGTGATTACTGATACTTTGAATTATTTTAAGTAGCAGTTTGAAATACCCCAAACCCAAAAAATGACAAAGTATTTGTCATCGTTTTGATTATTTTTTTTTTTTAGGAGCAAATAACTGCGAGTTGCCACAGTTATTTAAAAAAGTGAATTTTTTTTAAAGGGAAAGCCAGCACTGCTTTTATCTTAAACCTACCACGATCTATTGCTGCTGGAAGGAGGGAAAAATCAATGTTTGTAAAGAAACGACATGACAATCTAATATCTGTTATTAGAATCCCACACGCTTCAGGATGTGACATATTTTCCAGCTTAATGACATTTGTGCAATTTCTAAAAGAAGTCTCATGCAGAACTGTCAGAAAAGCAGGTACAATAAACAAGGGTGAACTTGTGGTTTTGTTTCAGCTGTTTGCTTCTAATGTGGAAGGGAAGAGCTCTCCCAGCGAAGTGTTGGTCTGCACAACAAGCCCGGACAGGCCAGGACCTCCAACCAGACCTGTTATTAAGGGGCCAATAACATCTCATGGCTTTAGTGTGAAATGGGGTAAGGCACTTCAGTTTGTCACAGTAAAGCTTTTTGGGGGTCATCATAAATTCAAATACAATAATATAAATATGTGTTAGATTTTTCATGCTGCTTCTCAGTCCAAAGTTGAATGTGTCTGGAGAGCTTGACAGCTTAATTTTTTTTAATATTATAAAAAATATCTAGAGGCTCTTGTGCTTTCAGAATCAAAAATGTTTGTTTTCATTGACTAACTTGCACTCAAGCACATTTTGAGGCTTTTTATTTTCCATTTCATGTCCCATTGCAGCATCATTCCAGCTGCTTCCTTTAATAATGGGACAAGCCCCCAGGCAGCTTCTCTCTCAGTGCTTTTTCCATACATTTTGTTTGGATCATCATTATCCAGCCGCCTTATTCTGATTAATGCTGAAAACTAACATCTCTTACCTACTTCTGCTGCAGTTTACTTGGTGTAGTTGATGTAGAGGAGAAGGAGCAGAATCAGGAACAGGTTCTGTAGTCTTTTTGGTATCTTACACTCCTAATCTTGATTTACTGACAACTTGCCTCATTTTTTCAGATCCTCCACAGGATAATGGTGGTTCAGAAATCCTAAAGTATCTACTAGAGATTTCTCAAGGAAGTCCAGAAGGTAAACTTGAAACAAGTTGTCTCTGTTTCAATCCACTATGGCTACCATAAAGAACTCCTGACCCTTTGGACTATTATTGTTATTATCATTAATGGCCTAATGTTGCACATGTGATTGAATGTGAGTTACATACTTGCAACCTTAAAACCTGAAGTGTTTTGGGGAATTTGGTTTGGATTTGGGGAGATTTTGTAGTGTGTTCTTTTCCAGTTAGTTCTTTTTCTCTTAATTAGTACTGGTAGAATTCTAGGTTATGTGGCTGAACCTAGAAATATTTATGTTTATATTTGTGTATAAATATATATATTTATATTTTGCACATTATATAATATTTAAATTTGTGAGTATTTTTGTGTGTTTACGTGTGTTATATCTTTACATGGGAATAATCTTCACAGTGATAGTAACACTAATGACTTTCCTGAAACATATGGTTTGTGGAAAACCACATTAAGGATTTTCCTTCTTCCTGGACACTCCTAAACTTGTTGCATTACAGTTCTCTAAACTTGAATATATCTTATTTTTAGCAAATCAATGGGAAGTGGCATATAGTGGCTCGGCTACAGAATATACCTGTACTCACTTGAAACCAGGCACTTTGTATAAACTCCGGGCATGCTGTATCAGCACTGGTGGACACAGTCAGGTGGGTATTATCTAACAGTAAGGACTATTGGGTTTATATTTTTCTGAGATTTATCTGCTCGTTTTGGTAACATACTTCTGCTTTAAAAAGAAGGGGAATGTTTTTCCCGTAGCACAGTAAAGCTATGCTGATGGCTTATGTTGCAAGTTGCTGAATGTCAGAAGACTTCTGTGTGTACCTGATTTTAGTTTCAGCAAATTGCAATTTAGTGAGATTCTGTTTCCTCGGAACCAGTCTGTAGGTGTTTATATTTACACTAGAAAAGACCATCATTTTTATCTCATGTGGCCACTTGCTTGAAAAGGCCACAGACTCTCATGTGCATGACCCTATACTGACCAAAGCTGGTGGCTGGAGATGTAGAAAAGGGTGGTTTGTTGTAACAATTATTTTTCATTTGGATGAATTATTGTAAATTTTTAATTTCCCTTTTCCAGCCACTGATTCCTGTAATTCCCTTCTTTGACTGAAATTCATTTTAGTATCTATACTATTATTCCTCCTGCTTTAATTTTTTTTCTCATTTAAGATTGAGTACTTTAGGCCTTAACATTATTTTAAAAACAAGGAAAATTAAAATAGAGAACCCCATGTGTGCTACAGTTTTGAGGATGGTAATGAAGGAACTCTGTTAATTGGATTTGTGAGTAACACGCTTGATAGCATCTCCTCTCCTTTATTGTTTACATAAATCTCTACTAAGTGGTGGATGTAGAAAACAATTTCTTGTGCCACTTTCTAACCATGCCTCACTTTGTAGGTGCTAACTGCAGCTCTGCTCTCTTGCAGTGCTCTGAAAGTTTACCTGTCCGTACGCTGAGTGTGGCACCGGGGCACTGCCGGGCACCCAGAGTCCTGGGGAAGCCAAAGCACAAAGAAGTGCAGCTACAATGGGGTAAGACAGTGGAGCATCTCCCTCTTGGACAGCTTTGATCTTGATTGTTATTTGCTGACCTTGCCTTAGTCTTTATTTGCGTTGCTCCTGAAAAGTTGCAGTTCGTCCTGGTGAATGGGAAATCGCAAAGCAAAGTCAGTGCAAGTCAGAAGTGCAACTTCTCATCAACTGTGGTGGCTCTCTGTTGGGTCTGTGAAGTTACCTGTCCTCTGATTGTCTTTAAGGCCTTACACTGTGCTCCAGTTTTGTTAGTGAGGTCCCATCTCTGTCAAGACTACAAAGTATCAACTATATTAAAATACCTATCTTTTTATTCCTCTGTTTATGCAAAATCACCCTGTGATTCAAAGTCTTACTTTATTCCTTTGCAATATTGACTTAGCAGAAATGTTTTGCTACTTCTAACATATGAATTCTCTCAAAAATTTGAGTTAGAACATATTGAGGATTTTGGGTGGCATTTGAACCCTGATCCACTTTATAACACGCACAATCCATTGGACACCTGTAATTTTGCAAAGGTCTTGGACCATGATTATGACACTGAACTGTCAGAAATGCACATTTTTTAGAATAGAAGGCACATGCCGGTATCCAACAGACTTCTTCTTTACCATGATAATGTTGCAGCATGCAGGTATCTTTGGGGCATCGTTTGTTAAGCTAAATTCTAGATCAGTACAATTTCTGACTGTCAAACATATTTCAACACCAGTAAAAATTCACCTGTGCATCCAAGATACCATATTGTTTCCTGGAAGCCTGCACCCCTTTTAGTGGACACTGCTTTTCAGAACCCCAGGCAGGTTAATTTGGCTTGTAACATAACATGCAAGTATTATCAAATACATTGTTTTCATTGGGGGAAAAAGGTGCATGCAACAAAAAATTAGTTTTCCTGGCCCATGTCCTGATGTTATTAACAAACTAAATGATTTCTTTTAGATGTCCCTCCGTCAGAAAGTGGCTGTCCTGTCTCAGAGTACAGTGTGGAAATGACAGCCCCTGAAGAAGTTGTTTCTGAAGTGTATCATGGGCCTGACCTGGAGTGCACCGTCAGCAACCTCCTTCCTGGGGCAACGTATGGGTTCAGAGTGAGGGCTCTGAACGATGGTGGGGTACGTGTGCTGGCTTTTCATCCCTGGAGATGGTACTGACCTGGAATGGGAGATTCTGGACAGTGATTGTGTTAGTGCTGGTGATCAGAAAGGTGAAGGGGAGATGGGCAAAAGAAAAGAATGTGAGAAATACTTTAAAGGAACTTTGGAGGAAGAGGTGCAGTTTTAATCTCCTTTTAAAAGGAGGCCTCAGGTACTACTGAATATGATCTGACTGGGGAAAATCAGCTGCACCAAAACATGCAAAATCCCTGCCCAAAGTAATATCTGCTTACAAGGGAGAATCTGTTTATTCCCTTTCCGCTGCATTTCCTGTTTTTTGTTTTCAACTGTGTAAAAAATAAGTATTTCAATTTCACTCCAGTGTTGATATGTTTTGAGGGAAACTGACATTTCTGAGGAATTTTTTTGTTTTAATTTGTAAAAATGCTTTATAGATTTCATGGAGGTTTTTTTGTAATATGATTTCCTTGGAAGAAGTACCTTCCCAGTTACATCAGAAATTCTGTCTGATGTTCATGGAGATCTGTTGAAAGAGTTTGTTTTTTTTTTTTTAGTGAGGTTTGGGTTGGTTCTGTTTTGCCTCTGAGAGCATCATTCCAAGGGTGTTATATAAAGACAATTCCAGCAAAGCTACATTCATGGATGTCTTTCTTCCCAGGAAACCTCAGTGACAAACATAACACAAAAATTTAAAATTACTTGCTTACTGTTAAAACCTAAGACTGCAAGACTATAAAGATGTTTTGTCTTAAAAATACTCACTGTTTTGTTTTTGTGAAAAATAAATTAAATATGCTTGGAAATATTAGATTTGCTTGCTGGAAAGAAAGCCATTGTGGTTTGGTTTTTTTGTCGGCAGAACAGTTAAAAAAAATTGCAAAGCATTTCTACTTCCACCTTTTGTTAAATGGAGGGATCTGGTTCTGGTTTGGTTGGATTTTTCTATCAGATGCATAATAGGGGAGAGTGTTCTCTACCAGATTCTTCCTCCTATTTGGTAAAGAAAACAGCAAAAGTCAATAAATAAGATTTTTTTGACATGTCCATTCTTCATAAGTCAAACAAAGCCATCAGTGTTGTCTTTTCTCAATAGCAGATATCCTGACATGTCCGTTGAGAGGTTTTCCGAGGTTCATAATTTCTGTGTTGTTTGACCTTTGTAGTAGCTCATTTTTTTCATACTTGGTAATATTGCACTACAAAATAAGTAAATATTAGGGTTTTTCTTCTAGTTGCTTCCAGTGAAGTTCCTTTGTTCTGGAGAACGATTTCTAATTAGTTCAGGGACGTTCTGAGCAAACTTCACTCTTCCACTCGGGAGGCCTCAGAAAGGCTGTTTTGCTGTTATCTCCTCTCCTCGCACTGCTGGCTGAAGCCCGTTTTCCAGACTCTTGAAAATTGGCTTTTCTTTTGCTAATATGCATTTAAATTATCCTCCTACCAAGGGCTCAGAAGTTGGCTGAGCAGTTGGCTGAGCTGCCCGTGGAGCGGAGCCGTCCGTGCTGTGTCTGCAGCGTGTCCCTGCACGTTGTACCAGACTGGGGCTCCAGCACATCCTGTCCTTTTAGAATTAACCTGTGGCAGACATTTTATGTAAAAGAAGCTGGATTTGGACTCCAATATGTGCTTTACTGTTGCTGTGCTCCTCCTTATATCCATGAGAAGCTGGCTATGCCAGGCTTTGGCACTGGCATGTGAATACATTGTGCTAAGGTGAGGCAGAGGGACACAAACTGTCCCTCAGTTAACTGAGTGCACATTCTCACTTTTGGGTAAATTGGAGGTGTTTTATGCTTTCATGGGCACTCACTGTCACACAGGAGGATGTACATCCTGTCTGCCTGTTCCTGAGCTTACCTCACTCTTTAACTTGCAGTCATTTACGTGGTCTCATCCTGAGCGCTGGTGTTTGGTGCCGGGTGTTGGGATTCCAGTCTGTCTTTGAGAAAGTTTAGTGCATTGAAAAAGGTCATGTGCTGTTCTTGGAAAGCCTTTGAGGGATAGGAGATGGGTGTGTGCTTGTATATTAATGTACAGACACCTTGTTCCCCTCTAGTACGGTCCATACTCGGAAGCCACAGAGGTCACCACAGCAGCAGGACCACCAGGCCAGTGCAGAGCACCTTCCCTGTCCTTCCTGTCCGACACACGTGTACTTGTGAGCTGGGAGGTAAGTCAGGTGCACTGGTTGTTTCATTCCATCTTGCTTATCCAAACCAATACGGTCACCACACAACTCAAAAGTCAGCTTGAGAGTTGTTCAGTGGCCTGGAACTGTCTTTTTGTGCAAGAAAACCATATGCAGAAACTTCTATTGTATGAAAGTGTCTTCTCTGCTTTAATTTCAAGACTTCCATAAGGGTGGTCATGAGTCATCCAGACCAGGATTCAGACATGAGACCTCCTGCTCTGGCATCAGATGATAGAGCACTGGTGGGGTAGAAGTGCTTTCTGCAGACTTTTAAGCACATCAGCATGTCCTGAGGTGGAATTGTGAAGACAAATATTTGGTTTTGGCTGAAAGTGGAGTCTCTGATACGAAATTAACTCTGCATAAATGCTTACAGTGTAGGGTTTTTTCTCCTCAGAAATTGTCTCTACTCCAAATATTTACTTTTATTTTAGTTTGTGTTGATTCCTCCACCATTCTTCAGGATCTTAGGCATTAGACTCTTAAAATAAGTGTTAGCTGAATTGCACAGGGGTTGATTTGGTTGATTAAGAAAAAATTGTGTAATTAAAGCAGAATTCAAGGGCTGTTGCCATTGTGATATGGAGCAGCAGGGCTTTAGTTCTGCCACAGACTTTCATTGAAAACTTTAAAAGTCATTCCACCCCTGTTTCTATTGGGTTCCTCCTCCAGACAATGCCCCTGTTGAGAAAAAAGTTACTGACATTCATGAGATGTTCAAATATATCAATTGAGTTAACAACATACCTAATTACAAATATAGTCTACATTTAATGTTATGAGAGACAGGTATGTTTGGTGCAGTTTGGGGGTATTCATATTTTTTGCAAAATTTTGTGACTCTAAGCTAGAAATCACAATGAACTTTTAAGTGTTGCCTTCTATTGACCAGGGATTTGCTCTCCCCAGCCATGAGGGGATGCAGCAGTGTTTCTGGTAGGCTCTGTATTTATTTGCAGGAGATATGTGTTTATTCTAGCTAAAAATGAAGCTGTGGTAGGAGTAATGTGGTTTGCAGTGGTTATGTTTTCTTAAAGAGTGTCATTTTTTGGCTGATACGAATATGAAGGAAAAACAGTGAACCTCTGTGAAGTATTTTGGCTGGAGAGCACACTGTGGTGCCTACTGTGGTACCTTTTTTACATGCTATTTTAAAAATCTGGCTTAGCAGTTCTGAATGAAATTAATAAAATAGCTGGAAGCTCCAAGGCAGAGCCAGAGAAGTCCATGTGTGTGTGCAGGGTGGGCATTATGGTGTGCAGGGATGCTCTGGATCCTTTTACTGGAAATTACACCTTGCATGCCATAATCACAAAGTCTTTGTCGTGTCCTGGACCACACTTCTGCACACAGCAGTGGTTCCCTGAGCTGCTGCAGGGAGTTTTGCTAAAACTAACTAGTACAGCTAGTTTTGCTAAAAACACAAAATATTTTGCTTTGGGAACTGTGTTGTTATGCCTGTTCTAATTCATCTCCAGCACATTCAGGTATTTATTTTGTGTTTCCTTAGATAAAAGGATTGCTGGGGATATATGTAAGAGGACAGATTTAGATTAAATATTAGGGAGAAATTCTTTACTGTGAGAATGGTGAGGCCCTAGCACAGATTGCCCAGAGAAGCTGTGGATGCCCCATCCCTGGAAGTGTTCAAGGCCAGGTCATACTGGGCCCTGAGCAATCTGGTCTAGTGGAAGGTGTCCTTGCCCACAGCAGGGTGTTGGAACAAGATGTTCTTTAAGGTCCTTTAATGATTCTGTGATCCCATAGGAATCATGTTGTGGATGTTAATGTTCCAGGATCCACCCTCCAGTGTCCCATACTGGGACTGGTGGGTGACTTTCACTGGAAACCTCAGGCCAGCTCCTCTCTTGTTGAGGTTGTTCTTTTCTCAGTGACTGCTTCTGGCTCAAAGGCCAGCTCTTCCAGAGCTGTGTTTTGATCACTCCACTAGACTGCACTAGATTGATGCTTTTTTGTGTTCTCCATGGTTGAGCTTCTGCTGAGGCAGTGGAGAGACAATTTATTCCTGAGTGTCCTGATGAAAAGCAAAGTAGCTGCATATGCTCTCTCATTTCTCTGAATTTCAATCAGGTAATTTTTGTGCAGAATTGTCCTGTTTCAGTAACCTATTAGGGAACATTAATTCAGTATATTTCCATTTGCCGAAGTAATGGTGTATTAATTTAAAAATAAGGGTGGTTGTTGGGGTGGTTTTTTTTCCATGTGCTTTATTCCTTCCCCAGTGAAACACAGACATCTGAAGTGCTCATTTCTGAACTGAACAACATAAATATTTGTGTTGCAGAGTCCTGAATGTTCTGGTGCTGACATCTCTGAATACAGATTAGAGTGGGGAGAAGATGAGGAATCTCTACAACTTGCATACAGCGGCACAGATACCTGCTTTGAAATAAGTGACTTGTCGGCAGCAGCACATTATTGCTGCAGGCTACAGGTATGGGAGGCATGAGGTGGTGCATGCATTGCAATCTGAGGTGTAAACAGAGTTTCCTTCCACTGTGTTCTTATTTTTATCATTAGCAGCTCTGCAGTTATGTGCTCTGTAAGTCAGAAGGAATGCACGTTTATTTTAAGTAATCAGACTGATGCATTACTTGAAAATTGCTCTTGCATCTTGTTACTATCAGTGACTAACACTTTAACATCCACCTTACCTCTGACACCAAAACAAAATTATAATGTTTCAGAAAATTAAAATAAAAATCAATTTTTTCGTGCTAATGAGAGGTAAATAACATCTACCTCCCAAGTGGATATCGAAGATTCCCTTGGCTTAAATAGTGAACTCCAACATTTGTTTCATTTATGAAGTAAAGCAAAGCAGCTGAGTAGATTCATGTGTGTATGAGATGGTACCTGCCAGAAAGTGAGTTCTCATCATTGCCATTTCGTCTCTTAGATTTGTAAGATTAGATCTCTTATAGTCTCTATGATTTTTTTTCTTTGATCATTTTCTCTCCTATCACTTTCAGTAAAACGTAGCAGTTAAAATATAACTTATGAATCTACTCAAAAGTAAAAATACAGCATTCTTTCTCCTTTATGTCTCCTGAAAAAATAAATGGATGGTAAAATAAGTGGAAAGCGAAGTAAAAATATTTTTGCTCAAGATACTCTTCCACAGGATTTATTTGTATGTGAAGGCAAAATACCACCACTAATCCAACCCAAAGTTCACATACCCACCCAGCTGGCAACATGTGGACCACCCAGGGTAATTTCTTTGATCAAGGGCAACATGTGTCCAAGAGTGTTTCCTTCTTACATTTTTTTTTTTTTTTTTAAACAGAACATTGAATTTATTTTTTGGGGGGGAAGTAGCACTGTGGGGGAAGGCGAAGTGAGGGAGCGTGTGTGAGTGACGGGGAAGTGTGAGCCAGAAAGTGCCTCTTGTTTCTGAAAGAGGGAGAGCATTCAGCATCCATGGGGCAGGGAGGAGACTGTAAGACCACTGCTGCAGGGAGCCCAAGGAAATTTTTATGTTAAACATGGAAACAGGCAGCCTGTATGGCATCTTTGATTCCAAGTGGGCGTTCGTTTTAAACTGCCTGCCACAAAAATGTTGCACAAATCTCAGTTTTTAACACAGCCAATGTAATTTAATCCATAGGTAGAAGTTAAATGGAATGCACAACAGCACTAAGACATTTTGTTGAAGTCCATCAGGCATTACTTTCTAGAGAGCTCCATCCTCTGGATCTGATTGGTGTATTATATGGAGAAGAATTCGTTATGAGATACACTGGAATCTTTAAACAATTACACACAGAACACCCCACAAAACATGACAGACAAAGAGGGAAGGTTGAATAGTTTCAGAAATTTTAGTCTGTTTTTAAAAAAGAGGAGAGAATAAGAGCTGCTTTGCTTATCTGTTAGCATATTTTCAGAAAAACCGTTCTTTTAACTTTTTTAAAAATAAAGATGCCCCAAACCACATTTACTTGGCCTCCTAATAAACACACAGTATTGCTATCTCAATCTACAGTAACTCAATAAAAGAGAGAATTGAGGAATCAGGCACATCTAACTACAGCGCGGACAATTGTCTTTACTGTTGCACAACTTTTTTCCTGTAATGAATATTCCTGAAAACAGTTGAGGCTTCTGCAGAGGGAAATATTGTGTCATTTGGGGGTGGCAGGGGAAAGCATCTAGGCAGCACAGAACATGAAATTCCCACCAGTTATGTTGATGAGATTGTCCAGTAAAGCAGTTAAAAAGCACCACTGACAATAAATTGCTTGGAGCAAGATACAGATTGCCAAACACTGGTTTAGAGGCAAGACAAATCATATCATTGGCAGAGCACGAAACAAGGCTCACTTTTAACAGCTCCAGGAGCGCTTCACTAAATAGAAGATTTCCCTGGAGCAGGATTTGTTTTGAAAGGCTTTTTAAAGGCTGACAAATCTAACTTTATTATCTCTTTCTTCGATTGAACAAAACGCCTCCTGGAAAAACAGAACAGGGCTTTGTGTTTGTATTATGCATAGCAGAAATAAGTCATTCCCTGCAGTTAAGCATAGATAAGAAATCAAAAAATCAAGCAATTGTTTGACGCGTCCTTTCGTTGCCATCACAGTCTCACTGGAAACATTGTAAGCCTGGGTTTTTGAATCAGTTGTAATCTGATGGGAGACTCTGGGCTAAGTTTTCCAAATGTAAAGAAACTGTGGATGGTGGAGGGTGCTGGGCAGTGCCAAAGCTGTTTCTGAAGGTCTGGGCCTTCTGGACCTCCCGTAGCTCCCCCTGTACAATAATGAACTCCAAGCTCTCTCCATACCTTGTGTGCTGGCAGGATGCTGGGCTGTGTCAGCAGGAGCCCAGCCAGCAGATCCAAGGAAGGTGGTATTGCCCATTACATGCCATTCATGAGAACCTGGAGTACTGCATCCAGTGCTGCTCCAGGCAGAGGTTGAAACAGAAATGTTCAGGTGAGATACAAAGAAACAAGTTATTACTGTAGGCAGTTAAGGATTGTAACAATGGTCCAGGAGGACTGTGCAATCTCCATCCTTGGACTTTTTCGAGACTCAGCTGGACAAAAACCTGAGCAACCTGGTCTGCATTTGGTTTGACCCTGCTTGGAGTAGCAGATTGGACTAGATGTTTCACATGGTCCCTTCCAAGGGAAAATGATGTTGGGCTGGAGGGAGAGCAGGATTACTTGCTGTGCTGAAGGTAACTGAGGGAGCAGAGGGTGAGGACAGAGAGGATTACTTTGTTCTAGTGTGGGATTCTCCAAGGGGGTATGGTCTCCACATCATGAAGTGGTCATTAATCCAAATCTTTATAAACTGGTTTTAGTCAAGTCTTCTAGCAATAGAACATAAAGGTCTGACTAAAATACCCTCACTAAGAATTTGGATGGTCCTTTGATTGTGATAATCCTGAGGAGTCATTTCTTAGGCAGTTCAGTGCATTGTGTGCAGCATTTGCCACTGGCTGAGCATCAGGTGATAAAACTCCAGGTCTGTACAACTGTGCAGTGTTGAGCTTGCAAAGACAACAGCCTCTGAAATTAATGAGCAGAAATGGGCCACGTTCTGAAACTTGTTTTCCACTGGGATTCTGGATCTGTGAGTTAAGATGAGAAGCTTGATAATTGGTGGTTCTCCTGTCTGGTGGAAGATATTGAGCTGTGTGCTTCAGTGGTGATTTGCTAGTGAGTTGTGACTTTTCTCACTTTAATGATTCCGTGATTCTGGGGAAATGTAAGTCATAGGCTTAATGCCATGCTGAGTTCCTATACTCTTGTATCAGAAACTTTTTAGTGTGAAATTAGTTGTCCATTCTCTGGGTAGTTCTCAACAAGCCAAATACGTCTTATCTCCAGGGATACTCTGCTTGCATAAAGCCATCTGACACTGCACCCTACAGTATACTGGGGATTTTGTACAAGGTGGCTCAACAATTTTGAGTAGCCAGTTTGCTGAGCAACCTGATGTCACTGACAGCATCACTATGACATTTTCCCTTACTAACCAAAGTTTGCTGATAAAAAGGTTACTGTTAAGTTTAATTAAATGTCGGTTAGGGAAAAGAGAAATATTCTCCAGTTTTTCTGAGAGACACTTGTGAGTGACAAAGGAAGATATTAATTCCCTAGTATAGGGCAGGGGTATGAATCATGCTTTAGGGAAGAAGCCAGCAGTGCATATCCTCTGAAGAATTCGTGCAGCTCTTCTAGGCTGCACAGTCCATTATTATGAACTTGATACACATGTCAGAGAGAAGAGTTATCCTGTAAATATTTTCTGTTTTAACACACAGGCAATTAACCAGGCTGGAGCTGGGCCCTACAGCAACCTGGTGACCTGCAGAATCCCTGCGTCCGTGCCCGATGCCGTCTCCATCCTCTCCGTGCTGGAGGACGAGCACGTGGACGCCTGTCAGCCCTCACCCTCCGTGTGCCTTGTACTGACCTGGGAAGAGCCGTGCAGTAACGGAGCTGAGATCACCTCGTACAACATCGACCTGGGGGACGTCAGCATTCCCGTGGGAAACGTGACCAGTTACGTTATCGGCGATTTGCTTCCCGAAACCTCGTACCGGTGAGTGCGGTGGTTGTGACGTGGTGAGACCACACAGCTTGATTTTTACATTGGAAATGTTTATGGCATCAAGAGCGAGGTTAAAAAAAATACAAAGCAACAACCCAACCAACCAACCTAGGGGGAGCGCAGAAATCTCCAGTAATTCCCTTATGGAATGAATTGTGGAAATTCATGCTCAAATATTGTTTTCTCCCGCCTTTGTTCCCTCTTCCTCCTCTCCTTGAATTATCTCTGACCTCTCCTTCTTTTGAAGTTGCTCTGCTAAGGTAAGGTTACACTGGTAATAATAAATTTATAAATAATGAATAAATTTTTAAAAATTAGAAATAACTTGAATTTCAGTGTGACATCTCCTGCTTTTTTTAGCTGCTTTTAGCTACTATTTCAGGGGTTTAAATTATTAACTGTATTGATCCCTGTGCAGGGTTAGCAATTTACACACAATGAAGTTTTATTTGTATAGCTACAGCTATTTTTTATCTCTAGTATATGGAGATTAATTAAAAAATAATCTGAATTTTAAAACAATTTCTTTATATTGCTTCAGAGTCTAAATTGCTAAATGACATTGACAAAATTTTATTATTTTAATGTTCAGGCTTATATGTTTTCTCTCTAATTGCTCATTAAAAAAGAAAAATGGCTCCATGCAGACAATGAACAGCAATGTAGCAGATGTGACAAAATTTCTATTTTAAGTACTGTTCTAATAAAGACTGAAACTCTGATCACACAGTTATACAATTAGACATAGCCTAGACCTGTTGTAGCATTTTCCTTATTTTTCTTTTATATTCAAGATCACAATCCTACAGGTCTTGCAGCATTTAAATGAAAAGTTCATAATTCAAATTTTATCCTGTACTCAAAAAGAGAACTCCTTCTAGCATGTATACAAATGCACGCTAAAAGTCATTTAAAGTGAGGAGCGTACGTTGCTTTCTCACAGATCTTTCAGACAAAGTTGAAGAGTTTGTCTATGGATTGACCACCCAGCTGTGGAACTGCATCATCTTTGGGCAGTCTCATACTCCTTGGTTTCTCCTCATATGTTTGTTCAACCAAGAGTCAAAACAGCTGAAATGGGAACTTTGAGCAACTCAGTTAAGACAACCAAAATGGACTGTTTAAATTCTTCACTGAAGTCTTACTTCTTCAGTCTCTTTCTTTAGCTGGTTCTTGGTTGTCTGCAGCTTCCTTTGGGGAAATGTCATCATCTTCAAAGCCTGGAAATGGAGATTGGAATTTTATTTTTTTTTGCATTCTTATTTCATTATTTTGTAAAAAGCACCATATTAAATCACATCATTTAGTCAGGGAGTCTGCCTGTCTCTGACCCAAATAAAACAGCTGAAGCCACAAGTATTAACTGTAACTGTTCTAAATATTGCTGTAAGAATAAGTTCCTATCAAAAAAAAACATTGTGAAGAGCACAAACCAGGGGGTGACTGATCAGAAGTAATAATATAGGAGAGCTCTTTTCTTGGATAAAGGAAGAGAAAGAAACCCCAAATCTTGCATCTCATGCCTGTCAGAGAAGGCAAGTCACTGCAGTTGGATTGCAAAAATGCACCTCATCTATAGTTTGAAGTGGTTTTCTGCTAATCAAAAATAGATATGTCAGAGTGGTTTTGTTATTCATCCTTAACTCACTGATATTTCTTCTTCAAGCATATCTTAACTCCTGTCTTTGATCAGTGAACATCTATGCTCTGATAGTGTATCCTTAAGGAACAGGTTTATCAGGCTGTGTGCTAAAAGATGGTGGGTTTTCTGCCATCAGAAGAATGTTATTCAGAAGAATGTTTCAGAACATCACTGATCTCATCCTCTAAATTTCTTCACTGATGGTTTCTCTTTTTGTGTCAACTTTGTTTAACACAATTAGCTCTTCTCTCTCTCAAGTGTTTATTCCCTGTTGGGTTTAAAAGCAGTGAATGTGTTTTTCCTAGACTAAACAAGCCAAGTACTACTGGGTTTCAGACTCTGAACTCTCTTGCCAAAGTTTCGTCAGAATTTGAAGTAAATCAGCAGAGGGTTTATGTATTTTAGTTGCATTGGAATTCCAATGTCAATGTTTTTTGGTTGTGGGAACACAAAATTGAAAGCAAATCTTGCTTATTATGAATCCACCAGGTCCAAAATTGGAAAGGAACGTTGTTTTGGACAGCAGGGTGATTCTAGCAGCCTGTCTATGTGTGTCCACCCCATTGGACCTGTTAGCTTGGGTCTGGCATGGCTTTGCTGCCTCCAGCTTCTGTGTGGGAACAGCTGTACAGGAGCAGCCCAAAATACACCCAGCAGACTTCAAGCTCTTGGCAGAGGTGGTCTCAAAGCTAACAAGTTGAATGGTTTATGTGTCTTAGTAGCAAACCCAACCAGAATGCCATGAGAAGGATTTATGTGCCAAAATACATGTGAGGCAGGAGGAGCTGGGACATGCCTCTGTCACACTGCTGATGGCCATCCTAGGGCTGATCCAGGAGGAGTTATCCAGCGTCAGGCACAGCCCAGCTCTCCTGCTGCAAAAAGCAGATGCCTCCCCAAAGCACTGTGTAAAACATCTTGGCTGGTGAGCAGCTGCACAAATATGTCTGAGTTCTGCAGTCTTTCTGCTTTACTGACATAGCCAATGAAGGTCTGGAAGCTCAGATTGTAGAGTAATGTACTTGGACTGGTTTTCCCTGAACTGATGTAACTAGGAGTGAGTTAATAAATATTCCACAATAAATAAGTATTCAGCAGTCATAGAAATATCCATTTTCTGTTACATTCTGTTCCCAAGCTACACTCAACGCATGCCATAGATAATTGTGCTCTGCTGTTGAGATACTTCACTGTGAAACAACATCCAATTTTTAATAATGGTTATGCTCTTTTAAAGTTACACAGTGTGCAGAAAAATATAGTAGCACTATTAAATTTTAATAGCAACTCTTAATTTTAATTTGGTTTAGGAATAAAAATTCTAAATATTTTTAATCCTTAAACCATATCAAGGAAAAGATCATCCAAGATGAAGAGAGAAGAATGAACATGGATGCTCAAATTAGCAATATTTAAGAGGGTTATAAAACATTTGTTTCAGAGTGTAAAACTGAGTCTTGTTCCAGCCCCAGGAGAGCACAGTCTGGGTGAGGGTCTGTGGGGCTGTGTGTGGTTGCTGTCCATCATATCCAGGCTGCTGCTCATGGGGGAGCTGCTTCCCCTCCCTTTGGAAGTCCATGGCATTTTAACTCCCACAGGTTTCCACAGGCAAGTGTATTGCAACTGTTGCCCTTCCACTTATGGGAACTAGGAAATCAAAGTCTTCTCATGTCAGACTCTAAAATTAATTCAGAAGTTGATTTTTCAGTTTGTTGGAATACTACACAAAGGATTTTGTGACCAATCTGAAAATAGCATCCTGTTTAGTGTGTTTTCCTGGGTCAAGAATCTTATAAGAGAGAATGGTCTGTTTAAGATCATTTCATGGTTTCTAAATTTGCTTAGTCTGATTTATGTTTTTTTCTCAATGTTTAAAAGTCACAGTGGGAAAATGTAAGAATGAATACAAATATTATTTTGTAGGGTCTGCAGAATTAGGCACTATTCCTAAATATAGTCTTTAAATTTAAAAAAAAACTTGTTTACAAATTGTGATTGTCAGATTATTAAACCATCTTTCCAAGAGGGTGTTTGGGGTATTTTCACTTAGAAACGATTAGTGAAAAAGTTGAAAGGAATTCAGGAAGTGGTTTTATTGCAAATATTTCTATATGTCTATACAGTACTTTTACATGAAAATAAAGAGTTGATTTTTCCCAGTACCAATTACTGTAAACAGTAATTGGTTTCCATTTAGTTTTGGAATTTCTCTTATCCACCCTGGCTGTGCCACCCAGCTGGAAGAGCTCAGTGTTGCTGGGGCAGGGACATGGGAAGGCACCTGAGCTGGAGCAGAGATGGTGCAGTACAAGATGTTCTACCACCACCACCTGCTCTCCTTCCTTCTCCACACGGTCCTCCTTTCTGCCCATTCTTTTTCCCTTCCTTCTCCCCTTCCCTGTGGACTTTTAAAGTTATGCATTGGGGAAATGCTACTGTGGTCCAGAGGGAGGTGAGAGCTGGGTTTGGGTTGCCCTGTCACATGCACAGAAAACCAGAGTTAGTTGTTTTATGTGTCTCTGTCGAAGCTGAGGCCCTGAGGATGATAGTTGCAATTTATGGAGCTTTATGGTGGTGCAATCAGTGGAAAAGAGTAGCCACATCAGCCATGGTAGAGTCAAATAAATCTATTCTTCCTTTCCCAGTATCATCATTCATTTGGAAGATGCCTGTCTTTATTTTAAGTCTTAAGAGTTTCCATCAGTCTTACTGTGCTCCAGAGTGGGAAGGAGGGGGTGTGTGGGCGTACTTCTGTGTCAGAAGTGGGGAGCAAGAACACTGTGCAGCAGGGGAAAACAGCAACAAAAGAGGGAAAAGACACATTTTTACCTTGTGCAAATACCTGGCAAAAGGAAGACAAGCGAATGCCAGGTGTCTGTTGATGCACATATCTAAAAAACAAATCCATCAGCTTCCGCCTAAGAAATATATTTGAGATTCATTTCAGTCACTGCTTGTTTTCAGGTGTGGTGGCTGCCATTTGGAAATGAGCTAAAATTACTTGAGGACAGGAGAGGCTTTGTTACTGGGACTTTAAATAATATCAAATAAAACAAAGCCAAAAAATAAAAGGCCATGTGCTCCAGAGCATGTTGCTGTAATCAATCTACAAAATAAGTAGTAGCATTTTGTAATGTAGCTGTTACTGTTTATGTTCATATGCTAATGGATAGCTTGCCAGAAAACAATGAAAATTCAGGCAGTTTTCACAGTATTTTTGTTACTATAAAGACACAAATTTACTATATTAAATATTGATGTAATAACATAATATGAAATAAGATCAATGCCTGTATTAATTACACTTCTTCAGATACTAGAAAAACCTTTTGTTCTTTTTATGCCAAATGCTTTTAATGTATGCAGCACTTGAAGAGGAGGCTCCCACTAGATCTTCCTTTTTGCCATCTGCCCTTTGGGAGGAAGGGGATTAAATCACCATTGTCTAATGTTGTAAGGTGGTCAGGATGCATTTCCTGAAGCCAAAAGGAAGGTTAGAAGGAAAATGCAGCTCCACACCAAGCAATACATTACCCCTGTTAATGTCTGGATCAATAAGCAAAGGTCTAACTACACATTTACAGGACTGTGTAAGCACAGTACATTCCTAGTGTGCAATTGCTTCAACTACTTAATCAGTAGATAAGGCTCTATTATTTGGCTATATGTTTATTAATAATGTAACCCTTTTTTCCTTGAAATTGCAGCAAATACACTTTGGGAGTTTATTTAATGAGGAATACTGGAGGGTTTTTTCCCTATCCCTCTAACTCTACATATTCTTATTCTAATAGTAGAGCTGAAAACTTGCTGTTCAAAGCAAAGTAATTTTTCATACGTTGTTTATGTGAACTTACATCACTTTTTGTCCTTCAGTCAAAATAAGTAGCTCTGCCAAGCAAAGACAGTTCTATTTGTCACCTGCTTTCCCTGAAGCAGGCAATCGTGGGGGTGTGCCAGGTTCTGCTCTTCTTTCTCCCCCTACCACCTTCCCCAGAGACTTCTGCCTTCTTGATGGCTGGTAGTTTTGAGAAGCAACACTTCTTGCAGAGAGTCTTTCCCATGAGAAAAATACAAGACTTGCTGTGCACAGGATTTCCAAAAGTAAATGGCATCTTCCAGCTATCTTAACTAGGCTGAACTATCTTAAAAAAAAAAAACAAAAAAAAAACAGACAAACAAAACTTAATTGATTTGCTCCATCCTACTTTCTCTTATTTCACTTTGTTTTGAAACCTTTCAGGCTTGTCTGTACCAATATTTCTATTTACGCAGTCCTCCAAGCTCTTTTGAAATTCATATTTCCCATTTTTGTTTATGGTGCTGTTGATGTTACTGTAGCCAAAGATTGCTACTCCTCACTCATCCCTGTAAGCAGATTCTCAGTGTGCAAATTATTAAACTAAGGTGCAGACAGACAAGAGAAAGTGACAAAGCAGAGGGCAGGAGTCATTATCTTAAGAAAGAAATAGAATTTAGAAGACTGGCTCAGTCTTAGGAATATTTCCAAATTAAAGCTTCTGTGACCAGGCAGGTGGTCTGCTCTTCTTCTGGATGCCCTTAATGTGACTCAAATGGCTGGAGGGCTTTTGTGTATCTTGTGAGAGCAACCTGAGTCCAACTTTTATTTGATCTAATAGATATTTCTGCAGTTTGTGTAGGAGGTTTATGGATTTAAGCTTCTCCATTAGCTCTTCCCAGTAGAGTTTCCTGTACTTAAATAGTGTGCCTTTTGAGACACTGCACACACTGAAATAACACTGCTCTTTGGTCTTCAGGGATGTTTGCCAACATGGAGATGGGTTTCATGGCAGTGACACCAATGCTTTCACTGAATGATTTCACCTTAATTAGCCCATGATCTTTGCTAGACGACCACAACACACTTCTGCTTTTTATTTATTCATGGTTACATACTTTGTGTTTCCCAGGCTGCACTTGTTCCTGTGCTGCTGTCCCTTGTTTGTGTGGCTGAAGGGACTGTCACCAGGTCCGGAGGTTGTTGACCCAAATCCTCCCCCTCTGCCTTACTGCATTTCTTGCCATCTTCACTGCAGCTCTTGCAATGTAAACAGGATGGTATTTGTTGTGTTTGCAGATCCTTCCAGTTTGCCAAGGCTCTCTTGTTTCTCTAAGGCATTTTTATGTCAAGAACCTGGTGAAAGCACTTTATTTAACATTTGCCTTTTTGTTTGTTTTAGGATCAGGATCCAGGCTGTCAATGAAATTGGAGCTGGACCTTTTAGCCACTTTATTAAAGCAAAAACCAGGCCTTTACCACCCTTACCTCCACGGTTAGAGTGTGCTGCAGCAGGGCCTCAGAGCCTGAAGCTGAAGTGGGGAGACAGCAGCTCCAAGCTTCACGTTGCTGATGACATGGTCTATATCTTGCAGATAGAAGACAGAAATAAAAGGTAAGTTCTTTTGGGCATCATGATGGTCAGGATTTTGTAGCTGTAATGTTTTTGGAGCATTAGGAAATATGAGCTTGGCACTGGCTTGGTGGATAACGCAATAATTTTGAAATAAAGTGTGCAAGAAACACAGAAATCTGTGTTTAAATTAACAGTGCTAAGCAAAAACTGTTTTCCCATGTGAATTTCGTATTGGAAGATATGATAATGTAGCTCCAAGGTTGGGATGAGATATATTCAGTTAAAAAAGAGAAGGAAAGAAAGATAATACGCAAGTATTACCTAACAGTCTGAGCTCTTCAATGAATAAATATCATAGATGGCTCATAATTTATTAAGAAACACTCTCAACTACTTCAATTAGGTAAAATAACTGACTTATCAAGTAGCTAATCCTTAGAGACCTTCAGTACAGATCATAATTTGATGTAAATTAGCACAATTCCTTTAATTTAAATAGAGCTGTGCTGAGTTTATGCCAGCTGAAGATCTGGCCCAAAAGCTCTAATTTTAAGTAATAAAACAACTATGAATAATGCCTTAATACCTCCCAGTACCTCATCTGTACTGAAGCAGAGAGAGTACAGGCTCCCCTGTACTAATACTGAGAGGTGTCCAATGAATGTAAATGCCCATTTGAAAGTCTGACTGGTAAAATCAGCTTCCTCAGAGTGCAGTGATGCTTGGCAGGAGCCCATCACCTGCAGCAGTGTGGGATCCAGTCAGCTGGACACATCCAGCAGGCTGCTTTGCTTTGCTTTCATGTAGCACTGCAGGTAGGATGGTGCAGAACTATAAATTGTTTTAAACCTGTTTCTGTATTGGAGAAAATAGTAAGTTTCCCTGTAAGAATAAAATATGTTATGTTACCTGGCAGCTTTTTTCCTCCCTTTGCTCTTGTAGAAGGCTTTAGCATGATCCTTTGCTTTTGCACCAACTTTTCCCACTGCAATTGGTCTCTTAAGAGCTATTAATTAAGAGGAATTTGGACTTGATATTCTACTAGGTCTTTTTAGCTTTTAATTTGGCTTATAGTCCCTGTGAGCTCCCAGAGATGCAGAGAAACGGCTCATCTAGGTTGTGCTGTCTCTTCCTGCTTGGACAGAGTCCTTGCATGAAATGGCTTCCTCTGGTGTTGGGTTTACAGCAATTAGCTCAGATAATTCCTGAAATGAGCCAGAGCCCAGAGGACTGTGGGGCTGAAGTGCATCCAGGTGTGGGCACAGCAGAGGAGTGGGATGGGGTCACTGTTGTGTTTGAGAACAGTTGGAGCTGGCAGTTCCTGACAATGAGATCTATTTATTTGTTCCCTGTCTGACAGTCCCTTTTTGCTCTCCGTTGTGTGCATCAATCACAGTGAGAGATGCTCCTGAAAGGATGCAAAGCACAGTTTTGTACATTTGGGAGAGCTATCATTCCTAATGAACAGAGAATGACAGCCCACATATGAATTGGTAGAAGCAGCAGTTAGTTACAGAGGTAGGAGTCCTCTCTGAGATCATTCCCATTAAATAAACCCTGTTGTGACTGAGGGGTTGCTCACTCGTGTGTGTGCTTATGGAAAATACTGGAATGTGGTTCTTTGAGCGTCACTGGCCTCTTCAATTGCACAGGCTAATACCAGTAATCTGTGGACATCTAAGGGAATAACTAAATAGATAGAATATTTTAGCTGGAAGGGACCTACAGTCATCCAGTCCGACTGCCTGGACAGTTCAGGGCTGGCCAAGTTAGCGTGTTGTTAAGGGCATTGTCCCAATGCCTCTGGAACACTGACAGGCCTGGGGCATTGACCCCTCTAGGAAACCAGACTGGTGAAAAATGACACAGAATAAATGATAAAGAAGAGTGTTTTAGAGTCTTTTGGGGAGAAGAGATGGTACTTGACTAAGGGGAAGAGACTGTGGTATAAACATGGATAACTCAGAGTTGACCTCTGTCATATCCTTAGTCTTTCAGAGGACATTTTTACTGTATTCCCTGAGACATCTGGAATTACTGATGACAGCTTTGTGTTGAAGTCCTTCAGCTCACTATATTAGAGTTGTCCCTTCTTTGGTTTACAGTAGAAGTTGGCTTTAAAATGGCGTTGAAGCATTTTCACGAACAGAAGTAGAAAGATGAGCAAATTCTTTGAAATAAAGAAAATCATCATAAGTCCCATTCTGGCCCGATAACTTTAAGGGCCTTTCGGAAAATATTCAGCTCTGGTTTTATGTAATGATGGTCAGCCAGTGCTCTTCAGTGTGTCGTGGTCATTAAGAATTGTTTTTAACTTTTCCGTGCTGTAATGAGGTGTAACAGGCCAGTTGTTGGAGACCAAATGTTTCATTGATTGCAAGACCTGTGAAGCAAAATACTTGGAAATCTCCTGCCACTGATTAATGTAAGGGCTTGAGAAGGTGTGCACATCAGAAATGTATCTGCTTTATCTCTCCTTAGCTCTTCAGTGGGTGACATTTAGTAAGATCAGATTAGCATCACTTGTCCTTTCAATTATGTGTAGCACTGAGTGGAAATGAAGAAAAATCTGTTTCTAGAAAGCTCAGTACATGGGAACGTTATTTAAGAGTAAGTGACCTTTATGTAAGAAGGACTATGAAATTCCTTTTTTTCTTTAAATAAAGTATCAGTTGTGACTTCATTTCCTAATTGTGGTAATGTCAAGAAAATCATGTAAATCAAATTGCACTGTTTTCCGAAATACTACGGATTTTTCCTCTCTGTGGAACAAAGGAACCTAATTAATGTTTTTTGAGTTTTTTCTTCTGTGGCAGTCATTAGTCTGTAGTTGTTCCTACACCTAATTATACCTCTCAGTGTCTTAAAATGCTTACAATATCCAGTCTGAAAGAGAATTAGCAAGTACATTTTTAGTGGGTCATTTATCAGTTGCATGTGTTTCTTTTAGACAACTGTATGTTGCAGCTAAGTTCTGTGATTTTTGTGTTTGTACAGAAATTTGAACAAATATGTATATAATTACATTTTAAGGGAGAGTCATGGGTGGGGTTGGCTAAGAAGCAACCTAAGCATATATATCATTGATAATTCTCCCACACTTCCATCGTCTTCACCCAGTGGAACTGGAAACCTTTTCTCCCCAAGCATGTTGAAATGTTATATAGGGGAGAAAACTGTTTCCCCTCCTGCCAGCACATTTTCTGTGACCTGGTTATTCCTTGAGGAAGTACAACAAACAGCAGAGAACATACAGATGAAATGAAGATGGTCTGTCACAGTGTCCACTGCAGGTCCCCTGGCTGGAGAAGCGGAGTATCATCTCAGATTTGGTCTAAGCCTTTGCAGAATGACAGTGCCAAGTACAGTTTCCATGTGTTGGGAAGTAGTTGAATGAATGAGCCTCAGCATGTATGTTTGCTCTGTATTAATGTCAAGGAAGGTAGAATAGAAGCACAGAGAGATCAGTTGCTAAATGTGATGCCCTTGTCTGATGACTGGCATCATCATTCCCTGGTTATTGCAAGTTTCAAGCAGTCTAATTAAAGAATTGTTTACACTCATGGTTTGATCAAGACAATTTACACCCATTTTAGCAGCAATTACTGATATGTTTCAGTCCTACTGGCTTGTGAAATTCTATTAAAATATAAAATTAGGTAAGTTAACATATCCTTGCAAAAACCTTCAGGAAAAATCATTTTCATATTGGGTAAAACATAAGTGATAAAAGGAAATTACGAATGAGCACCAAGACAAATGGCATGCTACAGTTTACTGTGCAAGCGTAGGTAGATAGAAAATTAGCATTCAGAAAAGTTTTCCAGGTAGTTTCTCCTCATACTGCTGCATTGTGTAGGTGAGTATTGCTATTAACAATAATGGCATTTGTATTAAGGGTATTCTGATCCTGTACTTAGGGCTTTGCAATGAGGGCTGTGCAAATGAAAAAGAAGAGGGAGAACTGTTCCAAGTGTCAGATGGTTAATTTGTTTATGCATTTCAACTTTGTTCCTAGAAACAGGAGTAAACACTTTTAGAAGATATGAGTTAACTGTATGTGTGTCATGTGATAAAACCACATTAAATGTTTGATATGACATGTTTCAGCTGTTAGTAATGAAGTAAGACATGGAATTAGATGCTATTCCTTAAGTATTTTCAAGGAATCCCTGGTTTTGGTGAGAAATAAAATTTTCTCTTGCATTTTGGCCTGTGTACATCTGCAGGTAAGGCTTCGTGGATAACTGAATATTTCAGACAGGAGATTGTAAATAAGAGCAGCATCTAGACCCAAGGTTGTCGCTGTAGTGAAAGCTACTTTCTGCACATCTGCAGCAGCCTCATAAGAAAAATAATGCTTTCCTTAGAGTAATAACTGTTTAATCCCTAAAGTGGTAATTGGAGTGCAGCTTAGTGCAACAGGATCACGTTGACCAGTTTTTCAAGAGCACATTTTAGGTTCCAACTTCACTTTGCTGATGATGGTGAACTCATGACTGAGTTTGGCTTCCTTCATGAGCTTTGCCCAAACAGATTACTGAGGCTGTCACGTCAGTAGCTGAATGAACACAATGTGCTGAATGAGTTTCATTTTAAGGTCCATAAACACTGTTAGTTGCTGCCATACTGGGAAAGTGGATGTGGTGCTGCACAAGGAAGATAAACACATGTAGGGCTGTAAGAACATTAGTTTGCTACTGCTGAACTATGTTTGTTCTCTTTCGGTCTTAGCTTTAAGTCCTCTCTTATTTATATCTATGTTGCCTATTAACACATTGCCATTGCAAGCCAGGTGCTGGTGGCTGCCTAGTCATCCACTTCTTCCTGACTGTGTAGTTTCAACAGGCCACTGGGTGCTCTTTGTAATTTTTCCCAGATCTTTCAGTCAAATGCTGTTAATTCCCGTTAAAGTTGTTCTCAGTATTGTCCCTCCTGTCTGTTCCTTGGCCCCAGATGTGGCTGCACACAGGAATCATCTGGCAGGCACTTTGCTGATCTGTCTTCCATTCCTCCTGAGTGTGCCCAGGTGCTTCTTCCAAAAAAAGCAATTCTTCTTGCTATGGAGGAGCTTCTGTAGGCTGAAATACTTCCATTCTCAGTTATTTCAGACATCTGACAAGTAACTATCTGTTGTAAATAGGGGTTACAAACTCAAATTCAGCACCAGATGAAAGATGATCCAGTAGAAACAAGCTAAAAACCGATTTTTGGCTGAAGTACCCTTTGTCAGCCTGCAGATGTGCTATGTAATTTAGTGAAGAAAACCAAACTCTTCCCATCTGACTTATCACTTCTCATTTTCCATTCTCCACTTTTGCTTTTTTAAGGAAGGAAATGTTGTCTCCTTCACTAGTCCTGTTGTTATTATTATTATTCCTAGAAAAAAAAATCATATTGACAGTGGCGAGCATACAGTATTACACAGATTATATATAATATAACAAATAAAATATACTATAATGTAGGTATCTTCTAGAAAGCAGATCTTCAGGTCAAAGGGGCAAGTGCATCCCATCTCTTTGGTCCACACCTCATGTTAGGACTGGAAGCCAGGGTTGAGAGAGGTTGTGGGAGCCCAAAACTCTTGAGGGGAACTCTTGTCATGTGTTTGGCTTCCCTCAGCGTCTGCCTGCAAAAAGAGATCCCAAAGAGTGGCTTGAAAAGGTGCCCTAAAGCTGAAAAGATCAGGTCAGCCTGGTGCTGGTCAAAGGAGCAGTGATGGATGTGGGGATGCTGCAGATGTGAAGCTTTTCTCTTTGAGCTGAATGTTTTAAAATGCAGTGGAAATGAAAAAAAAAAAGCGTGCAAAAAAAAAAAGTGTGCATTGATTTACTCCTGTATCTCTGAATTAGATGGGTTTGGTCTGAAACTTTACTTTCCTTGGTGCCATCTGTAATACAGGGAGCTGCTGGTGGGGAGAGAAAATCACAGAAGTCAGTGAGTGTTTGATAAAATTCTTTAACCAAATTAGAGGAATAGTCTAAGAAAGCAGGTGGGGGCTGTAAATGTGCAGATAACATAGTGTTGCATTAGTAATATTAAAAGAGAAGTTGGCTTGTGGAATGCTTGTACTTTAGTTTCTAATTAGGCAGTTTCCCTTTTATCCTGGTGTGAGGCTTCGGGTTGGCAGGTTGGACTGGTGCTGTATTAATGATTCCTCTCCAGCCAAAATTGTGGCAGATGGCTACATTTTGGGGGAGGCAGTAACAGAACCAGTTCAGGTGGCTATTTCAGCCTTTGTGCCTCAGCTCAAGATTGCCATCTTACTTAGTGCTGTACGGTAGAATTTCTTTCAAATTCTTGTAAGAACCAGCGGGTTACTAAAATATAAACAAACCCCAAGAGTTTGAAAGGGAACCTGCTGATTAAAATGTGCTTTGAACTAATGAGCAGAGGTAGGGCGAGTACATTCATATTGTTCTGCTCAACTGGAAGTGACTAAAGTGGAGGAAACAAAATAGCTGCAACATGTAAAACATTTCCAAGAAGATCTTCACTGAGAATAAAAAGGTATTGATGAGAAACTAACAGGAGTGGTGTCTCCCTAACAATCGTTGTAGGACATCATGTTCTCTCTGCTGTGAGCAGGTAAATGAATAATCCATGACCAACGTGAGAATGTCTGGGAAGGGAGAATTGGGATCAGCCGAGTGAGATGAGGGGAAGTAGCCTCTGGAGAGCGTCTCCATCCCTGGAGAAAGTTGCTTTCTTTTCAATATCCACTGTTAATTTAGTGGAGAGGAGAGGCAACACCACAGCATAGTAAATTAGAATAATTCAGATTTAATTATGGATCGTGCAAACTTAAAAAACCAACAAAAACAAACAGCTGTACTGAGAATGCCATTAACCCACAGAGGCAGTGTGTTTTCGAAGGCAGGGTACCAGTTAAGGTATGTAGCCTTCTGTCTTTTAAATTCAACTGGGCAAGCCGGTGAGAGGGAGATAAAGAATGTGGGAGCTTTTCCATACACAGATTAAGTCAACTCTTAAATGCATAAGAGATTAAATCCTTGCAAAACAACCTCAAAGCTGATTTGTTCTTAAGAAAATGTATGGAACGAGGCCTGGATGAAGCACAGTGAACAACGTCAGACTTACCAACAAGACAAAGGTGTACAGAGCTCATGTTTAAATGTGCTTTTTAAATTAGATTTAAATCTGAATCCCTATATTTAAAAAATGAAATTGCAATAATATGAAGAAATCTTACTTTTGATAGCTTTTAATGTATGCAGACATTAAAATGCTCCAAATGTATAGCCACCTACATCAATTAACCACACTATTTTAAACATAACAGGAATAATCCTGGAGGATTATGAAGTGCCTACTTCAAACATGAGGAAAATACTACCTTATCATCAAAAAATCACTAGTGTTTTGAAGTTAGGGTTTCATCTTCATTATGTATCTTACATCATGATCTGCATCTTCAAACACAATTACAAAGCATTAGTGTCATAGTAAAGCCCAATAGCAATTGAATTTGACCTAGTAATCAGCCTTTCTTCTTTCAAAATTGGAAGCCCTCTTTCCTCGAGTATGGTTGAATCTCAGAAGTTTTAGTGTGCTTCTACTACAGTCTTGTCATGCAAGCTTTTCCATAGTTTTTGCTTTCCTTACAGATGTTTTTTTGAGATAGAGAAGTAAAAATGAGGGGACATGGGAACTAGATGGGAGTATTAGTATTAACTGAACTGGGAGGGTTAGTCCCATTCCCAAATGACAGGAGGAGCTCAAGTGTTTTTCCAGATCATTTCCTCAGTGTTATGAAACCTTAATCATACCCAAAAGGTGAAAATGTAATTTGAGGACTAAGTCCTTGGTATCGACCATATAAATGTCTATCAGTGTACCTTAAGCCCAGCCTGCGGTAAGGACCTACTTCTCTGTTAGCTGGTAGGGAATATTTATTCTCCCTTGCTTACCTAACTCTGCTGATGATTACAAAGAGGTCTTTATTCTAAAATATGCATTGCATCTTTTTTGCTATCTGTTGCCCTTGGATCAGGCTCGGGGACAAGTCTCTGCATTTCTGAGACTACTGCAGTGGTTTCTGAGGCAGCTGCCTGATTGAGCTGCAAGAAGTGGAGAGGGAGAGCAGTCTAGTATCCTCAGTCTTAATGCTGTCCTAAGTAGATGAGCAAATTTTGTTCCATGAGAACAGGTTTGTCTCAGTCTTGTGAAACTGTGCTGTGGCTGCTTATGTGAGCCTCAGAAATGTGGGCTCACATAAGCAGAAAGTGGGCTCAGAAAGGTAGTTCTTAAACTGTAGAAATGTAAGAATATAAAAACCTATTTCTTCTTTGAAAATTGGCTCTAAACTCTCCTCTCAAAAACTTGTGGGCATAGGTCTTTGATTTCTAATCAAGATGTGGGGCTCTCTAAAACTCAGTGGGGTTAGTAAGTCATGTTAGTCCTCAGAGAACATTTCCGGTAATTTGAATTACCAGAACATGTCCTTTAACTACAGATGATTCTTGATCTCTGTTTGTACTTACGTGGATTGCAATCATAATGTAATACAAATTGATTTCTGTCCCTGAGAGCTAATGACAGACCCAGTTTCTTTGAAATGCTCAAATTGGTTATACTCTGCGTCTCATGCAAAGCCAAAGGATAAAGCTAGCACCTAGATAGGGAGGTCAAAAATCTCTCTTGGCTTCCTGGTGATTTAAAATCTGCTGAAATGGTTAAGATATTTGAATGTGTGCTAAATGATAAAAAAAAAAAGTGATCCTACACAACAAATTTTATGTTCCCCAAGTTCAGGGCTATTGCGTGCACAGACGTTGTTCCCACTGGAGGCTGAGTGGATGGATGCACAACCTAAGTGCTTCTTCTTTCTTTATTTTCATCTCTATTCTGCTCAGCAGCTGGGGGTCAGGGTCTTGCCTAGAAATTGCTGGCTGACATGCAACTGTTATTGAAAAACATCTGAGCAGAGCAATGAAAGATAAAGTCAGATTCTCCTTAGTAACTGTACACTTATTTTTATAAGATTAGGTGACATTGGGTTTGTTCTGTATTATATTGTTGGACGAGTTTGTGCACGCTCATGTTTAGTTTTGTCAGTGGAAGTGTTTTGGAAGTCACTTCCTTAGTGTAGTGTGGTCTTCTCAGCCTGCTCTTGAGCAGAGCTCTCCGTGTGGGCCTGCCCAGCACTCCCAGGCTGGCATCCTTTTCCATGCTCCGTATCTCCCTCCTTATAATTATGCTTACCCTGTGACTTCTCACTCATAGGCCACCGTGTGTTCTGTCTGAACCTGTTTCTGTCCCTGCTCTTTGACTGGCTTCCATCTGTGAGTTCTTCAGAACTGAGAAGTGTGTAACATATTACAAACATATTAACAGTCTGTCCATTCTAATTTTAAATAGGATTACTCTGGCACAGATGAGCATAAGATGTGGTTTTTTTATCTTAAGGTGCAAATAAAATCCATAACCATAAGAGTCAACATATTAATCTTGTTTTAGCGGTAGTTTTAAACCAGCAGCACACACAGTGTATTGTAGCAGAACACAGGTTCAATCCTTTTTGATTCCTAGGTAGTAGGAAATCCATTGGCAGATGTTCTTCCTGGTAATTCATGTAATCATTTTACAAGGTTATAGTAGTTGCAAAAGGGACAATGAGCTTCTGCTTTCCCCAACCTCCTCGTCATTGTTAGTGTGTTAATAAGGTGACATTTTTATACCGGCCTTTAACAGCTCTGCAGAGCACGTGGTGCCACTTTTCACAAGATGGATACTTTGAGCTGATAAATGTAATAACCAGGAATGTCAGTGCCACTCCAGTGTAAACACATGTTCTCATTTTTATTGTTTCAGGTTTATCCCAATTTATAGGGGACCAAGTCATACGTACAAGATACAAAGGCTGACAGAGTCCACTTGTTACTCGTTCAGAATACAGGCAGTAAATGATGCTGGGGAGGGACCTTTCTCAGAAATCTGTACCTTCTGCACAACTAAGTCAGTCCCACCTGCAATCAAAGGTATGTAGCAGATTTTTTTTACATATATGTACATAACATGTAAATATTTATGTAATTGTTAAGTATGCAGTGAGTTTGTAAGGGTTACCACAAGTATGTAATAACATATGAAGAATCAGTTTGTGCTGCTTGTAGGTTTCTGTGAATTCTGAAGTTATGGTGAGAAGCTAAATTATCACCCAAAAAATCACATAAACAATATAAATGTTATGTAAACCACTGCTGTTATACATAAACTGTTAAAATGCTACTGCTAACAATGTTTGCTAGGGAATTGCTCTGGATTACAGCAGCACTTATACAAAGGATCTAACAGCTGTAGTGAATATGTGTACCTACCAACTTCAGCTTTAATAAAGTTTAATGTTTTTAGTTGTGTAGGTGATGTCTAACATAGAACTTTAGGGTTTGTTTTTCCTTTAACGCATAAAATTAATTATGATATTTCACCTATAGAGCATTAGAATTAGAACTCAGTATGTGTTCCACTAGAAGAACTAAAGGCCTAATTAAATGAAGTTTTATAATGAAATGTCTTTTGCTCTGTGTAAATTTTGTCCTAAGTAATTATGCTCCTTCTGAGGAGGAGGAAGGAAGGAGCAAAACTAAAACAGTACAAAACACAGTAAAAGATGTTTCATTATAAAACTTCGTGTAATTAAGGCCTTGAGTTCTGGACCTAATTAGGCCGCCTTTTCCCTGTTACGAAGGCAGTGGGTTCACTGTATGGGCTGTCAGATCAGCTGAGCTGAAATCAGATGCACTCTTTTTCCTGGGTGCTTAAGTTTCCCTGTCAAGTCATGTCATTTACTGTGAGAAACAGCAACTGTCAGTTTGCCAGAGAGGTTTTGTTTGCTGCTCTGCGCTTAAAATCTGGCTTTGGTGATTTTGACACCTTTTGTAACCAAAGATGTAGAGAGGGCAGAGCACTGCAGGGGTGTATTTCCCTGCTCCCTAGGTTAGCTGCTCTGAGTCACCCCCAGAAAGAACAATGTTCTCAAGTAAAAAATATCTGTGTGATTGAGGGTACAGATATTTAGCCAGGGGTGAATTATCCCAATTCACACCATTACACAGGTGTAAGATGTGCTGCCAGCCAAGGGAACAGAGCTCATGCTGGATGACCCAGGGCAGGTGCATCTGCAGCACTAAGTGGATAAAACCAGCCCAATGATGCTGGCATGCACTGTAGTCACACTTGCATTTTGTTGGATAATAATCAGTTTTATTCAATTCACCTCACCTAGCTTTTTGTTTTAAACTCTCTGCCTGCCTATTGAGTTCCTGTTAAATATGACTCACACCCTCGGCCGAATATCAAGCGGTAAAATATGGTGCAAATAGCAGGTCGTGTGTAGGCTGGGACCTTGGGTACCTGACAAAATACTGGCTGTAACAGAGAAAAGGGCACAACAAAAACTGTGCTAGTGAACACTGCTGAGGGGAGGTGATGCTGCAGGGAGGAGAGCTGATGAAGCAAGATGGTGATGTTGATTCCCTTATGTGTTCAGGGCAATACAGAGGAATTTATGTGATAAACTTAGTTCAGTTTTTCATCTATCAGAAGCAAATGTTTATTCTCCTCTAAAGTCTCCTAATTACTCATTTAGTGATGCCAACCCCAGAATAGCATTGTTGTTAATGGCAGTGTTTTGTAAGTGTCAGACAAAAATCTGCATGTATTGGGGTGAGGGATGGAAGGAGGAGGAAAAATAATTGAGAATGTTGTTGTCAGCTGAGATGAAGGCGTCTATTATCAGTCTCTCAACACTGGCAGATGTGCAGAGGGAAGTAAATGGATATTGATTACATTTGGGTCCTCATATGATTCATGTGTTCCTCTTGGGTAGTAACAAATCAGTCTAAAATTCATCTAATGTATGCAGCAGCATTTGTTTCTTTGATAGACCCTCCTGTTGTCTGTTTTCGTAGGGTTGGGGCTCTAGATTGCCTTTAACAAGCTCGTGTCCTTGCACGTGCACGTGTTAACCACCTGCTAAAGTGTTCAGTGCTCTTGTTTCTCCCAGTTTCATTCTTTTTTTTGGTATTGTGCTTGCTTCCTCTGCCTGATCAAGAGGTTGGTGGACCCTGGATGCCGTTGCAGTTTTTTGATGCCTTCCTGTGGCAGATGCTTAGTTGTACACATAAACACACTGCCACTGCCAGTGCTCTGCTCAGCTCACCTGTGAGCTTGCCCTTGGGTTTTTTTGGCTTTCGACCGGTGAGAGATCCTTTCCCAAGGACAGCAGCCTTGTGACAGCTGGCAAATGGAATTTCTCTGGAGTTCTAGTGAAAGCATTAGTCTAAGTCTGGCTAGAAATAGCAGGTCTTATCATCTGGGTGTCAGGCTCAGAGTTACATACAGCTCTAAGTTTTTTAAATTATGCTTGTGATTTTGCTTCCCAGGCTTGACTTAATAATTTTCTGCATTAAGAGATTTAGCTTCCCTTCTCACATTCCTTCTATTTTTCCTGAATGAAATGTTTGATATTATTCCTCTCTTTCAATGACATGTAGCATGGGAGGAATGTGCAGTGTCTCCACTGGCACAGGTGTTTGCTCAGAAGTTCACGAAATTGCTGCTTTTGTGAATGCCTGTGCAATTTGTATGCTGGCTTCTGCTTTGAAAAGATCAGTGCACAGCTTTGCAGTTGAGTTTTAAAAGTTCAAAGTTTTCTGTTGCATCCACTCCCCCTCTCTACTGCTCACACAGATCAGAGATGATCTGAGAGCTCTCTGCCCTTCTGCAGAAGGGATCTGGGTCCTATAATAAACTTCTTACAAGCTTGTTAATCAGCTCTAAATTTCACCCAGTTTTCTGTGGATTGTGTTTGTTTTTGTTTAATACCGTAGGAATCCTGAACTGCTTCATCAGGTAAGACTGTCCTGAAATGAATGAGCCTTTTGAGTGACTTAAATTTTATTTCTTTCATCCAGTGGTGATGGCAGTTTGATTTTTTTGGCCACATAAAGACAGTACAGATTATGTGCTACTTACCCCTGTGATGTCCCAAAGTTCCCTTTTTAAAATGTTCTGGTAAATATTACAGTGCTCATAAAATAATTAAGATTTCAGTGCAGTCTTTATATTAAATGTTAACGTATTTCATTTTGTTGCAGCCCCTCGAGTGACACAGCTGGGAGGAAACTCCTGTGAAATTACTTGGGAAATGGTCCCACCCATGAAGGGAGATCCTGTTGGTTATATTCTGCAGGTACTGGTTGGAAGAGAGTCTGAATACAAGCAGGTAGGGAAATGGTCTGGGTTTAATGTTGCTAAATTGATGTCATAACGGAAATGGTTTTGAAAAATTGCTGTGCTGCTTCTTTGTATTTGGTGATGTGTCAGGTGCACTTTGGTAAAGGCTGAGTCAAAATTAAGGGCTGTAATAGGTTGTTTTGTCCCCTAAGGGAGTATATAGAACATCATTATCTTATTGGAGTGATTCGAGCTCTCTCTATAGTTAACCACTATTTTTAACTGAACTAACCTTTGAGAAGTTACAGTTCTCTCCACCCAGGCTTGCTTCTGAGCTTACTGGTGTTAACCATTATCTGAAGATGAGATGAAGCAGGTAGATTAATTCCTCCTTCACTAAGCCCATTTTAAGATCATCTATCAAGGATTTCAGTCAAGTGCACAACTTGAAAGTGGTTTGTTCATCTGTCCCATTCTGGTGTCAGGTTTCGATACACAGTTGTGTAAGTGCTGTATATCCTTCCTGGCACTGTGGAAACAAAGGGAATGAAGTACAGCTCATCCTTCTTTTCTTGCCTGTCTTCATTAGAGCTCGCAAGTGGACACTTCCCCAGAGCAGCAGTTCAGAACAGCTCATTCACAGCTAGACCTTTTGTTTCATCTGTCACACCTCTGACTGTGTGATTTGTAGTGCACTTCATCTGTGCCCTATCTGTTTCCTGTGCTTTCTTTCACTGTCATGTGGATTCCAATTAAGTCCAAATTAGGGAATGAGATAAGCTAAACTTTCAATTAAACCCTTAAAAATATGTTAAGGTAGTACTTTATTTGCAACTATGTCTTTGTTCCTCTTCAGCCTGTTTTTGAGTGTTACTCTGAATTAATGAATTATAAAAAATAGCATTAAAAATGCTGGACAATTCATGGGGGTGGTAAAGATTCAGAACCTGACTTGTTTTTGTCAGGAAATATTTTTGGTGCTGGTGTAGATAATAAAACCTCTCTGTACTGTCTTGGCCTCATGATGTCAGTGGCAAGTGGACTCATTTACTGTTGCCTGATGTACAAAGTAGCCTTGATGTAACCTCCACACACAGCTTTAGTAAACATAAGTCCAGTGTTTAAAATATTCTGGATGTCCTCGGGGAGAACTGGGCATGGCTTCATGTTCCTTGGAGGTGGGTGATGGCTTAATCTGCACAGTCAAGAACTTGTGGTGTGAAAAAAAAAAAAAACAAAAACCAGCAGTAAAGGGAATAAAACATACTTTCAGGGTCTTCTTATGCTGAAGGTCTTCATTTCTCACGAGGCATGAACCTGATGAGGGGTTTTTGCATGAGTTGGCACAAGTAACTCACTGGCAGAAGCTCCTGGCTGGGATGCTCAAAGCTGCCACTAGGACTTGTGTAGTTGGGCTGCCTGATACCCAGCCACGGGAAAGAGGGAGAGTTCACTATTTCACCTTCTCACAAATCAGTTTTGCCCATCAGAATGTTTCATTTTCAGCACGAATGTGGGTGGTGCCTCAGCAGTGGGGCACATCACTGACTGTCCATGGGTTGAGCTGCAGAGGCTGTGAGCACACCCTGAGCTCCTGTTTTGTGCAAAGGAGATAAAATATGTAAATATCTTTGAGTGATTTTCTGGCTAGTACATTTTACTTCACCTCTGGCATGCCTGTGATCACCTGCTACTATTTAACTGAAAAGTAGTGTGATTGATATGTTCATTAATCTTAGTGATATGTTAATTACCTTTAAAGTGCAAGTCGTAAATTTATTTTTAAATATATTTTGTTCCCTGCAAGTGACATATATATTTTGCATATGTATCTTAAGAGGCATATTATATTAAAAATGTTTTGCAAATTGTTTTGAAGGGTTGCACAAATGAAAAATAATTGTAGATTTTTCAGGCTATTAATGGAAATAAAGGAATGAAAGGAAGCTATTCCTTTCCCTGCTGCAGGATTAGCCACTGACATGCTAAACTACACTAAAGCTGTAGTTTCCCTCTAGATCATTTTCCTCTGTACTCCAATGTTTGCAGCCCTCCACTGCCCAAAAGCTGCTGGTTTTCCACCATTTGACTTGCAGAGGTGATACTAAGGTACTTAAAAGCCCTTTTTTTCAGACTGGGACTATAACCATCCCTGCCCTTTTCTGGGAGAACATTATTTGTAAATATTTCTCTGCTGAGAATTATCTGAAGAACTGGATTTGCAAGAACTAAACAGATAATATTTTAGCTCCCTGAAAAGTGTATTTAAAGAAATACTGAACTGCTTCTTTTCCTGTTTCTCACGTGATGTGTTCCTCTTTGTGTATTTGTATGCTTTATCTATTCAGATAATTTTAAAGAAGTAATGGCATACAATTCTTTTTAGGAAATCAAATCTTCCTTGTTTACGAATCAGGATGTAAACCACAGCAGATTCCAGGAATCACTGGCCTGGATTTGTTTTTCTGTTTCTTGCACCTTTATCTGGCAAAGCTTAGTCAGAATTTAGCTTCAAATTGTGTTAAATAGGTTTGCTTAGTTTTAATCCAGAGTTAGGGGAGGGGGCTGGGCTGGGCAGCAGTTGCAGAGCTGGAGCTGGGGATAGTGGTTGTAATGCCCGGCAGCCCAAGGTTTAGTTTCCCAGTTGAGCAGCTCTGGGACTGGAATCACCCAGGAACCAGCTCCTCATCAGAACTAACCATGGGAAATGAGAGCTGAGCTTTTTAAAACTTCCTTAGCCTTAAATTGTTTGCCAGTGAGGCAAAATGTTCTACCTTTGAAATTTCCAAGAATTTGGAGGCAGTGGTGTTTCATCAGCTTCTGCCTCATCTTTTCTGGGAGAAAACTGTTCCCAAATGCTTTCCAAAAGAAGAAAAGGTAAGGGTAGGATACACTGGGTGTGTGAAAATTCCCTAGCAGTGCAGTGGGAAGCCTGCTCAGGCCTGCACTGAGGTTGGGTGCCTGCAAGAGCCTGGTTGGTCTTACCAAGCTCTCACTTCTATTATTGTTTTTTCTTTGGTTTGTAGACACACAGTGTCTGGAATGCTTTGGTGAACTGTTTATTTGTGTAAAGCTCTAAAAATTGGGTTTCCTTCTCTATTTTCCGTAGTAAGTACAAGGCACTTGTACTGGTTGTTTGCCGAAATACAGCAGACTTGTACAGCACCTGTTGGCATTTAGTGTTTAGTGCTACTTGCACTGAGTATTTTCTCTGCCTCCTGGTGCTAGTTTTGTGTCATGAGATGAAGCAAATAATTTCCTTCCTTTAGGGTTTTTCAGTGCAGACGACCTCCTGGCAGGTGGTCTGAGGGACTCTGGTTTCTCTGTTCAGGAGACAAGGCTGTCCACACAACTCTGAAGGGTTTTATGAGCATCTCAGCAGTGGAGTGAGTGAAGCTGATGTTGAGTTTGGATGAAATAATAAGCCAGTTTCTTAAAGAGAAATCTGTCAGGTGACTTTAGAAGAAGTTAGACCTATCAAGTGGACATGCTTTCAACATAGATTGAAACCCATTCCTGGAAGTGTTCAAGGCCAGGTTGGATGGGGCTTGGAGCAACCTGGTCTAGTGGAAGGTGTCCCTGCCCATGGCAGGGGGTTGGAACAAGATGAGCTTTAAGGTCCCTTCCAACACAAACCATTCTATGATTATTTGTCTTCTTATCACCATATAAAATAGGCTCTTATTAATTACTAAATACACTGGTCATTGCAGTGGGATGCAACAACCAGGTAAGATTATCTTACACTTCCATTGTGTTGCTTATAGGGCAATTATGGCTGTCATTGTTATTATTTGGAAAAGATGGAGGGAGGGTTGGAATTATTTAATGAGACCAGTGAAATTGAGAAACACTTGCCTGCAGGAATTCTCTGAGCTTTTTAGCTTGGATCAGTAGGATCAAATGCCATAAGAGGCTTCAGCAGCAGTTTATTACTTGTGATGATATTTTCATTGAGGGAACCAGGCAAAAAGCTCATCACGTTTTTATTATATTCTCAAGTGCCTAAACAGAAAAACTGTTTTTAGGAACTGATAGTGATAAATTGGATAGGCACTTCACTTTGGCTTGTTGGCCAACAGAGCATAATGTGCTACATATAAAATACTATCGTGCTTTATAGAGTTATATTTGATGTCGTATTTGTTTGGCAGATTTAAAGAACTTATTCATAATTGTCAGGTTTTTTATTCTGTTGTGTATGTGAAGTCCATTGACGGAGTGTAACAGTGTTCACAACCAAACATGTGTCTGTGCTGAGGGCACCCTGTTGTGGCTCCAGGATGCTGCTGCAGCTGGTGACAGAGGATACAGAGGCTGCTGTCAGAAGTGGATGACAGTTAAGCACAACAATTTTTCGCTTGTCACTGAGAAAGGACATAGGTCCACTGGTGCTAAGTACTCGTCAAGCCACTGGAAGCAGGACAATTTCCACCACCTTCCTAGCACTAATGCGGGAAATGTTTTGTCTTTATCATTAGTGAATATTAATTCATGTATTCTATGCACTTTCAACTATATTTCAAACTTCCCTTAAAGGTACACTCTTCTCTCACTTGGCTGTCTGGTCTTTTTCTGAGAAGTGCTGTTGAGTAGCTGTCTCAAGTGAACTTGGTCATCTGTGCTTGTTAGACTGTAATAAAGATACAGGTCTTTGATTTAGCCAAACTTGACCTCCAGTTACGCTGGTATTCACCACCTTCACAGAACAAAACAAGTAAAAAACCAATTAACTGGAAAGGGTTTTTTCAGTGTGAAGACAGGTTATGTATATTCCATCCCTAGTATTGGTTAAATGTTATTTATCAAGATTAAATTGTAAATTTTTTTTATTAAATGTCATTATTTGTATTTCACTGGATTTTTATTTTGGTTTAGAAGTGGTCATATTGGTTGCAAAGGCAAGTAGAGCTTCTCTGATTATATGTTTGGAAATGAAGTTAATAATTACTTATTTAGGAATAAGCTAAGAGTTAACCACTTATAAGGTGCAACACTGGTGATGGAGTAGGTGGAGGACGCTTGCCCTCAACAGGTGGGTGTTAGAAATGGAGTTGCCATTGGAAAACAGAGTGGCAGAAATGTTCTTGGGATGAGGCGTGCTTTGCAAATAGGTGTCCCAACCCTCACATTATTTCTGTGGGTTGCTAGAGCATTTTCAGTTTTGTTTTCCCCGCAATTACTTTAACTTACTGACTCAGTTCTCACTGGCATTGGAAAGACAAACAAAGACAACAAGAAAGGCAGCAGTGCATAGGTGTGGCTACTCGCAGGGATTTATGGTATGAATTTGTTGTATTCCTATCACTTGACCTAGAGGGAAATTCCTGAAGATACTGAGGGTACTTGAGGAAAGTAACATTTATTTAAACATTGTTTCTTGATCGGTGCCTGGAGGCCAAGAAACATGAGCCAGTTGGAGGACTTTTGCTTCGTCTGGAAACGCAGAGTCACCATCATTCAAACTGTATTGGGAAAAGCTCAAAAGTTCAAAAGGAATGGGGAGAACAAATGAAAGAAAAACCTTAACTTTGTCCCAAACCTTCTCAAGAAATCAGCGACCAGCTGTTTAACCAAGGGATGAGTCTCAGGGACAAGCAGGGCAGGAAAGCTGGGCTCCTTAAGTGGTGTTTAGTTGAGCAGGTCTCCTTCCTCCTCTTTTCTTACTCCAGAGTAATGCACAGGAAGTCCTTTATGGGCTCAGGTCTAATTTCCCACTTGCTGCCGTCTTCTAAGATGAGTTCTTGCCTCTGGGAGGGCAGAGTGCTCTCAGCCGTCTGCTCCTGCAGTGAGGAGAAGGGAAAATGAGTGGTGGAAGAAGTATCTGAAGTTCAAGGTAGTTTTTCTCCCAGCAGACACAGGCACTTTATGACACATTTTTCATTTAATCAAGTACCAGTTTCAACAACCCTCTGTTATATGAATAAGTTGTTTTCAGAGTTTATGAATGTTTCCAGTGGTCTTTTTCCATTTACATCACCAGACTGTCTCAGATACTCAGTTCTCTCTCCTTTCTCATACTGTGACTTGTGCTCTGAGTCGTGCATTAACCGCGCATTAATGTTTGATTAACCTAAATATGTGATAGGTTTGGATTAGTAAAGAACCAAATAAAATGCAGTCAAGCGTAGCTTTTCCATACCTTAATAATATTTTATTATTTCCACCATTCTGAAAGTGTAATTTGTGGCAAGACTGCTGTTTATTGAGAGAAATGTGAGGGAAAATACATTAAAATAATGTCTGTAAGCAGTTTTACAATTACACATTGAATGACTTGCAATAACCTTCTTTGCAGGTTCTCTTTCTCTTGGGACCAGACATAGTTATTAAGTCTTAGACATGTTTTAGGCATAAAATCACATTTTAGGAGTACAGAAATATGTTTATTAGCACACCCACAAAAGATGAGTGTGTCTTATGATTGATGTGTTGTCTGAAGTGTTGTCTGTCCCTGTGTGCACTGATACTGTTGAACACTCTGTATTGAGATCTCCCATGGCTTGACATCTCTCACACAGTCCTCCACATGCCTCTGTTTTTCCAAAACCTGCGTTGACCTGGTGAATTCCTCCCCTTGAGAGCTCCCCGAGTGTTTCCTTGGAGACTTGACTGAATCTCCTGGCTCACATCCTTGTGAAATCCTACGTTATTACTTTTTTAAGTTGTTTGATGCTACGGAAGTAGGAGGTTGTCTTGCTTTGTGTGTTTGACCGGGCTCCCTGTTCTGTTTTGAAGGTGTACAAGGGAGAAGAGACCACATTCCACATCTCAGGCCTTCAAGTCAACACAGACTATCGGTTTCGCGTCTGCGTCTGCCGCCGGTGCTTGGATACCTCACAGGAGCTCAGTGGACCTTTCAGCCCCTCCGTTGCCTTCGCGCTCCAGCGGAACGATATCGTGCTTGCGGGAGAAATGGGAAGCGTGGATGACCCCAAGCTGAAGAGCATGATTCCTACTGATGAACAGTTCGCAGCCCTCATCGTTCTCGGCTTCGCGAGTTTGTCGATTATATTCGCCTGTATATTACAATACTTCTTTATGAAGTAGAGAATTCAGTGGAAGTTTTGAGATACAAATTTAACTAATGCTACGCATTATAATCCACACATTTATTCAGATATTCCTTGTTTTGTTTTTTTTTTAAATCCTTTTGTTCTACCATACATTTTATATACTTCTCTTGTTTTTACAGTTCTAGCTTGAAGAAAGATAAATCAGTGTTTTGATGCACCTTTTTGAAATTCAAAACTAGGAAGTGGTCAAACTGGAGAAACAAGCAAACCAGATACCAAAAGCAAGATTTTTTCCTTTTTCCTTCACAATTTCAAAATTGTCACCAATTTGCCTTTTCAACGTTGTTTTGGGTTTTTTCACTGAAGTTCATACAGTCTCTTATTTTATCTTAACTATTTAGGAAATTTTAATCATGGGTCACTTTTTTTGTCTCTTCTTTTTCCTTCTAAACATTAGTCACAAGTGTGTATAGTGATGAGGCTAGAATACAGTGTTAGTCAAGTACCAGTTTTTCCTTGAACAGTATTAGCAATGTTGCCTAAGAATTATTCACTACATTTGCCCCAGTTTTTCAAGATAAAACCTAAGTTGTTGTTTTAACTGTTTAGTGGATTTAAATTGGAACGGTATCCTGCAGTCAAAAAACCTTTTTAGTTATCTGTTGTTTTTACAATTACAACACTATAAACTGCCTGTATAAGAAATCAAATAACCAAACTGCATATAAATTATGAAGCATTATAGATTCTTTTTTACCATTTTGATTCCTAGCAGTAATTTTAAGAGGGCATTGTGCAATAGTTAGTTATTCCCATGTTCAGCTATTTAAAAGCTGCTTTAACTTGTCTGTTTGTCACTGTATATAACTATTCCTAATCTAATACTAGATATTATTCTATTATGTTCAACCTGATTTATATGATTCAAGCTGGTGGCAGCTTACTGCCTCTACTGAATTAGGTGAGATTTACACTCAATGGAAGCAAACTTTACTGTCAGTTGATCTTTTATTATTATTATTATTTTTTGGAGGGGTATCCATTTTATGGAACTTTCTTGGAGGTATCAGAAATCACATCTGTTCATTTTAAATACCTTAAATGGGTGTCATTGCTGTTCTTACCACGGGGCTAATTGAAATAACTTGGTACCTGGCAAAACTGAGATGAGAGTCCTGCAGAGGAACGGTGCCTGCTCTGATGGCAGTGTCCCCCCTCCTGCCTGCCCCTTCCCAGACACGTTTTAATCCATCGAGACACTAGATTTTTAACTCTTGAGTCATGGGGTTATTTATATTAAGTCAACATTGTGCGAGTACCTCAGGGACATAAATGAGCTGGAGGTGCAAATAGATTCCAAAAGGGTGCAACAGACACAGTGTATTTCCCTGCCTTTTGTTTTTGTATATTTTTGCTACTTGGTTTTGCTCTTGTCCTAGCTTTTTTTGTGCTCTGTCTCCATCGTCTAAGATTCAGTGTCCTGTACTAGCATTATATTCCCTTAACCAAAGTAATGGGGAAAAAACAACATTATTTTTGTTTTTAGGTTTATTTATACTATATACTGCATACAGTACTTTAAATACCAATTACAGTGCAATCTTTTTATTTATTGTAAAAAAATAAAAAATAAAAAGTGTACTTATGTACTAATCCCCCTCCCCACCCACCCCATAGCATGTTACATTTTGTCTGTTTTATACTGTTGTACTTTAGGTCAACTTTTTACCTGGCAGCATTCCTAGTATTATTAATCTTCTTACATTTTCTTGTGTTTTTGAAGATGGGAGCATCTAGTACATTAAATGCCAAAAAAACCCATTATCAGTGATTCAAACGTTTACATGTATCCAAAAACGTAATCATCTCTGGAAAGAAAGTGCTAAGATCAATGAATTATTCTGTGTGCCTCTCTAGATGTAGCAAATATTAGAAATGTTCTGTATTTTGTTATTGACTATAATTAGTTTAATTTAGCCTTGCAAACTAATGGCATTGAGCTAAATATATATATTTTTTTGTTTTTTTGCCAAAGTCATGGCTTGTCAAATTTATTTACATCTTATTTAAATTTATTTGTGATATGAAACTTTGTGACCTTGCATCTGTATTTTGTGAGCAAAGCATATACAGCTGTTTTCAGTGGAGGGGAGAAGAGTGTATTTTTTAAAACAGTGAAAATTCCGCTAGTTTGGAAACCCAGAAATTTGAATAGATTCCCTTTTTTTTTTATTTTTGGAGTATTGTTTGAGCAGTGCTGCTATGAAATCCGAGCTGGACACCTTTTTAAGAAATAAAAAAAAAAACAAACAACTGCTTTAATAAAAATTAAGGATAAAACCCCACCTTGTTTTAGATGAGCAATTTTGAAAGGTTGAAATACAAATGATACTAAAAGCAGCGGGCAGAAGTGTCAGGAAGAGCAATCAGTTACACTCAAAGCATTTCTGTCATTGCTGATACGTTTGGTCCCTTCTAACCACACGAACCAGAAGACCCAGCCCAAGCCTGAGGTTATTGGAGGCCGTGCACTGGAGGAGCTGGGACAGGCCCTGGAAGAGTTAATTTGACATTCTTTTAGTCTGTATATTCTGCCATAGTGATTGTCATATGATTGTCATTCACATAATAATGACAAAGTAAAGGATCACAGATGTCAGACCCTCCCCATTGCTGATGCCTTGTCCCTTCTCAAACATCCTCATGCCCTTGATCCAGCAATAGCAGGTGTTGGATCCCACCCCAGGGCTCTCTGCTCTCATGGAAATCACCACCACCAACAAAGGTAGAATGAAACACTAAATATTTGAAACCCTTAAGGAAGGAAAGAGATGTTTTTGTATTGTTCTGCCTTTTTCTTTATGAACTTGAAGTGTTTTCTAATCCTGTTTGTTGGCTCCAGTAGCTCAGTATTCAGTGTCACGATTGAGAAGTGCCCTAACTGAATGTGTATGAACCTTATCCTTGCACAGTTCTTTAAATTGAAAAAAAAAAAATAAAATGTTTTTACCTCACTATGGGAACATACATTCCAAGCTTTTCAACTTTAAAAAAAAAATAATCATAAGTTTTCTTGTATTGTAAATTTTAGACTATTTCATATGCATTATATTAAAACTGCCATATCAATTTTAATGTATAGATTTTGCAAATACTACACTATGTATGTAAGACTTAACTGTATCTGTAGTGTATATGTAATATATTTATGCCCAATAAATGTTTTAATTCTTTCTGATATTACCAGGAGTTACTTTAATTGAACACAGACCTTTGGGTCTACGTGGATCCTTCTGGCAGGTCAGTGCTGTTGTGCAGCCTGGAGTAGGGGTGGGAGCCCCAAATTTACCTCAGAATGCTTCTGGTTTGTAATTGCAGTGATTTTGTGTTACTTGTGAAGCATAAGTTTATAGGAATAACCTTGAAGTCAGGTGTTCTAATAACTTCTTTTAAATACTTTGCATGAAAAATTAAGGATTATAAAAATATAGCTAGACTTTTTATCTCTTAGTAATTAAACACTTGAAATATCAGAGCTTTTAATTTATTAATTATGTACAACAAATTCAATTACTCATCATAACAAATTAATCTAGTATGTATACATGGTTCTTACCAAACTCATTAATGTTTATTTTTTAAATGCTTTTCTTCTTCAAATCACTGCATAAATATAAGATTTCATTTGTTTGCTTTTTTAATTACTGCAGTTCACAACATGAGAGGGGTTTTCCTGGGGAAATACAGTAATATTTTTCACTTGGTTGCTCAACCTTTTTGTTTAAACAGTGCTTGCCAAAACAATCTCTTTAAGAAAACCTTTGAAATATGTCTGTAGAATAGTAATCAGCCTTTTGGTATCTGAAGAGATCTTTTCTTTTTAGTGGTCCGTGGTTTATTGCCACGGGTGTCTGCAGAGGTGCTGGAGGGCAATGAGAGCCCAAGGGAGCAAAGGAGGATTTAGGCATTTGCTGTTTGAGCTCGGGATGTTCCCTTGTGTGTCACCACCCACAGGTTTGTGCAGAGGTGCTGGGTCCCTTTCCCATGCCCAGACTAGGCAGAGCTGGGTAAGTAGCACTAACTTCACAATGGATTTTGTTTTACAAGGAAGTACAGAGCAATTTGTAACCGGGCTTGGGTGATAACTGTGTTCACCAGCAGCTCTTGCCTGCTGTCAAGAAAAGTACCGGCTTCGAAAAGGTCTGAGAGAGAGCAGAGGTTTGTATTTTTGGATGTTTTTGTGGCCTTCCCAGCAGCCTTTGGGATGGTCCAGCAGTGGGATGTTGACCCTGGCGCAGTCCGAGCAGTGTCAGGTCTGCCCGCAGCAGCCCGTGGTCCCCGGGCCGGCGGCCGCCGTTTCTATGGCAGCAGCGATTCTCTGCCCTCGGTGATCGCAGGGCCTGCTCAGAAACGAGCGAGTAGAATTTGTTTTGTTCTTGACTTGAGTCGCTGTTGCAAGCTCAGAGCACGTTTGGTTTGGTGGAGCAGAGCTGAGCCCCGTTTAAAGGGGGGCTCTCCGTGAGAAACTGGTGTGTCAAAGCCATGTGCGGCACGAATGGGCCCCGCGCTCCCCAGGAGGGGGATCCAGCAAACAGGATCCGGAGGTGGCATCAGTCCGTGTTGTTCATCTCATGTGGAGCGTTACCTGCCAGGCTCGCCTGTGTCTTTGAGTTTTAGGAGATGCTCAAATCCAGCCTGCTATAAATAAACAGCACTTGCTGAAGGGAGGTGGATCTTAACTCCAGCCTTTGTGCCAGAGGACTGAGGCTCTTCTGCCTGTCCCTGCTGTCTTGAAGCGTGGCTGAGGTATTTAAAATACCCCTGAAAATTAAATACTTGGGCAATCCTAGCCCGTGGCAGGATGATCATTAAGGTCCCTTCCAATCCAAACTGTGCTATGATTCCATTCTATGAATTTATGGACTAGGAAGATGGGGTGATCCCCCCACCACCAGCAGGATGGTTCTGTTAGACCTGTCTGCACCCAAAGGTATTAGAGGCAAATTACAAAGAAATTAGCCTGGAAAAGTCTAAATTATATTTGCTCTAAAATTTTTTCTAGAATTGTCACAGAATTCATGATGTATTGTGATTTATTGTAGTGGTGTAGAATTATACTCTCTGTCCTAAACCTGGCTGAGAGTGAAGATGTAAATGTTGTATCTTATTCTGAGGATGAGAACAAGTAAGTAGAGAGGGGAATATGGATATTCTGTTTCAATGTTTTTATGGCTGAGCAGGAAAGTCAGCTGAGATCCCCTGAAAGGGCTATTTCATCAGTATTGCATTTAATAAATTCTGAACAATTACATCTGTTTCTGCTCTTGGCAATTGCTCTCACAATGCCCAGATTCTTGGCTGGGTGAAATAAAAAGAGGTTTCACAAGATGCTTTCAAACACAGTGGATTAGCCTGGGATCTGCTGTTATTTAAGTGAATGTGCTGTTATTAGTTTGAGTAGTTACATTTATTGTACTAATTGGTGACATAGATGGTCTTGCATGCAATCAAAACTATTTTTAGGTCTCCTGACATGGTTAATAAATAACTGCTTGGGTCACTGTGCTCAGTGGATGTCATTTCTTGGTAATTTTATTAGCTCATCTCTCTCACTTTCTGTCATATGAAAGCTATTGTTCTCCACAAATAAAATAGAGCAAACAGTAGGGATGCAGAAGTCTTATGAGGATTAATTTGTGAATAGGGTTGACAAATTCACCCTAATCCAGTGCAAATATTTTCTTTATTAATTTATAGCTCAAATGCCCTTTCTTCCCATAAAATGCTTGTGACCTGGGGGTGGTGTCCTCTGTTCAGAGCCTCTGCCTTACACACTGGTGTCCCCAGGATGCAGGTTGGTGCCTGCCCAGCCATCACTGCAGCACACTAGGGTTTGGGACACTGAGGAATTTGGGTCTTTGCACCCAGCTGGGCTGAATGTTCCCTGGGATGCTGCTGTATGGACTTTGTATGGTGTTGGATGTAGCTCTGGGTTAGTGATTGCTCTGGGTCACGGTGCTTAAGCTGCTGCTGCTCCTGTCTTTGCCTTCTTTCCAGTGTGGGGGTTCAGAGTTTCTTCCCTGCTTTAGGGCTCTGTCCCATGTCCTTGTTTAAAGTGGGGGGTGATTGACTTCATTGTTCTGAAGTCCAAAACATCACAGTGATACAAACCTCTAGTTACTCCCTAAATGAGCCCTGCCTGGGCAGTGATGGTGCAAGCCCCTTCCTCTGGCTCACAGCAGCCTGTCTTGCAGGATGAGAGATTTGATACAGATCTTACCACAGCCTGTGGCAAGGGCACTCCTCTCTCTGTGGCAGACTGCAGATTGCACTCTGGTGTGGGAAATCAGGCATGAGCTCCCAGCAAAGACTGAAAAAAAGCAGGTAAATATGAATCTCTCATGGTTTTTTGACACTGCAGCAAGAGTAGCCAGTCCAGGGTGACTTCCCTGTGAGGGTAGTGAGGCCCTGGCCCAGTTGGCACAGAGAAGTTGTGGATGCCCCATCCCTAGGAGTGTTCCAGGGCAGGTTGGACAGGGCTTGGACCAACCTGGTCTAGTGGAAGGTGTCCCTGCCCATGGCAGGGGATTGGAACTAGATGGTCCTTAAAGTCCCTTTCAACCCAAACCATTCCATGATTCTGTATTACCAGCATTAGACCAGAGGTGCTCAGGGCAGAGCCCAAGGCAGCTGCTCATCTCAGGGATGAGCCCCACACCAGCACTTCTCTCCTGGGACTGGGGTACAGCCAAGACACATGGAAACCATTGGGCTGGGTACCCACTTCCCTCTTCACAAACTAAGTAGTGCAGTGGGTTCAAAGCTACATGTTCCATCAAAACAGGCTCAGGCAGTTGCACCTTCCATGGCCCCACACTCGTGCACCCAGCACAGCACAGTGAATTTTAGAAGAAGCATTGTCACCATTTGATAAAAACACCCAAGTGCTATCTGCTGGGCAGGGTGCCTGCCCATGTGCGATTATGAATATTGCCTTAACTTTGGTGAGAATTGGTAGTCTGAGTTTTTGCTGCCTTTTTGTCATTCTGTTGTGTTAAAGCTATTTAAATCCCTGCACCCCAGTGCTCATCGTGCTGCAGCCTCGTTGCAGAACAGGCTTGTGGTGTTAGAGTCCCTGCCTGCCCACCCTAATGAGGGATGATTTGCAGCACCAGGTTATTAGTGGAAGGAGGCTGTGCAGGGAAGAACAATGTGGATAAAGACTTGGAAATAGCCATGCCTTTTCTCTCGTGGACAGCACCGCAATCATGAGAAAATCAATCAGAACACGAGAAAAAAGCAACGGTAGTAATGCTCTCTCTTTTGATCCAGCAGCATTCAAGTGGGGGCAAATGCTGGGAGAGCATGTCCTGAGCCCTCAGAGCAGCCCCTGAAGGTGAGAGTGGGGTGCTTTATTTCTGAGAGCAATTTTGCCTTATGGGCTCGTGCACGTCCTGCAAGCTTCCAGCTCTCCAAGTGCTGCTGGAGTTCTGCTGGGCAGTGTGTAACTCCAGCTACATGTGCCTGACAGCAAATAGTGTAAAACTGTAAAGTACTGCGTAGTCCCAGGACGTGCCAACTCCTGCAATGGCATCTGTGGATATACCTCCATCTGGATCACCTGGAGGATTTTTGAGGCAGCTCCTGTGTGTGCACAAGCCCAGGGCCTGGTGTCAGGATTCATGAGCAGATACAAATCCCACTGCAGGTGGAGGTGTTGCCTTGGCCACTGGTACATGTTCTCTGGTTGTTAGGGACCGCCGGGTTGCAAAGCAGGGCTCTGGAAGCAGAGCCAGTGTTTCCTGTGTTCAGCTCCCGCTGGTTGAGCTCTCCACAGGCTCCAGTGTCAGCCAGATGTTACTTATTTCCCAAATAGTGTTTAAAAATTTGTGAAATTTGGCTGGTATTGTTTATTAGGAGTTGTGAGAATGAAATCCACTTACTGGGCTCTCAGCTGCAGTGGGAGGAGGGCGGTTCAGGGTGTGGGGGAGAAACAACATGGACATCACTGGGAGATGAGTTAGATGGATTTCTTTTGTTCCAAATTTGAATTTTTTTTCTCAAGATGTAATTTACCTCTTCAAAGCCACAAGGTTTTGCAAAGGATACAAACTGTATGGAATCCCATCTGGAAACACTGACTGGGCTCAGAGCAGCAGCACCCCAAAACCAGCAGAATCCATAACAGAGAGGGGGTTCTCCTGGGTATTTAGGTATCTAACAATTGCTGCTTTAAATAGGGCTTATGCAAATGCCATTTGACACAAACTTACATAACTGCTGAATATCTATCATCTCAAATTTTGACATGTATGTGCTATTTTTCCAGTATATTTTATTTTTGGCAAAAATACAATAGGACATGATTTTCTGTCTGTGCCTGCCTCCATCAAAGGTACTTTTCTAAAATGAATGAAGATTTCTGGTAAAGTCCTTTTGACCTGTTTCATCATCAATTTAACACAAGAAATAAAATGCAGCCAAATTGTTCTCGTTTATTTGTGAAGCTGTGATACAAAATGTAGAGGTAGAAAAGCTTTTAAAACTGGAACTGTTTGATGAATGAAACTCCAGTTATTTTCTCTATGGGCTACTGGCATATAAGTCAGTAAGAACACAGCAAAATTTTGACTCTTAAAATCTCTATATGACTTTTGTTTTTTTTTCAGTCAAAACTGGCAAAGTTTGTTCCGACAAGGAAGAGTTTCCAGAAATGGAAAGTTGAAGATTCTGAAAGAACTCTTCCTGCAGAGCTACCCTGTCTGTCACATTGATGAACAGCCCTGTGCCTGCAAGAGCTCTTGTCTTCCCTGCATGAAAAATGGATCTCAAAAGCCATGTCCAGACCCTAAATAGGTTGGGGGCACACCTGTGCTCTTTCATGTAGGGAAGGCTTTGGGGAAAAGATACCAGGAACATCAGGTGCTGTGGAAATACCCTGGGAAGTAGAGGAGAAAAGCTTTGTCTCTGCTGGAAAGTGTTTGCCAGTCCATGCTGAGAACTGTGGTGGGTGAGAACAGATGAGACCAGTGCCAGCACTGCTTTGCCAGCACAGGTTGTTTGCCACTGCCTTCTCTGCCTGCAGCATCCCCTCTGCCCCTGTACAACCTGCCAGACACAAGGCAGGAGGAACCTTTACCTGTGTTACTACCTGAGACAGATTGATGATACCTATCTTGGCCTGATTTCGCTGTCCTTCAGTAAAAAATGCTCTTGAAATCTTGCTTGCACTTTTTTTTTTTCCAGTGAAGTTATTTCTTACAACTTGGGCAAGCCCAGGTTGGATGGGGCCCTGAGCAACCTGGTCTAGTGGGTGGCAACCTGCCCATGGCAGGGGGTTGGAACTAAAAGGTCTTTAAGGTCCCTTTTAACCCAAACTGTTCTGTGATTCTATGAATAACCCTCAAGACAAGCAATGCTGGATTCATCCATCAGTGCTGATGGGGATGTGTGTATCTTTCTGGAGGCATCAGGCAAGAGTTGATTTTATGTTGCAAAAGTGAAGGTTATCCAGATTTTGGGTTTTTTTCCTTGCTTCCCATATAAAAGCAGTTTATTTTGCACTGGTACCAGTTTGAAGCAGTGGTCCCTATTCACCACCCGCAGTCAGCATGTCTGTGTTACTCCACTGGCTTTAGCATGTCTATATAGAAAAGTTTTAGTACTGAGGGAAGCAAAACTAATGGCTGGTGTCTTGCCCATGACAGCTACAGGGTGTGTTAAATGTTTAAGTGTTCCCTGCTAGATATGAAATATTTTCCTGCTTGTGCAAGAGCCATATGAAAGTGGCTACTCTTCTTTAATAAAAATGTGTGTATTTTGCTAGCTTTGGCCAAATGTCCAATAACTTGCAGAAACAAATCTATTTCCTTGGTGAGAAGGAAGGAAGAAGTCCCATCCTCCCTCCCAAGAAGCAGCCCCTTTCTTTCTGACTTTTGTGACCCCAGGTTAAATGTTTAAATTTCATTCTATACACAAAGTTGTGGCAATTTCACAGTGTTTCAGTATATAGCTAAAATTTACAGTCTCTCCTGATGAAGTGTTCAGGCTAAATGAAGTAATTAGTGTGTTTGTAGTTTACGTGCAGAAATTAAATGTGTCTACATGGGGCTCCCATGGGTGAGGAGGGGATGTGGCAGTGCTGAGCCAACCCAAGAGAGACCAGCTCCTCCAGCCTTTGTGAATCATGCCAGATCCTTCACCAACACTGAGCCAGTAGGGTTATAAAGGGTCTTATCACTTTATTTCTTTTTCTGTTCACATTTAATACCACAGACACAGCTGAGACTCGAAACACTGATGTGATACCGGGTGCATGTGATGGGTTCGTTTACACAGACGGGTCATTAGTGAGCTCACATCTTCACAATCCTTTTGAGATTCCCCAGTGTCTTGTTTCCCTGAGTTGCATGACATCTGCCATCAGATCTGCTTGTCAGTCAACGAGTGAGAGAACAAAATGGGCTGTGAGGTGGATGTGGTTAGAGGTGAAGTGGGAGATGATCCCATAGCTCTGCAGTACCTTAATGTGTAGTGTGTGTACATCAAACCTGCGCTCCTGCAAGCGTGGAGTGGGGAGGGCACAGGCTCAGGTCCCACCAAGGAGCAGCAACCAGCCCCTGACCCCAGCAAAGCGCCAGGTGCTAGGAAGGATTTGGTATGTAGAGAAGAGGCCAAATTCTCTTGTGAGTTTTACCTGAGCAGCACCGCCAGCTAGAGGTGTAACAGGTGTAAAGTGGCCCAGTGTGAACGAGGGTTTGAAGGCAGGAAAGCTTCTGCTAACAGCAAATTCATTAAGGAGAACTTAAATTCATTATGGAGAATGAATACTAGAACCAAGTGAACAGAAAGCTGCTACCACACATGCATGCTCTGAAGCTCTATGAGCTGGAGCACAAAATCCACGTGTTGGTGAGACAATATAAGACATATTTATTAGCACAGCGGATGGAACATTTTCTGGTGTGCCTTGAAATGGCATACTTAAATCTAATTTAAGATTTTTATGAATCAAGTATGAGAATGTGTCTGCCTGTGTCTTTTAATGCAGATTTTTCTATTATTTTCTCAGGTCACGTTGGTTAAAAAATGTAAAATGTTCTCAATTCAATACTGCAGCAAGCGAGTACAATTGCACACTGGGCTTTACGGGGGGATGTGGGACTGGGAACTGGCTAATAGTCTTCAAACAGAAATGTGGAGGGGGTTTACAAGCAGGAGACCTGTCCTCAGCAAACCTTGGGGTATGGACGGGCACAGTTAGGGGCAGGTAGCCACAAACTTGTTACAAATACCAAATAAATACAACTAAAAGCTTCCAAGTTCAACCACATTGTGTCACTCACAGTCACACTGAACAAAACAAGTACAGATGATTTAGCTAGTATAAAAAAAAAGAGACTTTGGTGGGAGATTGTATTCCACATTTTTATAGCATCACCGCAGTCCTGAAGTCAGCCCTGTCCTTGTCCCACTGATATATATTTTAAAAAAATATTTCAGTACAGTCATGTTGTAAGCCACTTCTGTGAAGGCATTTTTTGTTTCCTTTCTACTTGGATGTGACATGAAGGTCATTTATTTTTAGCATGTGTAAAAATTACCCATTTTACCTCTCTTTTTTTTTTTTTGTTTTTAAGAAATCATTTCCTCCTTCTGAGAAAAACGTGAGCTTATTTAAAAATCAAGATTATGAAAAGTGTATCAAATTTCACGTTTACTACTCCAAAAAGGCAATTCAGTTTTCTCTCTCTAGGGTCTGGTTATATGGTAGCAAAATTCTTAGCAAAACTAAAGCTAACTCTGGAAACATTCAGCTCGAATTAGCTGCTACTGAAGTTGTACAAGTGGGCCACATTTGCTTGGTCAGGAGGGCACAAGCCTAGATCTGGGCTAAAGTCAGCATTAAAAATTCATATGGGCAAAAGCAGCAGACAAATTATACTTGAGTGTTTCCAAATTCTGTGACCATTTGTCTCCTTTTATAGTCTCAAAGTTTAGCTTGTTGTTTTCTTGAATCTTTAACTGCCTGCATTACATCTTTCAGCAGATCCGGACAATGACAAAAGTACGGCTTTAACATTCCGATTCCTGTTTCTTGCCCTCTTTCCCTTCTGTTATGGCTTTCTGGGAAATGCAGTGAGTGATGCACCAGCCCTGGAAACCATGTGTCATGTGATGACACTCGACTCTGTCCACACACGGGAACTTTCCTGCTTTGTGCTGGAGAGTCTTTTCCTTGGGAGGGGTTTGAGTCCGAACAGGCGGCAGGCGGCCACGCGGTACTTTTTGGACATGATGTTGTAGAGGATGGGGTTGATGGCTGCACTAAGGTAGAAGAGGACAAAGGACACCAGGTTGCAGTACTGGCTGATCACTGCTATCTCCCAGGATCCAGCTTCAAAGGATTTGGAAAATAAATATCGTCCTACGTGAAAAGGCAACCAGCAGAGTATGAAAGCAAATACCACCACAACTAAAATAAAAACAGCAGAAGAAATTGTGTTAAGTGTGAGTATTAATAAACAGGTCATTAACATTCTCTTTTACAGTTCTATTCCTTTAGCAAATTAGTCACAAAGTGTGAAAATACATCCCCTAAGCTTTTAGTTGTGTGTCTCTCAATACATTCTCTGGGAGTATAAATTAGTGATACTTAATACACATTGATCATATCTAAACAGGCTGCCTGAATATTGCCCAGCTCATCTGATGTAACAAACTTCTGACCTGTAATACTTATATTTGCATCAACAGAGAATTAAAGAATCCGAATGGTGACAACAAAAAGCTTAACAGTCTATCATCCACAGTGTTTAACAAAAGCAAATGATATGTGATAGACTCAACACTGGGGTTTATAATGAAGAATGTAATCACTGGGAAGCAAAATTATTTAAGGCAAAGCAAAATTGTTTAAGGCAAAGGCCTCAAAATAAAACAACCCACCAGAATGTGGACTTGTAGAGCATGTGTGCTAAGGTAGGAACAAGAGAGTGGTGTACCCTTCCAGTTTGTTCATTTTTTAGAACATGAGTTACTCCTGAGAAGAGTAAAACTAAATATATAGTATATAACTGCATAATTATAGTTATGCAGTGTATCTGTAATATAACACTACCACTGTGGTTGCATTTACATGTAAATATCATGTCTGTAGAGTGATAGGAATGTGTTTGTCTCTGAAGAATGGCCCATTTGAATTTTCATCCAAGAGAAAGGGAAACTTTTTCTGTTCATTTCCTGTGTGCCTTTGACCTTTATTATTTTTCATATTTCTTTGAGTGTATCTATTAATATACTAAAGAGATAAAAACCAGAAAACTCGGGCAAGGGTTTTTGACATTCTTAAGCAGTTTTTACAGTTAACCTGTTCATAGAGTTCACAGAATGATTTGGGTTGGAAGAGACCTTAAAGATCATCTCATTCCAAACCCTTGCCATGGGCAGGGACACCTTCCACTAGACCAGGTTGCTCCAAGCCCTGTCCAACATGTTCTCATGTTTCCCTAGCTCACTTGAGGACTTCAATCCATGTAATGAATGTTACTGTGGTGGTCACTACGAAGAGTGTTTTAAGCACAGTCTATTACGAGTAGAATTTTAAGCACATGTTGTAGGCTTGCCATATGCCTAGTCAGGCTTTCACAGTTTGATCTTCATTCATGCAGAAAGAATCCCATGGATTTCAATAGGAATGGGATATGATAGCTCCTTTGCAAGCTGGGCTATACATTTAGGTGTTTAATTGCAGACCCACAAGCATAACCTTTCTCTACAGTTTAAAAGTGTTTATGCTAATCCCATTTACTTGATGTTCCATGACTTGCTAAAGGCTTAGAAAGTGCCTTCTAAATTTTAAGCAGAACATTAACACCAGTGAGATCAGACTGCAATGAGCATCTGCTGCTACTGAGCCCTCACTAACTTCTTTCCATCTTTCCATCAGGTATCAGACTGTTATCATTTAGGGAATATTGGCTCTCTGTCAGAGGACAGTCTTGCCACTGCTTGCTGTTCTCAGACCTTGTAAAAGGAAAAAAGGTGACTGAAATATTGCAATGCTTGTGGCAATACTTCAGGGTAGGAATAAACAGTTGTAATTATTTCAAGATCTTTATGGTTAAGTATATGGAAATATAAACACAGTAGTAGTAAGTGTAATTTACTTATAGTAAGTGGAGATTCATAATCCTGAACCTCAGGAGTGTAAATGATTAATTACTTCCAAGGTCACGCTTAGCAGACTGAAGTAATTCTATTGATCATAAAATGTAGTTGAAAGGGCACAAAGAATGCTGTGGGTTCTATTATTCTTCCTGCTATCGCATAGTAATAAATTAGGATGTGAACAAAAAATCAGTTAGGCTCCCGTTTGATAATTAAAGTCCTTAGGACTCACTGTCACTTCTTGTCTGGCTCATTAGCCCACCACTTCAGCCCCACTGAAACCAGCACAGCAGAGCTGCTGCCCACGAAACCTTCTTCCTGCAGAGCATCTCATCCCTCCTGAAATCCACGGGATGACTTGCACTGCGGAGGACTTTTGGCTTGAATAAAAGTACGCAGCAGCAGCAGGATTCTGCAGTTTTCAGAACAACTTTTTTGGTTCTGTTCATCAAACTCCCACCACATGCACTGACTTAGTATGTTAAAATTTGTGTTTCCATGTGCCAGCCAGAACTGTTGTTTAAAGCATTCAGCAATGTCAATATACAGAGTTAGGCATAACAGTGTCTGTTGTCTTGATCCTTTTTTTACAACTGTTTTTTTACAGTCAGTGAGATTTTACAACACCAGAGACCTCAAAGGAGACACAAGGCTCCGGGTTCAGCACATCCTGGTGTTTTGCTAATGTAAAAATTCAGATTAATTTTCTTAAGCTTATACAGCCATGGTAGGAAATAATCCCAATTTGCTAAAACCTTGATACTCTTTTCATATAAATCTTCAAGTGCACATCATGCCCTGCCTACTTAGTCTGCAGCTCGACTTCATGGTTTCAGAAGGGTTTAGTTCTGTTTAAAAATCAAATAAACTGTTCTTCTGTAAATAACATCGGTATCCACAACCAAAGAGCAAAAATTCTCAAAAATCTCCAGGGCACAAGCTAATTATAACTGTAGTATTTGTCCTTGTCAGGGATTGTTATTAATGTTTGTTTAACTGTTTGGGAGTCCCCAGCTCAAATCAGTTAGAAATAAATCTAAAGGAGGAGGAGAGTTACTCTACGGATTCCTGGAGTTCTATCCCTTTGCATGAAACATTTTTCATAAATGCTTTCCTTTGGAAACAACTCTAGTAAACTACCAGAGAGCTCTCAATCTTTCTCTCTTTCACACACACACCAGCACACACACCCTTTGGAAAAACAGAGCAAGAAGACTCGTACCTAACATTTTCACAGTTTGCTTGTTGTTCTTGTCCCTGATGACGGTGTTTAGACCGATGTTCTTTCTCTTCCTCTTCCAGAGCTTCCTCCCGATGAGGCTGTACAGCACAGTCAGGCAGAACACGGGCAGGAAAAAGAAGATGCTGGAGATCCAGACCATGATGGTGAGGAGCCCCGAGCGGATGGCATACTCGGTGGCTCGACACTCATTGGTACTCAGGGGGTTTGTGCCGTTCTCGTGCTCGACCCCCACCAGGATGAAGATGGGTCCGGCGCTGATGAAGGAGACAGCCCAGAGGAAGAGGATGACCAGCTTGACCTTCCCCTTGGTGATGATGACTTTAGCTCGGAGGGGGAAGCAGATGGCGACGTACCGCTCCACGCTGAGTGCCGTGATGTTGAGGATGGTGGAGTAGGTGCAGCTCTCGCTGATGAACTGGAAGAGCTTGCAGAGGAGGTCCCCAAAGTTCCAGGGCCGGTACTGCCAGAGGCGGAAGAGGTCCAGGGGCATGCAGAGGAAGATGAGCAGGTCGGAGAAGGCCATGCTGGACAGGTAGAAGTTGGTGGTGGTCCTCATGTCCCGGAACCGCGACACCACCAGCATGGTCATGAGGTTGCCGACGATCCCGATGACGAAGAGCAGGACGCAGGCGACGGTGATGCCGGTGAGCACGGGCACGGGGAACAGGTGCTGCGGGGCCTCGGCGCCCGTCCGGTTCTCCGCGCCGCGGCCGCCCGCGCTGCCCTCCGGCATCCTGCCGCCGAGGGATGCGCATCCCCGCCCGGCGCGGCGCGGCCCGGCCCCGCGCGGTCCCCGCGCCGCTGCGCGCCCGAGCAGGTGCGGGGCCGGGGGCGGGGAGCGACGGGCGGCCCCGCTCCGCCTCTCCCCGGCACTGTCGCTCCCCCCGGCCCGGGGCGGGCGGGCGCTCGCCGCGCGTCACACGAGACGTGGGGCGGCCCCGCGACCCCCGGGCGGCCGCTCCACCCGCGCCGGCACCGGCATTTAAACTTTCTTCCCGAGCCCTCGACGCGGGAGGACTCACCCACCCCGGCGGGTCCGGCGCTCCCGGTCCGCCCCGGCGCCTGCCCCGCCCGGACAGGTGCGGGTCCCGCCTGGTCCCGCCTGTCGGTGCTCTCGGAGAGGCGGGACCGTCCCTTGTCCGCCGTTCTCAGGGCTCTGTCCCCGCGCACATCCCCCCGCACCGCTCAGCAGCGCATTTCCTCAGCCGCGCATCCCCCCCGCCGCGCATCCCCTCACCCCACATCCCACCGGGACCGCGGCGATGGGTTCGATCGCTGCCTCCTTGCTCTGTATCTTTGCTCTGCCCTTGGGTCTTGGCAGGAGCCCGGCGAGGCTCTAGTTCAGTGAAGCTGCAGTAGTCACCCGTTTCCATATGATTTACCTGCAATTAAATTTCGATTCAGCGTGTGGCTGCTGCCCTTTGCAGACGCAGACATCAGAACCGTGTGTTTCCCCAGGTGCAGACTCAAAGGACGATGTTGTACCCAAAAGGAAGTAAAATGGAAGCAGCACAAGGTGAGATCAGGGGCACTAAAGTGACCCCCTGTACATCTGTATAGGGTTTATGTCTCCCTCTTTTCAACCTATCCCCACAAATTGTCAGGGAGTGTGCACTGTGGCACAATCAGTTTTCACTTCTGTCTATCCACAGGGGCTGCATCCCTCACACCCCATCTCTGAGGTGGCAACCAGTGCTCTGAATCCTTGTTGGTATCTAGATTGACCACAGAATCACAGAATGGTTTGGGTTGGAAGAGACCTTAAAGCTCATCTCGTTCCAACCCTCTGCCATGGGCAGGGACACCTTCCACTAGACCAGGTTGCTGCAAGCCCTGAGAGCTTTATGCCGTTTTTCCAGGTGCACTCACACACATGTGTACACCTCCTCTAGCATTCCTAGCTGCAGAGCTTTATTTAAGGGTAGACAGATCTCAAGCATGGTGTGACAACACCGAGTTACTCTGCCTGTGCCTCTGAATGTGCCTGTTCTCTGTAATTTGCTTTCTGTAATCGTGCAAGCATTAGCCTTAGTGCCTTGTCCATAGCCTAATTTGGATGATATATTTTTGCAGTTTCACTGGAATCAGTATTCATCGTTACTGCTCTTAAACTGTGAGACAGTTTTGCAGCAAGTTACTCAACAGTTGCTAAATTTTATGAGGAATGGCTACAGATTAATTGCAGTTGAAACGGAGAAAGAGCCTAATGTACTTCTCACTTTGTCTATCCAGCTGCCTATATAGCTGTGTTATATGTTTCTGAAAAAAAAGTCATGGGCTTTATGTCACCAACATACAGTTAGTTCATATTAGAATTGTGTCCCCAATCTAATTTACATGACATTGCTTTATATTATGGAGATAATAAGTGTCTCTGTAGTTAGGATGCCAAATACTTTGCAATGTTATAAATAATGATTTCTCTTTTTTTTTTTTTTTTATTATTTCTTTTCCCTGACCAGTGGTTTCAGCTGCAGGATGTTGATATTTGCCAGAGAAAATGGCCTGATGCTATAAATGTGACTTTTCTATATAGAGACCATCCTTCATTCTCATGAAATGCTTCCAGTTTTTGCTGAGCTGTATCTTGTCAAAAATGATCCGTTCCTTTTTTTTTTTTTGGGAAAATCATTTATTCCTTATTAAAATGATACTTGAACTATGATGTATATGTCAAAATCAAGTTCAAAAGTGAGGTAGCACCAGGTTTTTGCACTCCAGACAACTTGAGCTTGTAATGCAATGATTTAACACTTAATTCCTGGTGTGTTGAGTGATGAGCCACTTGGATCAGACCTGGTAGTTGTGTTTTGAATCCAGCAACATCGATTTCCTTCTTTTAAGGGTATCATGAGTCAAGGGCTTCTCTGGTTGCTTGTCCTGCATGGGGACAGGACCAGAAAAAAATGTCATCTGAGAGAGAAGAAAAGCAGCTTTAGTTTTCTGATTCTTTCTGATTTCTTTGGCAATTGCAGGCCAAATTTGATGAAATATAAAGAAGTCATCCCATGAACTTTGCATGATAATGGATTACTGCCTCTGCTTTGCATATGCTAAAGGACAGTGGTGCAGATAGTGGTGATAGAAGAGGTAAGAGCTGTGAGAGAAGATGGCTTTAGGCTCCCAAAAATTGTCTGCTAGCCCTCAGCTGTAGGAACATTAGTTTTACATTGCCAGCAAGATAAGAGTGAAGTCACTGGTCTTATTGGAATGAGAGAAATGGAGAGACAGAAGCAGAAGTTAAGTACTTTTTTATTCAGTTTTATTCACTAGTTGGATGCATGAACAAGCCAGATATTAAAAAATAATTCAAAAAACCGTATTATACTGGACATCTACCTTTCATGGAACCTTAAAATATTGGTGTTTCTCTTCAGTAGCTTCAAAGCTGTATTGAGTACTGGAGATGAGGTAGAAGGGAGTTTCTATTTATGGAGTTTTGAGGTCTCTCTCCTATGTTCCATTCTTTCCATTATCTCCCCATCCAATAAAAGTTCTAATTCTTGTTTATATCACTGTTTGTTGTCATGGAAATGTCCAAAAGCTTTGAATATAGAATGATTATGTGTTTATTGTGGAGAGAAGAAGAAACTGGAAAACAGACTCCGAGGTAGAGATTCATTTTAAAATGATGCACCTTCAACAACTCCAGAGAGGAGCAAATGCAGGTTTTTTTATTATATCCAGGGACAAAGGGTGTTTTGCCTGCTATTATAAATGTGTTTTAGAACAGAAGGTAGCACCTGGTGTATGCTTTCAAAGGTTACGGTTTAGCAACCATCATCCGTGAGGAGCACTGATGAAATAGTGGTAATCCAGCTTAATAATGTAAACCCCAGAATGGGTTCAAATTACTTTACAGTTGTTTATATGGCAGTATATATCTGCAAGCAGACTTCAAAACAGTGCTGGTTTATTATCAGCAAAGCTGTGCTCTGAGGTCACTAATTCAGAGGCAGCTGTTTTAGTCTCAGCTTTTTGCTGTGCTTCAGCTCACTGTGTCACCACGTGACACCCTGGGCATTCCTGTCCCTCTTTATTAGACTCATTCACCAACTGGAGAAAGAACAGGGTCCCTTGGTATGGTGGTTCCAACTCCCTTGCCATAGGCAGGGACACTTTCCACTAGCCCAGGTTGCTCCAAGCCCTGTCCAACCTGGCCTTGGACACTTCCAGGGATGGGGCAGCCACAGCTTCTCTGGGCAACATGTGCCAGGGCCTCCCCACCCTCACAGGGGAGAATTGCTTCCCAGTCTCTAACGTAACCCTGCCCTCTGTCAGTGTGAAGCCATTCCCCCCTGTCCTGTCACTACAAGCCTTTGTCCAAAGTCCCCCTTCAGATTTCTTGTAGCCCACCATAGGGCCTGGAATATGCTTTCAGGTCTCCCTGAGCCTTCCCTTCTCCAGGCTGAACAAATATCTTCTACTGTAGTTTGGTATGGGTAAAGATCAGGTATTTCCCTACTAAATAAGAATTCCCAGTGCTTAAATAATTGCTAAAGCCCAGAAATATGAGAAGAACCTAAAGGGAAGTGCTCAAAATTTTGTATGCTCTGGTCACAAGATCATTTTCAGGGATTTCTTCAGCACACTGCTTCCAGATGTTGTTCACTAACTGAGGTCTGGAAGCCAGTTAGATGGGATTACACAACATGGCATTGCTCAATGGTTTGCAATTTTGTCCTTTGCATTGCAAGCGTTTGTGGCATTTAATGGACTATATATGATACCAATCAATGTCAGGGAAATTATTTATGACAGGGTTGTTGTGGAAGCCATAGGAGAACAAACACCAACAATCACCACAACACTAAATAACTATTTAGTAAAAACATTTTATATAAAAAGTATATAGAAAAATTTACAATATTCACACATTAATGGAACCCACATCCACAAATAAAAATTTGCTACATTTGATATTCAACATAAAATGAGATGAAAGGTATGACTCAGGATACGATAGAAACAGAACTTACTATGTTTTTCCCATCTTCTTCAAGCGTGTCCTGTCTTATGTTCCTTGATAACGACCCATCGAGATAATATCTGTCAAGCATGCTTTTGGATTATTCAGAAATGATTACCTGTATTTCCTGTTGTGTTATGCTCTGCATGCAGAGACCACGAATATGTACATTTAGGTAACAAACAAAGGTAAAGCCAGGGAGCATTCCCCCAGTGACAATGGGCATAGTGTTAATTGAGAGTTAAGGACAGTACATAGAGCAAGAAAATCTGTTTGTAATAGTTTGTCTTAGCATGAGCTGTAGGTTTGTGGAGTCCCCCATGGATTCCTTCCAGTCCCTTTTAGCAGCCACGACTCCACATTACACAAATTGGTTCTTAGCCATGGGTAGGGTTTCTGACTCTAAGCTGCCACCAGCACTTTTTCACAGTGCAAATAAATTTTCATTCAAATAAGTTGCTAAAAAAATATTTAAAAAAAAAAATTAAAAATTATTAATATAGTAAATTTCTAAAAAAACCACCTCAAACCTGACAACGTGGGCCAGTCCGGTGCTGAGATTGGAAGGCTCTGTCCACTTGCAAGGACAACCTACAGAAGTCATTTCTCCAAGACAGCAGACATACAGCTACGCAGGGAATGGCTCTGTTCTCCCAGCCTTTTCTGGTAGGCAGAAAATTCCTGAATTAAATACTGAAATCAGAAAGAAAACTGCAAAAAATATTCTCTGTTCTCTGTCGAAACAGATGATTTCAGAAGGAGGCAAACCAAAGTGTTTCAGTAAATGGTGAAGAATTTCACATATTTGATTACCACTGAAAACAGTGTGTGAGACACTGTTAAACCAGCAGGCAAAAGTTACAACTCTTTATTTCAGGCTTACAGCTGAGTGTTTCTTTGCCCTAATCTGTCTAAAGGAGGGTATTCCTGAAATTCTCTCTCTTGCTGCTCCAACACAGGTATTTAAGTCAACCCACATACCTTCTTTTCTGAATGGCAAAATAAATGCAGGGGCTCGTGTCTATTAATTTCCTCTTGTTGACTGAGTAGTAAGATGAACGAGCATCTTTACTCGTGAGGCCCATGTGCAGGGGCTGCTCGGGGATTTGATTACCAGAACGTGCAGGTGAATGTGAGGGTTCCCACGGCAACCTTGGTGCATTCAAAATAGACAACCAGAGTGTCTACTGGCATCATTCTGTTGATGTAAAGTAGCATTTGCAGAACTGTCTTCCTTTTCCTCCAATTTTATTTGTTTTCACTTGTACCTTCTCTTCCCCCCTTTTTTCTCTCAATCTGGGCAAAATGTGTTCATGGTGCAAATCGCTGTCGCTCCAGTGACAATGCTGCAGATATGCTGATTACACTAGTTATGCTGTGAATCCAGCCCATAGAACTTGAACTTTCAAATCTTCTTAATATAAAATAGTTCTTCTTGAAGAGTTAAAAAATATAGTGGCCATTTTTAAAAAAACTATTTAACAAAACTATGAAAAAATTTCACCCGTTCCTAAAAAAAAAATCAAATCAAAACATAACAGCATTACCTAAAAAAGCAGCATTTGTTTAAGTATGGATAGTTGTGCCTGTTTTCCTAAAAATGTTAGTCATTGGGGTGTGTTATTCTGCATTACATCCTACCAAATAAGACTAGTACAAATAAACACGGAAGAACCACGTCATCCTTAATTTGTGGCAAATTTCTCATAGAATTCAGTATTTACAAAAAACCCACTTTTTTTTCTGGATCAAGTACTTGCTGTTAAGAAGTGTAACAGCGACTATATTACTGAACTTACTGGAAGCCTGGTGAAATGTTTGCAGCACAGTAATTAAGTAAATAGGCACTGTTATAATACATTGATCAAAACACAGATTGATTTCAAAAGCTCTTCTCTGCCATTCCAGCAGCTGTTTTTATGTACAATATCGCAAATAAGACAAGACTAATGTGTTTACTCAAGAAACGATCCTAAAAAAACCACTTAAGCAAATACTTAATTTCAAGCATGTGGATACCCTTAGTCAGGCTGTTCATGTGCTTAAAATTAATTAGGAGCTCGAGTGTTTCGTAAGATGAGATGAAGATGTGCAGCTTGATTTTCTGATCGTCTTTTAACTTCTGTAAAACTCGTGTTCAAACAAAAACTTGCAGAGAAATTCCGTGGGCACTTGGGAAGCAGTATGTACAAAGGCTCCTTACAGGAGCTGAGATATTCAAGACAGGGTCCCAATGGAGACCACAAGTAAAATCTGATATCCTGTCTCACCCTTGAGTAAGCGGACCCGGAACATCCGCCACCCCACCTGCCGCAGCTGAGCTGGTGTGGAGCATCTCTGCTGGTGGTGGGTGCTTACCTGCCTGGGGTTGTGGCCAAAGGTATCATCTGTGGGGTGTGAAACCCTCTCACATCCCCAGCCTGGTGGGGTAGTGGTGCCTGTGCCTGCACAAATCAGTGCCACCCACAGCCAGCTGCTGCTGCTCTTCCCGGCTGGTGGGGGAGAACTCGGCACGCTCGGACCTCGCGATGAGTGAGCTGAGAAAGGGGAGTCTGCTACTGCTGGTATTGATACAGTTTTTGCTTATTATCCCCTATTTTACAGGAATTTTAAGCTGGTCCTGAATAGGGAATTTGGGTCCTTTGGAAGCATGATTTTCGTCTTTTAGCCGATCATGAAGGCTCCAAAAAAACTTGCTTCTTTCTCCATGTCAACTAAGTCGCTGTTACTGACAGAGACAAAAATCCTGTCCTGTCTTTTCAGCTCAAACACACCACCTTGGTAGGTGGAATAAAGTCCATATTCCGCCTTCTTAGACCAGCAGCTTGTTCTTGCACTTTTCATGAGCAAAATGGGCTCAGGGTAATTTGTCAGTCTGTAAATGTATTGGACAAGCTGTTTGGGGTTCCTGATTTGTCCCAACGAATCTGAATCCTCGTTCTCATCTTCACGGAAGCGAAAGTAAATTTGTGAGTAGATGTAATAAAAGCCCGTCTGGGGTATCACTAACTCGCCATTTCTCAGCTCCACATTGTAAAGGAAAGAGTGGGTCTTCCTCGACGATTCCCAGTTTATTTTATGTCCGAACCCTTTTCTGGGCAAGAAATCTACTTGGGGAAAAAGATAAAAGAGAGAAATGTTAACTTAAAAACTAGATAGAGAAGTCAGGTGTCTGCTGGTTGAGGATAATAACAAAGTAAGGAAACCTGCTCTTCACGGTGGTTCATTACATCCATTCTCACAACAAACTGACAGTCCACAAGTGAGCTCTGAGATTTATGTAAGAATTAACATGAACTGCCTTTTCTTTTTTTTTTAATTTTTGTGCCCCCAAATAAGAGAAAAACTGATGTTGTTACTTAGAAACAAAGTTAAAACAGCCATTAGTGTCTGATACCCTCTGAAGCTGCAGAAACCCTACCAAGTCCTTCATTAACATGTCCTGAATGTCATCTCTCCTATCTGTGTTGCATTTCTAATAGGTCTGTCACCATAGCAGCTGAGACTCCAACAGAAGGAAGTGGAAAGAAAGAGAAAAACTTAATATTAGAAAGAAGGACACTTAATTTTTTTCCCCTAATGAAGGTTCCAAAAGAAAAATTAGGGAGGCACCCAGAGGAAATGGGCTTTATCACTGTTGGTTGAGAATCAGCAGAAAAAAACAATGTCTGGGACAAGATGACTTTTTCATGATTTGTTTCCTACACTTAACTCAATACAAGCATTAAAAAGTGTAGGTAAGCATGAGACCAGCACTGGGAGAGTAATTTCTGTGCTCTTTAAGGTGTTTTAGAGGTTTTTCCTTACAGCGTGTGAACAGGGAACTCCTCCTGTTGTTGCTGCCCGTCAGATGAGCCGCGGCCCCGTGGATGGGACCACGTGGCTGCTGCCTGTCGGTGTGTGACAGTGCCAGAGTTCTTTCAGCTAAGGGAAGACAAGAAAAGAAACCCCACATCAAAAGCAAGAACATTAGAAGCACATCTGTCCCATCTGACCTGATTTTAAGGAATAGGTATGTCATTTTTTTAACTAATTAAATCATAGGCTGAATGCTATATATTGGCTAATAAGGCTCAAATTTCTCTTTTGCTCTTGCTCTCCTTGAAATGTCTTTATATGCCTCTTTGTTCTTCTTTTTCTCCTTCTCCCACCTTCAAGTTATCGAGACAAAATAACACATAGTACTGTATTTTATGGTTAATTATTCCTACCTTTCACTTGAACTTCCACTTGTATGTTGTAATGCTTTTGCCCAGCATCTTTAGAGCTGTATGAGATTCACCAGAGCTATTCCTTAACTGATCTCTGCATCCAGCAGCTCTGTGCTGCTTGTTCCAGGAGCTGGGATACTGGGAAGACTATTTAAATGTCCCCACAACTCCACGGGACTGAGGCCTAGAGGCTGAGTCCTTTGTATCCACCTTGGTTACCTTGCTCTAACCACTTGACCATATTTTTGGCTCCTGAAAATTTACCTTCTAGTAATAAGGAATCATTTTTTGGTGACTTGATGCCAGCACAAGATTTTAGTCAGTTTCTGAACTTAAAAATATTTTGAGTTGCTACGCATCAGGTACCACTAGCAGCTTCTTTTTGTCACAGATAATAAAATTATTATACCGTTGATTGCAGATATGTTTTCCTCGTAGCTTTTCGACATAATCTGCCAAAACACACACAAAAAAGAAATTAGTTTATCAGCTGAAGATGACAGGTGCAGGATAAAGACACTCCTCTTATAAGCTCATGAATAAAGTGTATTCTTGATTTGATTGACAAGGAAACTAAGCAAAGCCTATTAATTTCTTGTAATAAAGTATTTCTACATTTACATCTTTTATATCATGAGATAAAAGGGAAAACATTTACAAGAGAGCTCAGGCATAAGTCCATTGGAAAATTTGACCTCACTTCTCTCAAATAAGAAATACTGTACGAGCACCAACTTCCATTTGCAGAACACTTGGCAGCGTGCACTTTTGTGGGGTCTTAGCTCTGAGAAATTAAATTCATTCTTAAAGCTGTACCCACCTATCTAAGCTGTTAGGCAGCATATCTTACTTTGTGCATTCCCCTCCATTATAACTGTTTGCTGACTGCTGAAACAAACCAGTTTGGTTACAAATGGTGGTGGAGCTGCAGCAAATGTGGTGATGGTTGGAGATGATTTACCTGGGTGACTAACACAGGCCCTGTATTGCCACTTACTGATGGGTTCTGCGTTACCTGATTTTGTTTATCTAACTATCCTATTATTATTACTATTATCATAATTATAATCCTAGTAATTTATTATCTCTGGCACCCAGGCTACCTTTTTTTTAAGCAATCAGGGAGCTAGTAGGTATAATAGATGTGTAAATGTCCACCAAATAAAACATTTTCTCTATGAAGAAGTTTAGGGACTTCACTGGCAGAACTTCCACCAAAGGAGCCAAGAGCTCTGAACACAAATAGAGGATCTGTTTTGGGCTGCAAGATTTGCCAGGTAAGTTTCAGCCAGAAGTGAAATTTTATGGATGAGCTTTATGTGCTGGAGATGGGATTTTAAAAACCATTCCAGAAGATTTTAGACTTTCTGATTTTTACAGCCAGAATGATTTTCTTCTCTGTAGCCAAAAATTCTATGTGTTGTGTGCAAGTCACGCAGGAGATGCTCTCTGAATGCTGTGCTGGGAAGGTGCTCTGCCTGATGCTGTTATGCTCACTTGCTCTTTCCCACTACATTACACAGCTCATGACCAGACCATTCCTCAGGCACCTTTGTACCTCCCTCTGTGTTACATTTAATCTCATTTTCTCATCTCAATCTCCCTGTGTTTCCGAAAGGGCGGTGACAGCTCTGCTAGCACCATGATCTGTATGGTCAGGTTGAAAGCAAGCTCAAGTCAAACACTTCTACCCTTATGTATTTCAGACAAGCCCATCTATCACTGAAATCTGCTTAGTAAAAGCTGACTGTCTTTGCTTTATTATTTACTGAATGTAGTGAAACCACTGTTATGGGGGTTTTTTTGTCTTCAGTGCAAGTGCTTTGCAGCTGAAGCTGTGGTCTGACTACTGCTTTGCAATAAAACAACCTGAGAGCCTCCTTTATTCTGCTATTAGGATTCTTTCAACTGTAATATCATCAAGCACAGTGTTCCCAAATACCTTTTTAATTAACTTTCCCAGGTGCCACTTCACTTGCCAGCAGGGATCAGCTTCTCTGTCTTCACTTTCAATTTCATCCAAGTTTTGGATGGAATTTCCGATTTCTTCCCCGGTGAGACAAGCGATGCCGCTCTTGGAGTACGTGTCCTGGAGCTGCAGCAGAAGGGAAAGCCAGGATTTTTCACCCATGATGTGTCTGCAGATGTTCAGCTGTGGTATGTCACTATATTCACTATGCTTAGGAACACACTTCCCTTTCTTTAAAGCATTTCCAAGTATGGTGCAAGTAGAACTACATAAACAACATGAGTAATTCATCCTGATTTGACATATTTAATTATGATGGCATACCTAATATGCAAAAATATACTTATGTTATCTCCATGGGCATAAATTTGATATCCAGTACTCAACTAAAAAGGCTTTGTGAAAATTCAATACCCAAATCCCTAATGTTGTGAACTCTTTAGTTGCTCTAGTTCTGTATTAAAAACATTTTTTTTGCACAAGGGATTTTTTTCCTGCAAATTATTGAGGATGAAATCAAATACTAGACCTTAAAGCTATTTTCAGTGCTGTCTTTTCAGCCAATGCCATTTATAATCCAGACCTTTGCTATTATATATCCATACCAAATTGTCCCCATATCCAGTCTGGGGTCTCTCCATAACTGCACTTGTCCTAATAGTCCAGGACAAAGTCCAGACAACTGAAATGACATTTGAGTCCAAATATAATTATAATGCTGGACACTCATGACATGGACCCATGTTTATATTGTCTAGTCATAGAGAAAACACATTTATTTTCTGATAAAGAGAAATGAGTTTTTAACAGATTGGCAAAACTCTGCTTGGCTCCAAGGGGATCTGACTGGGAGAGCTGATATCCTAGTGGAAAGCTCTTCCCAAGCTCCCTGCGGATGTGACACACAGGACTCCAGCTGGCGCTGTTGGTTAATGTGGGAGCACAGAACCTGTGCTGGCTCCAGCATCCAGCCCGTTTCCCTGGAACGGGGCTCCTGCTGCATCAGCTACAGACTGGTCAGGCTTGTTGAGCCAGCAAAGCACTACAGGGACTTTGGGAGAAACAGCAACAAACATGCAGAGCATTCAGCTGGAATTCTGGTCTGCTGGTAGCATTTAAATTTCACTTTCGTTGTGTTAAAGAAGCTTGGTTTGGTTTGCTAAACAGATACATTTATTCTACAAGTTTCAGTTGTCCTTGAGAGAGGGGTATTGAAAGAAACAAACAGATTTGAGTCACCTCCTCCATACTGCATGCTTTTCCTGTCTGTTAGAAAACAAGGCGTTTAGGAAGAGATTTTCCCGCTCCAGGAGGAGGAAGAGGAGAATTCACCTCCTTAAACTCCCACTTTCAGTTTGCAGCAGCAGACTCCACTGAGCTTCAGCCTGTACTTGTATTTTTTAGGCAGCAGAAGGAAAAGGGGCCACCACTATGAGTGTTTGTGAAGGTTTCTGTGTCTTTGCCAAGGAGTATGGACATTCTTAAATCAGGTTTCAAGATCTCAAAACCATTAATTTTATGTGCTCATTAAGGTAAAGCTGCACTTAAAACTAAGGGCTCTGACAGATTTAACTATACAAGCTTCCATAACATAGTAGTTTGATGAGTTTTTAAAAAAAGCAAAACGTAAGCAGTTGTGAAGTTACTGTTTATTCTCTTGGCAGATCTGTTACAGCCCAGCTCTCAGCTTTGCCTTCCCATCTGGAAGCAAACAGTCCTGTGCTTCTGCCTCTTCCTTACCTGCTCACTTTTCCCCAGAACAACTTTACTATCCTGGCACTGGAACAGTATTTTGCATGCAGGTTGAAATCCTCGTGGAATGCAACCTTGCAGCAGCACATTATTACTTCTGTTGTAAGACTTACTCAAATGAGGTTTAACTGTAGTACTGAAGCCTATGCTAGGAGTGGTTAGTAGACTGTTTTTGAAACAGAAGGAAGCCTGAGGATATTGTCCTTGCAGCCCTATATCCTGAAGCATAGTGAACTTTATTGTCTCAGCACTTCCTCCTAAAGCAAAACTGTTAAACAAATGGTCATACTCCTATACTCAGGTCACTACAGCTGTAGAGGAAAAACCCTCCTAGTTATTCAGCATGCTTTTTGCAAAGCTAGAAATGTCTGCAGTCTGTGCAGCCACAGTAATTTGGTGAAGGTGTAGCAATGCAGGTATTGTGAACAGCAAAGGGAAGAAAAATGGGCAGACCAAAATCACAACTTATCTTTTGAGATTTACTCCACATGCACCATGTGGATGTGGGGTAGCAGACTGTGCTTACAGATAAGCTTTTTCCTTGTTTATTGTGCACCAAATGGCACATGCAGGAATGTGTGCTTAAGGTACCCCCTCCAGAGCCAGCAACCTTAGCTTTTAGTCCAGCAGAACTTTAGTGTGGACAGATTTAGCTCTTCACCCCAAATGCAGGCTTGTTATTCTTCAGAAGCACTGAGTTGTATTTTGGGCAAGTACCACAAGATGTGTTTGTGTCTCAGGTGTACATATTTGAATAAAAGGAAGGGAAAGATAAGTGTGGTTACTAATTACTTAGATTGGCAAGCTTGTGAGCAAAGGACTCTGAACTGTATGCATGAAGGAATGAGGATACCTTTATATATTTTTCTTTGTTAGCAGCATTATGTAGCCTGATTCCATAAAGTCAACACATTTCTGTGACTCCCCCATTTGACCAAATATGGGACAGTCACAGCCGTGAAATCTGTTTTATACATTTCCAAAGTATGAACGCTGACTCACATGTACAATACTGCAAACCCTTTGCCTCACAGAGAACTCTGACATCTCAGAAGACTCTGCCTATTAAATCTGATGTGGAACAAATGCATGCATACCATACATTATTAATAATGATGTAATTATGCATTATTGAATGCAGTAACTTACATTTCTGCAATACTTTCTGAAGTTGTATATGTATAGAACACTTACCTGCAGTTACTTTTACTTTTGTGCCCAGAAGAGCAACATACTGATGCAACTTACAGCAGGGCAGTAAATTTTGGGTAAGTCACTCATGGAAATCCTGAGTACTAGTGGGTCCATGGAAAGAAGGGCCACACATATAAAGGCTCCTGGGACTATCAACTAAATGTAACTTTCTTGGAGTGTACATGGTCTTTTGCAAGAAGAGTTAAGCAGTCAGGAAAAGAAAGAGCTAAGCAGCAGGGAGAGGAAAGAGTTAAGCACCAGCTAGCAGGCCTGAAGGGTGGCTGCAAGGAGACCAAAACATCTAGACTATACAATTGCTATTTTACAAGTTATTCTGGGGAATTCAGTGGTGTTTGCTGTCTGGTGCAGTTCCTTTGGCATTAGTCACTGCCTTAGAACTATGTATTGTCCTACAGGATACGTCTAAAAGGCATCTCAGCTTTCCTCAGTCCTTTCCCCCGTGCCTGTCCGAAGGTCCAGCCCTCCCAGCGCTCCTGGCGCTCCTGCAGCGCCGGCGGGCAGCGCAAAGCGATGAGACGACGAATTTGCGCGCTAATGAAAAACACATTTGCATCTTCGCTGAAAAAATGCATGACTTTGTTGTTCGATGTTTTTTTTTTTTTTAAGGCAAGAAAACTTTGCAGCCGTTGTTGCTTTGAACTCCCTTCCCCGCGCACACCCACGGCGGGCCCAGACAAAGGAACGGGCGCGGGGAGCGGAGCTCTTTATCTGCGGGGAGCGGGGTGGGGGATAAACCCCGGCCCAAGGGAGGCTCAGCCCCGGCCCAGGGGGGGCTCAGCCCCGGCCCAGGGGGGGCTCAGGCCACGGGGGGCTCAGCCCCCGGCCGCGGATGCCGCTCGCATCGCCCACCGCCCACACGGGCCCGCGGCCCCCCGGGGGTCGGTCCGTCCTGCGGGGACAGAAGGGGGAGCGCGGGGTCCCCCCCGCCGCCGTCCCCCAGCACCGACCTGTTTGAGCTCGCTGGTGAAGTAGAGGAAGGTGACGGCCACGCAGACGGACTGCAGGAGCACGGCGGCCACCACCACGGCCCCGCAGGTCTGCGCGGGGCTGGGCCCGCCCGGCGCCAGCATCGCGGGGCTCGCTCGGGATGGGGGAGCGGGGCCGGGCCGGGATGGGGGAGCGGGGCTCACGCCGCTGTCCCGGGATGGAGTGCAGCCCCCGGCAGTGCCCGGCGCTCATCCCGCCCCGCCGGGGGATGGACGGGGCGGAGCGGGGCGGGCGGGACCCTCCCTCCCATCCCCGGCTTCCCTCCGCCCCGCCGGGACGGGCGGGTGCGGACGCTTCTCCATCGGACCGAAGTGCGGGGTCGTTGCTAAGATGTAGGGGCGTCATTACAGAGCCGTCACGCTGCGGAGCATTTCTGAGCGTTCACCACCAGGGAATGATGGAAACCGGATTTTTTTTTGAGACATTAAGGCTCTTGGTTAAGAGCAGAGAGAGGCCCAGAATTTCCCCACTCCAAGTTGTGTTATGGGATCATAGAATCACAGATTGGTTTGGGTTGGAAGGGACCTTAAAGGTCATCTCGTTCCAACCCTCCGTGCCATGGGCAGGGACATTTTCTGCTATCCCAGGTTGCTCCAAGCCCCATCCAACCTGGCCTTGAACACTTCCAGAGATGGAATAGCCACAGCTTTGCTGGGCAACCTGTGCCAGAGCTGCATCACCCTAATTGTAAAAAACTTCTCCTCATTGTAAATAACTTCTTTCTTAACTTCTTAACTGTAATCCTTCAGTTTAAAATCATTATCCTTTGCCCTATGGCAACAGGCCCTGCTAAAAAGTCTGTCCCCATATTTGTTATAAACCCCCCTCAAGTTCTGAAAGGCTATATTCAGGTCTCCCCCAGAGCCTTCTCTTCTCCAGCTGAACAACCCCACTTCTGTCAGCTTTTCTCCATAGAAGAGGTGCTCTGGCCCTTTGAGCATCTTCTGGACTTGCTCCAGAAGGTCCTTGTGCTTTGTGTGCTGTCCTTATCCATCTTGTATCCTCTGCAGCTTCTCCCATAGAGCTGGTACATCACAGAAAGGTGCCTGGGAACTGATAACCTGTACCTGTGAGCCAATAACCTGTACCTGTGCCACGAGCTCCAGCCCATCGCTTCTGCTCCCCAGTCATGACATGCCTGATGTCACAGTACATGGATGCCAGGTACATTTTGGGCTTTCTTTATCTGAAGGCACTTTGGGGGTTGGTTGGTTTTTCAAACCTCTAAGACTTCTTCTTGCAAACTTTTCTCCAAACTGTTATACCCAGAGAGCAGTTTTGCAAAGGCAGGTCCATGCTTTAGAGTGTATCCTCTGACTTTCAATGAGGTTTTGACACCTTCACCTCACACAGACTGGATTATAAGCAACTCCATAATTATCTGCTGATGCTTTTCAATCAGCACAGGTAGCACCAGTATGGTCTGCTGACAGTGAAGTCATGGAAAACGGGGATCCAAGTGCAGAGATTTGAGTTAGTTCACTTTCATGATGTTGCTGCAGGACAGGATGAAATCTTGACTCCTGCTCAACATCCAAACCCAAGTGCCAGGATGCAGGTGGGAGTTGTCAGTATAATTACAGGGAAAAATTAAAATCAAGATCTCTTCATCTCTCCTGACTATTGAGATCATCTTTAGAAGGCGTAACTGCATTCTAGTCAGCCATTTACAGGAAAATTAATAGTTTTTTCTTCCATCATAGTGTAGCAAAATAATCCCTGAATCCCTGTTCAACGTGGCAGCAGGCAGTTTATTTGTCTGGCTCTTTGAGGCACTGGATCTCTGTGCCAAAACAGTTCAGATCTGTGTGATTCCAATGCATATGTCAGACGGAGAAGATTAACGTTTTCTCAAAAGTGAGCTCATGATCCCCTCCTATGACTTCTCAGCAAAGTCAGCGTGACATTTTGGGCTCCTTCTGTTTCACAGTATCACGGCCCCTTTCTGAGCAGGGCTTGTGGGACTCTGTTCACTCTTATTTAATGCAAAGTAGGTCTCTGCATCAGCTCCACAACAGGAGTCTCTTACAGATTTTTAGCACATGCACAAACGGAATCTTACCAAAAAAACCCCAAAAGCAAAAAAAACCCCCAAAAACCAACACCCTGTCTCTTACTTTGTTTATCATGGTTCATAAATTTCTAAAAAAGAAATTTCATCTCATGGAGCCATGCAAAGAGTTAATTAAAAGGAGGCAAACTAACTTGACTGATGACTCCTGCTGCTGAAGCCAGTTTGTGCAGATATTCCTTCTAGATGTTTACGGAAGTCCTACCTCATTTGAAGGAGAATAGAAACAAAAGCGAAAGGGAGCCAGGGCACTACAGAGCACTCTTGTTACTCACAGTTAGGGGTTGGTCTTTATTCTGTGTTTTTCCAACCTCTTCGTGGATTTGTCCCCACCCTACAATTTGTAACAGAACTATTTTGTGGGTAAATGTACCAATTCATGAATGGTTTTTTTCAAGAGCTGTGTACTCTGCTTGGAGTTCCCTACCAGGCATGGTCTGTGACCCCCCAACCCATCATTTTAAATCCTCCACGGATGTTTCTCATGGCTCTCATTTTATACTTGGTTAGTTAGTGCCAGTGTGATTTGAAAAGAACAATGGGGAAAACACACTTAAATTCATCTCTTCAAAAAGTATCACTTCACTATCTTTCTGAAATTTTAAGATCTGAAAATTTCATTGCCCAATAATAAAATATTTATGGGTTTCCACACTGACACAGATTCTGGGAGTGAATATCCCAAACATTTCCCCCATTGAAAGCACTTGAAAATCTTTGTTACTTCAATGCTTACTTTTCCACAATCAATTTTTGTCTCTAGCAAGTATAAACTTATACTGAAAATAATATGTTTTAAAGTTTCAAAAGTTTAAAATTAGTGCTGTGATGAAATTTTACTGCAGTAAAGTTGGGATTATGACACCAGTGGGAAGGAATGGTGTTAGTGCATGTTTAAACAGAACCAAGTCCTGGATGTTTGTGTAGTGCTAGACCAAGGCAGCTCCCCATCAAAACCTCTGATTCTTACTGGCTCCTTCATCCTATTATACCTTACTCAGTGAGCCATTTAATTAGAGATAAACCTTAATCTGTCCTGTGGATTTAGGATGTGTCACTTGGCATGACAAGGAAACGCCTGGCGGGGGACTTGCCACACTTGTCCCCCAGCAGTGCAACTAGTTAGGAATCTGTAATGGCTCTGAAAATATGTAGAATGAAGTGAAGAGTGTCTTGCTAAGGTTTTTAGTTCTAATTCCTTACCTATTGCAGTGATGTGGGGGATGAAGATGATTTCAGAGGAGGACACGTGTTTTTGTATGTCCTTCTCCTGGTAACTCACGTGGCTGTTGTTACCACTGCCATCACTCCCTGCCAGCACTGGCACTGCAGGGCTGGGCTTGTTTTCCATGTCTAAGAAAGGTGAGCTGACTTTCTGGTAAGCAGCAGTTCTCAACATAGATTTCTCTGCTGAGTAGCAAAGGTCATGTTTTTCATCACAGGTATCATGGCATGTAGTTGCAGAGGTGTAGTTGGGCAGAGGGCATGTAGGTGTTCCAGAGAGGAGAGCAGCCCTGTGGCTGTGCTTTCCAGGTGTAGTTTTCCACCCCCTCAGAGCATGGCTCTGACTGAGCTTTTTGTCACCAAAGATGCTATGATCACTTAAACCTTTCTTCACAATCTAACACCTGTCTTAGGTATCAGATTCCCACCAGAAGACACTTGAATGCTGTTAGTTTGGGCTTTGCTACTCCAGATGATTAACTGACTGAGAGAGCACAGTAAGCAATTGCTGTGTCCTCTCCCCTTCCTGAAGGGAAAGGGAAGTCCCTGCCCACCCCTGCAGCCTCCCAGTAAATGTGTAGGACACTGCCTTTCTCTCCTTCAGGAGATGGGTCGTGAACAGCCTCATCCTGCCAAGCCTCCCGAGGCACAAGAAGCCTCCAGCCAGCACAGAGTTAACTTTACGCTGTGGTCCTCATCCCTGCACATGTGCTGGACAGATCACATCTTGGCTACTAGGGATTGTTCATTCCTTCGAGGTCCATGGGCCAGATTCTGACGTTATGTTTTGCTGTTAGTTGCAACCATCTCGTATCCGTGAGTTTGTTGTGATTTATACTGTCATGGGATCAGCATTAGGATCTATTTGTCAGTGCAATACCCTTTTGGCCTATGGTGTTACATAAACAACAGCAATAGTCTGCCTGGCCCAAAACACACCTATGAAATAATTTATTCAGACCTAATGCCCCAAGCAGTGGATTTGATAAATAGAGCTGGGAATATATGTGCCTGTGCATACCACACTCATGTCCAATAATGCTGCAGCAATAGCACTCTGGATCTAGCTTTGGATCTCTCATTTTTACTTAAGAAAGTACTAAACCTTTTGCCTGTTAATGTAGTGTATATATTTTAAGCTTTTTTATTACTTTTGTCAATTATATAGGGGCACTTCCAAAAGTCCTGTCCTTCATGAGTGCTTGTTATGAAATCTCTCTTTAAGAGAATTAGTATCATATAAAGGTTTGAATTGGAAGGAACCTTCAAGACCATCTCATTCCAGCAGCCCTGCCATGGGCAGGGACACCTTCCACTAGACCAGGTTGCTCAGAGCCCCTCCCAACCTGCCTTCCAGGGATGGGGCATCCACACACAGCTTCTCTGGGCAACCTGTGCCAGTGCCTCACCACCCTCACAGGGAAGAATTTCTTCCTAACCTCTAATCTAAACCTGCCCTCTTTCAGTTTGAAGCTATTCCCCCTTGTCCTAACACTAGTATTTTTAGCTTTCAAACCTGGGATTGTCACCAGGCACGTCCCAGCAAAGCACTTGGATGTTACCCACCGAATGAATACAATTAGTTTCACTGAGGTGTCTTGGTCCAAGACTCCACGGTGGGCTTTTTCTTGATGTAAATGGTTTCTACGTCATTGTTTTGATCATTATTTGCAGTGCTGCAACTCAGAATTTCTGTTTCATGGGAAAGTCTCGCACTTCAACAGTTCTGTTTGTCTTAGAGTGAAAGGTTTCGGTTAAAGAAAAGTTCTTAAAGACTTCATTTTGGAG